TTGTCTGGACTTTTGTTCCCATATCCTCATTGGAAAGGTCCCTCTTCCCTGGAAAAGGTTTCTGTGCTGGAAACGTGGCTTTAAATTGTCAACTGACCTCCATGATAAGCTTCAGATTAGCTACAGTTTTAACCTATTTCTCAGCACCTTTAACAGACACTTTTCAGACAGTGATCCCCATAAAACATGCATGAGGCACTGGGTCCACGCCGGCTGGTTTAACTGGTTAGAGTCTGAGACTGCCCGTGGTTACCACGAGTGAATCAAATGAGCCGTAACATTCAGAAAGACTGATTCATTGGAGGAACGAAGTGGGTTTATGAGTCAGAGGTTGTGCGTCTGAAGCAACACAGAGATACGTGCTGTGGAGGATGATCTCCAGGCTGAATGAAGACAATGACACCTGAGTCAACAGTGAAGATCAGACACTGAACAACCAGGTGTGAGGTGGGAAAATTGGCTTCTTTTAAGTCTACAAAGACACTGACTAATGATAAAAATGACAAACATGCTAAGTGGCAGAGAGAACAACCGACTCAAGTATTCATACTGTAATGATAAGTAAAAAAAAAAAAAAAAAAAAAAAAAAAAGGCAAATTGACACAGCCATGGAGCCACAGGCTGTTTGTTCCCTGAAAATCTCTGATCAGCTGATGCATGTTAAAACTTTAGTATAGCAGTGTTTTAGTTTCAGTTTTGGAATTCACACACTCTCAGTGTTCAACTTTTTAAAGGCAATCTTTTTACTCTTATGTACTAGTTTCTCTGTTTAAATGAACTCCTGTGCCAAGAATGCATGTCATGAGAGTTAAACTGTCTCTGAGTTAAAGCAACATACCAACAGGTGTATGTGAGTGAGTGAGTGAGTGAGTGAGTGAGTGAGTGAGTGAGTGAGTGAGTGAGTGAGTGAGTGAGTGAGTGAGTGAGGGAGGGAGGGAGCACAGCTGGGGAATTTACTGGTCATGCCTCAGCATGCAGGAATGTTTAAGCCTTTATGGTCCAGGTGTTTGTAAATGAGGATGTTTGGTTTGTTCATGTGCTAAAGGGTCAGAAACAGTTACACAAACATGAAACTCTGTTATGTATACTGGAAGTGGCAAAATGAAATGTATTTTCATATGGAACACACATAGGAGCTGAATTTCAAGGAAAATACTGTATCATTGACTGCATATTACTATGGATGACACGCCTCATTTCCTACCATTGTAGGAAAAGTCACCCCGAAATATTGCAGCTACAAGAGCAAACATTTTATGTTGGTGACTTATTTTGGAGCCAAGGCATGCACCGAAGCAAATCAGGCTGGTGGAGCTGCTGTTTTGACAGCAGAGCAAAACCCATTTATGTCCATGTAGATTCTCATTCATCCAGGTCATGGTTTTCTTGAAGACTCCAAAATCAGGCAACTGGACTGTGTAGACTACAACTGGACTACACAGTCCAGTTGCCTGATTTTGGAGTCTTCAAGAAAACCCATTTCTTTCTTTCCAATAACAGGTAAAGATTCCTCTGGTTGGTATAGAGTCTTTTGTTGATTTCACACAGACATTCTAAGTTATGGAAAGTTCAACGCCTTTTGCAGCTCTTCTTCACCATATAAACCATATAATCTGTTTCTTCTTGCCTGTGATGGAGTCACCCCCAGCTGAAAATCAATACTGACGTCCTTTGTCAAACCTGAGGCTACCAAGAGCAAATACAGAGGCTCTGTAGTAGCTCTGTCCTCTCTCCCTTCAAGTGTCAATCATTTGAGTTATAGAAACTCAGTCTAAATGAACATGTGCTATACCAGTTTTTTTTATTTAGTTATAGTATTTACACATAGAAAAGGGAGAATAGCTTCATAAAAACTTGTAAGGCAGGTTCACACGAGTGAGTGAAAAGCATGACAAATGACAGAGTAAAACATCCTCACTGATCTCTGACTGATACACTGAATATCACTAAAATATTTACTTGCAGATCTGCTTATGATACAGATCAGTGTTCTCTGCATGATGCCACTCAAAAATCTGCAGTGTAGAACCAAAATCCTTCCTGGATTTTGGAGCAATTTCGATTATTTTCCTATATTTATGGATCTTTTTTCTTTCAAGCCAATCATGATACTTTCAAATGCTTTTTCAAGACTTAAACTTATTTCCTTTTGCTCTTTTAGACTTGTTTCAAGATGTTTGTCACTTGAAATGATGTAGATCAGGAAAAAACATTAAGAGCTGAGCACCCTCAGGGGGTGTGCATCTCCTGAATCACTCAGATGATCCCTCTTTAAGGATAAGTGTCAGAGATACAACATGAGGAAACAGCTGCAGCCAGTAAATTTGAAGACAGTCACAGAGACGATCATTTTACTAATCAAAAACTGTTGGAGTTGAAAGCCATTTACCATCATTATATATATCCTTTACCAAGAAAAACGGGAAAGCCTTTGAGGGGTGATCTGATAAATGAAAAACAGTCATAAATACTGTCACTGTTTAACACAACATGAACATTCATTCTGTCTCACCACATCATTTCTTTAGATGTAGCCTGATGCATATCCACAATTATAATGAGGTACTTTGTGCATGAAATCCAATCAACTGATGAATGTCAAAAATGCTGAAACTAACATTAACAATGACTCCCTTTTTATTCAAGAACAGTTGAGTATCTGTTCTTAAATGTTCGTTGTAATCCCCCATGAACTGTGCATTTTACAATCATCATTCCTAGAAGCTTCAGGTCTCAGGTAAAAATGAGCATCTCAAGTTCTCAACCGTCCAATACACTCATAGTTTTCATATCATGTGGGTTTGGTTACCCAGAGTGACAAGGGGGTGAAAAAACAAAACCTGTGACCTCAAAAACACTTGTTACTTTACAGTCTCCTCAGCTTGTGATGCAAAATAACCATATACATAAGACCAACACTCACTAAAAGTGAGATATTGACATAATAAAAAAGTGCTCTCAAGCTTGCAACAAATCTAATAGTATAGTAAATCTTACTGTTCTTGTAACTGCTCCAAAGACTTTTCACTCAGCATAATAACTGTGTAAGTATGGATAGAGTCCTGTGTCAGTCAGTGCTTTTCACATCATTTTGATGCAGATGGGTGATTCTAAATTGATTCAAGTCAATTAAGTGGTAAAAATGAAAGAAACACTCTTTTTTAATGATTTCTGAATCAGGCAGGATACAAATGCAGATGTTATGTAAAACATGAAGGACAGACAGGCGTGCAAAACCTGAGTCAGGCATTGCTAGTGCATGCTTATAAGCACTAAATTTGTTGCACTACACATCACTGACTTGATACTGACCAATATCCCTACACATTATTTCTCTCATCATTCTTATAGGGATTTTCTTATAGTCTTCCCTCCTCTGTCTCGTGTTCTACTGTGTCTGTTGGGGTACCCCAGGGGTCCGTTATGCGTCCCCTCTTATTTGCTGTTAACAACCATCTACAGCTGTGGAACTCCCTGCCTAAGGATGTTGGACAGGCAAACAAAGTCTCTTCTGTAGAATTTGTTCTTGAAACTCACTTCTATTATCTGGCTTTTTTTTTAGCCTTTGGCTTTGATGCGTACCAGTCTGTCCCTTGTGCTGTTTTATTTATTTATTTTTTACTGAGGTATTCAATATTTCTGATTTGTTATTTACTTTTATCATTTTCCATATTTAATTGTTATTGTTTGAGTATTTGCTTTGATTGTTGATTGCAGTTATTTATTGTGGTTTGTTTGGTTTTGTCTTTATGTAACTGATATCTACCTTTTTGGTGTTTGATTTTATTAAACACTCTGTATTTTATTTTTTTTTTAATATATCCTCTGAAAAGTTTTTGTGACAAGTGAGCCAAAGAGACTCAGTAAAGCAAATCTCAATGGGTTATTCTTTCTTATATAATTACCCACACTTTTAAAGATAATTTATTAAAATAAAGTCAACTAAAACATTCAGTACTTTTTAACTCAGCAGTCTTCACACTCACGTTTAACCTCTGGGTCAAATCAAGGAGCCAGCAGCATCTCACTGGGACATCTAGACGGCTACTGCTCTCTAGTGTTGGTACAGTGAGCCTGCAGCAATAGGGCTTACAGTGCACTCACAGCTCCAAACTAGCAGCGGGAGAAACTTGAATGACCGCGACAGCCTGTAGTGGAAGCGGCGGTCACGTGACTGACGGAAACAGTCGAAACCTTGTCAAGACACTTTTTGGGCGGTTTAAACTTAAATGTTTCAAACAATGATAAATAAATAAAACATTTTTTAAATAGGTAGAGTAAAAACATACCTTTTTGGATTCTCTTTCTACCTACTTAGTAGGAACGAGATAACTTGTGTTTTGGGGTATTGTTTGCTGTTCTATAATTGTCATTTATATTATTGGAAGTTAACAGATGTTAACTTTACTCTATATATCATTGTACTGGATATTGCGTCCACGTGCTCCTGTGACAATCGGGCGATGAGTTTACAACGCTGAGACGTTTCGTTGGAGACTGTTCTTGACTCACTAGCTAGTTAGTCAGTTTAAATATGATACAAATTTGACTCCATTTAACCCATATTGATGTAGTTTAACCTAAAAAGTTCCATATTGTGTGCAACCAGGGAGTAAACTGGTTTTGAATTCAAACATTACCTGAAATCTTACAAAATGTTGACCATGTACTGAAAGAATATCGAGTGACATTTTTAAATGCAGAACGCTAAATTCAGCTCGGTGTCTTTTTTTCCGTTTGTGTTCAATCGTGTAACTTCTCCAAACACTTGTCCTCTCAGTCAGATCGTCGCCTTCTCTCTCGTTGAAGAAGAGCTCCAGTCTTTCTTGGTTCGCTCGCAGTCAAGGATCACGTGACTGTAGTGTTTCAGCTCGCATCGTTCCGTCGAGAGATTCCTCCCCCATCCCCGATGCCAGTTAAGGTTGGTCAAAACGTTTCCCGCGCTCTAATTGGTGAACAATCAACTGTTCTCTTTTCTGATTGGTTGAGAAAAATAGGGCGGTCCCGTTTTTGCTGAGTGTTCTTCCGGCTTACATGTTGGAAAAAAAGAAAAGACGAATGGAAAAAATTGTAATCTACAAAGCGAATATTGGCTTGTAACTCCGCAATACGGTAACATCTGCTACTCTTTGGAAACGTTTCGCACGTGTAGCTCTGTGAAGTTCATACCGTTGTACTTTTTAGATTTTCCGGGATTTAGCACGAAAAGCAGGCGGTACCAGGGTTGGGAGATACAGCGTTAGCATTGTGCTAGCTAAGATAGCTTGCTAACAAGATAGCATTTTTAGTTTTGAGTCTGCTGGACCAAAACGAGGGAGCATAAAGAGGATTTTCTTTCTGAACAGGAATCGCGTTTGGCCATCTTTATAGAGGGTGTCGAAAAGTCTTCCATGTACCCGCACGTTTAGTTGAAATCTTTCAATCCGTTGCTGTTGTCGAGCAGTTCTGCCATATAATTAACCATGTATAAGCAGATTAATACCTTTAGAAATACATAGATTTCTCAAATTAGAGCACTGTGCGATGTCTTTTGACGCATTCCGGTTGCACGAATGTTAAAGACTGTCTCCATGCTTCATGGTTTGATGGTATGAATTCCGCAGCGCTGTGTTAGCCTGTTTATTTCTCCGCGCTCACTATTACTACCTCACTTTAAATGACGCACATGTTAAACATTATGAACGCAACCGTAAAGTCACTTCACATCATTAAGATACAACCTGTATGTGTGGCTCTGTTATAAACGGTTCTAAATGTACATTTCTTGATAATCCTCCAGGTCACAAACGGTTAAAAATGAGCTCTCAACAGTTTCCCCGACACGGGCTCCCAGCCTCTGGTGGGGGAGCGCCTCAGATTCCTGCAGCTGCTAACCTGGTGTCTGTCAACCAGCCGTCAAATCCACCAGGTAACTCCACACTAGCTTACTTCGTGTATGCTTGACTCAGGGACTCTTCAGTCTCTCTGTCCATATGACTGTACAGCTCCTCTTATCGAAGACAGGGGGTGGTAAACAATAAGCATCCAACTGCCAAGTTAATACTGGTGGAGTATTTCCACTGTCAATTTGTCTTAGCGAGATCACTTTCGTTTTTGCATCTTAAAAAGACAAAATTAAAAGAGTGCTTATATATCCTACTCAAGTAAAAGTGAATTTAAAATTTTACAAATGTTGAAGTAAAACTACTCTCTTTGAATCTCTTCAGGAAACAGTAAAAAGGTCACTTTTAGTATTTGTTTATCCTCATGCAAGGGGTTGGGAAGTGAGGTGGTTAAAAATACGACCCTCACATTGTGTAAAATATCTCTTTGGATTTTATTAGAGCTTTGATTGATATGAGTATCACTTGAATTACCGGTTATACTTGTCGTAAATTGTATCATTCTCATAACAACACTATTTTAAATCATTTATGTGATAAAAGTGTTATTGTTTTATCAACTAGTGCCAATCTTCATGACACCAGCATTGCCACCCCTCCTGCAGCTTATTGGTTGCACGCAAACAGTATCCAGTCAATACATGGTGTGTCTGTGGTTGAATGGTGTGGAGAGAAGCTTGTCTTACAGTTCTATCATGTGTTACAGAACAGCAAAATGAGACGAAAAAGGACCAGCTCTCAAACAGGATCTAGCTCTTAGAGCTGAGTCATTCACATGAGACACATCGCAACTTCCTTAGCTTATTATTGAAGAATAACCAACAAGAAACCATTATTATCAGGGGATTTTTTTTACTCAGCACCTATCCAGGTTGAAGTGTTTTTTTTCTTGGTAATGCATTTTAAGACTGTCCCCAACATTGAATCACAGCCTGTTGTGCTAAGAGGCCAGTGAAAATTGTGTAGCTTGCACTGAAGAGAATCAGGTTGTAGCCCACAGCGTTGCTTGCATAAAAAAATAAAAAAAGTGTTGATTTTGTAAAAGCAATGATTTGCTGACTGGTCTCTGACCCCGGAATGAGAAGTCTCAGACTATAGGTCTAGCTTTACCAAAATCTGGGATACAACTGCAAGCATACATACTCTGTGTAAGACATTATCCAGTCAGTTGGCTGTCATGCTGTTGATAGAAAGCTTATATTTGCACTGCTTTTCATTTATTTATTTATTTCTCAGAATGAGTGCAGCATAAAATGGAGGGAAATACAATTTACCCCCCCCCCCACACACACACACACACACAATACTTAGATAAACACTCATCATTCAGTACATCTAGAAATAAAGTAAGATGACTCCAAACAGCAATAACCAAAGTATTTTTCTTCAGTAGGTGGAGAGGCAGACAGTTCTCGAGATGCTGAGCACAGCCAACAGGATCATCCACCTGCTGGGGGAGGGGGAACCTTGGCATTTAGAGATGACAAGCAGGAGACCATGGTGGTCCGACCTTATCCACAAGTGCAGACTCACGGCCAGTCACAAGCTACTCCCCAAACTGTACCCATCCAACCCGGCACACCTGTGACTGTACCTGCACCCCCAGTCCACCTCACACAGGGGCAGCCTGCAGTCCTCACTGAGGGGCAGATGAAGGTGAGGATTGCTGTCACACTTTTTTTTTTGCAGAAAAAGAGGGAACAATTATTGTGCATTTTTAATCATCTGTCTGAGTTTTGAACTAAAAAAATCATCTCTACAAATAAAATGTAGTCTGTGATAAAAATTAAGATTGGACTGTTGTTGAGTGAGGCTCAGTTACAGCTGGTTTAAGATAAGTTATTTTTCTGAAGTTAGAAGTTCAGATGCTGTCAGATTTTGGGGTTAAAAGTTCAGTGTGGAGAATTTAGTGTCTTTCATTAGAACAGATTTGTTAGAAATAAGTCATCTTTAGAATAACATATCCATACTTGTGTTTAAATTAGAGCATAATCACTTGAACATAGAGATCAGCAGTTTGTTTTAAACCTAGAATGAGCCTTAAACATCTATGTAAATGTGGATCCTTTTCTGAAAGTACAGCTCAGACAGACATGTATTTAGTGATTGGTTGTGGGATGTGCATTGGTTGGAAGAAAAGAAGAAAAGACTGGTTGCCCTCTCAAAAGTCTTGACAGTCTTAATGCACAGAACTATGAGGTAGCATATTATGAGTACATTATTGGCTTTCATTGGCAGAAAAGCAGCTTTGGAGTTCCTACAATTTAACTCAATATAGAGGGATTACCTTTGTAACTCTTAAAAAAATTTGATTGAATACTCCGGTATTCTTGACCAATATTTTTTATTCCAATATTAGATCTTGGGAGTAAGTGGGGATACTGTCGATCTGCAACACTGTCATCTTTCATTTGCTTACTAATATTTCACAATGTTTTACAGCGACATGTTTGTGTCAACAGTTTCCTCCTTTGTCTGACATTCATTTGAAAACCTTTCAAGACTAAAACAAGATTGCAAATCTATAAATATATAAATTGCTCTTTTTAGGCTGTCCTAAAGTCCCCTATGCCGAGTCGTCTTATTGCCCCTGCACCAGCCAACCAGGCCCATATTCCCATACCCCCCAAGGTGCCTGGTCACATTACTGTTACCATAGAGAGCAGTATTGCCCCGACTCCTTCTATTCCTGTGGCAACCATCAGTGGTCAGCAGGTGAGTGCACTGCAACACTAACTGTTACAAGATATTTTTGTCTCTTTCGACTGATTACTAAAGACCTGGGCTGTTTTTTTCTTCCTGCATTTCAGGGACACTCCAGTAACTTGCATCACCTGATGCAGGCGAATATTCAGATCATTAGAGGTAGTGCCCCACTACAGATTGGTACCCCTGCTGTCCCTCCACAGACCTTCACATCCCATTTACCCAGAGGTATGCATGGTATAACTGAATGCCAGGCCTGATGTAATGTTTTGGTTTTTGAAGGTCTGTTTGCCATACATTGGCAGTGATAGTTTTCTCATCACCGGTCTTTTCTGTCTTCTCGTAGGGGCTGCTGCTGCTGCGGTAATGTCCAGCTCAAAAACTGTCCTTCGACCAGCAACTGGAGCAAGTGCAGGTCCTGGCCAGCCCACAGTGCAGCACATCATCCACCAGACCATTCAGGTACAGCTCTGATGCTTCAAAAAACGTGTGAATTGTTCCGGACATTTGAATAACATGAGGTTTTACTGTGTTCTGTCATTTTGTCCACAGTCCCGCCCAGCAGTAACAACATCTACAGCTGTGCTCCCAACTGTAGTGGCTCCCATTTCAGCAACGAGAACTCAGTCCCCTGTAATCAGCCCTACAGTCACACACTCAGCAGAGGTGGCACATGGGTAAGAAACTTTTTTCAGACTGATACACCAAGCGGAGGGGGTGGATTCCATTGTAGGCGTGGTTACATATAGTGCGGAGGACACTTGTTACAATTTAAGTCATCTGAAAGTGAGGTGCATTGTAAACACCAGTGCAACCATGTACCATAAAATCAAGGGACAGGTATAATATCATGTAATGGGTGGTTACCCTGAAGATAGTGCCCCAAGGAGCACGCCACTGCCTCAGTTTGCAAAGCATGCTGGATACACAGTGAGGTGGACCAGTCTAAAACAGTCTAGTAGCACCACTTTACAACTCTTTTCTCCCTCACAGATTTCTTTCTTTAAGGGAATAATTCTTTTAGATGTCTCACTGTTGACCAGAGCCTTTAAGTATGCATTTGCACAAAGACTGTTAAACTGTTTGTTTCAGCTTAGAGTAAAACTGAAGACATTCAGTGTTATCCAAGAGGGGAAATTATAGAATCACTGTTGTTGCTTTATTTGCCATCAGTCATACCTGAAGTACCTCCTCTGATAGGTACAGGCAGGTAGAAAAGCACCCATAGATGCTCTTTGTGTAGTCTCTTGTGGAAGATGCACAGAAGATGACAGGGTATTGAACAAGAACATCTTTTTTTTATGTATTCTCATAGTAATACAGCTGCTATGTGAAGGGAAAAAATTTAGCTATGCCTGAACTTCCTGCAGCAACGAGTAACGACAAAGATCGTGGACAAATTAACTTTCCATAAAGACTTAACACGGTTTGCAACATTTTTGATTCGTCGCCTTTCCAACAAAGTAGTGCCTGTTTGTGACCAAAGGTAAAGCCTCAGACTGCCTTAGCAGTTGTTTTTCTGCCCCATGTTGTTTCATCCATACACTTTTCTCATGGTCTGATGGGGCAAATAGAACAAAGTAATAAAGCAACAAATAAAAGCTGTCATTTGGATGAATAATGTTCATGGAGATGGCTGCAGTGTGCATTTCTTTTGCATGTGTGTCAGATGCATTGACCAGATCTGACACACTGAAAGGTTGGTTCTTCTTTCAGGCGTCCAGGTCTTACCATTCATCCCCCTCCTGCCACCGTTAGTATTCAAAGGCCTCAACCATCCCGTGACACTGCCACACGGATCACGCTGCCATCTCACCCAGCAATCGGGGCTCAGAAACCTCAGCCTCCACACACCATGACACAGGTTAGTGCTCCCTGATGGCTGCCCCTAATAGTACTAAACAGCATTTTTTTATTTTCAGAATCATGATTTCATTGTTTGTTTGATTCTGTTTCCTCCACAGAAGCCAATCTTTAGTTCTGTGGCACCAGTAGCTGCAGCGACTGTGGCACCAATTGTTGCCACGAACACTGTGCCATCAACCACAACAATCGGTATTTACTTTGAACCCTTGATTTCTATCTTTCTTGTCACAGATCTTCATAATCTTTGAGTCACGGCACAAAAATCATATTCATATCAGGTAGTTCATTTCACTCGAATGTTGATCAAACCTCTATCTCCCTGTCCAGGCACAGTACCGCACACACAAATGACCAACAGCACTATTGTTACCATGACGATGGCCTCACACTCCTCGCATGCCACAGCAGTAACCACCTCCGCCATCCCTGTTGGTAGGTGAAAGATATTAGCCTGAGCCACATCAGCTCAAAGTGAGTTTTCAGACATCTTGTTCTGACCCTTTCCTTAATGCTGGTCACAGCCAAGGTGGTCCCTCAGCCAATTGCCCACTCCTCACCCCGGGTGCAGCCAGACTACCCAGGAGAGAGAGCCAACCTCATCCCAATCCCTGGCCATCGGTCATCTCCTAACCCAGTCACCATGGAGGCGAGAAGTGATAACAGGTAAGTTCATACTGCTTGTAAAATGAATTTGACTTATGGGGTGTTCCCAACCAGGGGTCTGGTTTAGCACGGTACAGTACGTTGATAATTACTTACCCAAATAACCAACCTGCACAGCCCTAATCTTTGGTTCACTTCTATTGATGAAAAAAAGATAATGAACCTAAACTGCAATCATTGAGGGGGAGAGAGCACGTGAAATCACATCTCTCCTAACTTCATTTTATTTGATCAGTGCAGATCCTCGCTTCTCTGTCTCTCTTTACTCTTATTCAGCTGTAGCCAACATGTATATGGGTGCTTTATTCACACAAAGACACCAGCTGTGAAAGGGGCACAGAAATTGCTGCAAAGGGAGAGAAGGACCATGAAAGACGAAATATTTTCTTTAACCTGCTAACATAGCTAACCCACAGACAATGTGACTAATAAGTTTTAATTCCAGAGACAGTTCACCTTAAGCTTGACTAAAGAGCAGTGCATGTTATTTCGTACATCCAACAACTGTCCTGGACACACCTTCAGGGTATAAGCGTTGCAGTACATGTAAGCTGTGCTGATAAACAATGACAAGATCGACTTCATGTTGACTTGTGGAAAGTATTTTGTGGCTACAACAAACAAAGAAATCAAGATACACTAAAAAATGTAATGGGAGTGTGTACATCTCAGATGGTCCTTCATCAAAACTATATTTTCTGTCTTTGTAAGGCCCTCTGTGCCAGTGCAGTTCCAGTATTTCCTGCCGGCGTACTCCTCGTCATACCCTCTGACACACACCTACACCCCCATCAGCAGCTCTGTGTCTACCATCCGCCAGTATCCTGGTAAGTGCTGTTTTCTTGTGGTTGTCATAACGAACGGATTCAGTGACTGTTGTGTTGTATGTAACTATTCTTTTTGTAAATCTGCCAATTGTGCGGTTTATCTAAAGTAGAAAAGCAAAAAGGACAAATGTATACACGCATTAAAGAAGCTTAAGTTTATCCACACAATGTGAATCGTGACACTAGAGTTCAACAAAGTGATTTGAGTATAAATATCTAATTGTATCTCTGTTTTTGCTCAAAGTCACTCCTCAAGCTCCAAGTTCAGCTTTGCCAACCCAGGCTGGAGTCGGCGTGGCAACCACCGTCCACCTAAACCACATGCAGCTGATGGCAGTGGATCGAATTGGTCTCCCGTCCGCACAAATCAGCACCCAAGGGATCCAGCCTGCACCAATTGCTGCACAGGGCATCCAGCCTGCACCAATAGGAGTGCAGGGTCTGCACACGTCTGCACCTATCACCACGCAGGGCATACAGCAGACACCCATTGTCACTCAGCAGCAGCAACAGCAGCAACAGTCACAGTCTGAAGCAAAACCTGGTAATTACAGACCTCCACTTCTCAGTAAATGAATGTGAAGCCTGTTGGTTAAAGACACTGGGCAGTTTGTGATGCTTATTTTCTGTTCTCAGGGGTTGTTCTGGCTGATGGCTTTGTAGCAGGCCCCATCAGCACCACATTCAGCACCACCCAGCCAGTAGCCAACATGGTGCAGGCTCACACCCAGGGAGGAGTAGGAGGAGCTCCCACTCTGGTCTCATCCCCAAGACCCAGCATCCTCCGCAAGAAGCCAGCCAATGAAAGGTGAATATATGAACAGCAGTGAAGACAGTGGGCCTCATGTAAAAATGCTGTTTAGACTGACCTCTGAAATTTTGCTCTTATCTGTGATTTGAGCTTGGATGAACCCTAACCCTTAACCTTAACCCTCTAAACTCAACCTGAACTCTGAACTCTAGGGTTAGGGTTAGAGGGTTCGAGTTAGTGTAGACTTAGGGTAAGGGTATAGGGTTAGGTTAGAAAATCTGTCTCTATGACTTTTTCCATCAACTTGGCAGTTAGGGTTAGGTTTAGGGTGAGGTTTAGGGTGAGGTTGGGGTTAGGAAAAAGGAAAACAAACTCGGGAATGAATTCCAAAAAAAAAAGAATTTTAATGACCATGGCCAGATTTAATGGAGAACAGAAGTCACAGTAACTGCCTCTCATTTAACCCCAATGTGGACATAATTATTCTTTCAAGGCCAAAATCTGCAAAAAAAGGAAGCAAAGCATAATGGGTAACAAGAAAAACACACAAAATATCCATATTAACCAGTTTGCCGGATCTCTTTGTCAAATCGCAACCCTGATTTTAGACTTAACCTGAAGCTGAGTTGACTTATTAAAGTACTCTCCTACGTGGTGCATCACTAGCATACAGCAGGTTTTAATGTTGAAATATGATGCTTGCCTTTGACTGACACTAAACCTGCTTGTTTGTATTCCTCAGTTGTGTTCGTAAGAACCTGATCCCTGCCCAGCCCAGTGAAGCAGGTGGAGGCAGAATTGAGAGTGGTGTGAGAGGAGCAGGATCTCCCCGACCTGCAGGGTGAGTGGCTGTCACATTAACCACATCAGTCAGAGTCACATCCTGTCATGATGAGTACTGATATTAATCCTGACCTTACCTGATTCCTCTCTCAGTGTGAAACCTAAAGCTGAGGTGCACATGGCAGTGGCCCCTCCTGTCATGGCTGCAGTGGAAGCGCTGCCCTCTCAGGGAGGAGAGCAGCAGTCCATGTCCACAAATGCCCAACACCTCACCCAAGCAATCCCCACCATGCTTGCCACGCCCGGACCTGTACCCCCCTCCCAGCCCTCCACTGTCCTCTCAGCCCTGCCAGCAGCCATGGCTGTGACTCCCCCTGTTCCTGCCTCGATGGCCAACACTGTGGCATCCCCCACCCAGCCTGCAGCCAGCAGCACTGCAGCCTGCGCTGCCAGCTCCACCTGCCCAGACATGAAAATCAAACAGGAGGTGGAGAGCATGGACACAACTCAGCCAGGTGAGGAGCAGTCAGAGCTGAGTGAGACAACAGAATAAAATGTTCATGAAACAAAAATGAAATACAAACACACATAAACAATGAGTTTATTTTTCCCTTAGATCCAAATGCAAACTTGACATCAGCCCCAGTCCTCAACGCCCCGGGTTCTACTCTAAGTACTCCTGCCCCAGGAGAGCTGATCTCCGGAGCCTCACCAAGAAAAAAGCCCCGAAAGCAGCAGCATGTTATTTCTACAGAAGAGAGTGAGATGGTTGAGACCAACAGCACAGACGAAGAGAAAGCTCCAGGACGGCCCATCACAGGCAGAGCAGAGAGACGAGAGTCTCCACCACGGGAATATGTTGGTATGTTAGTGTGGCAGCGGTAGGCCTTTGAAGCTAGTTTGTAGATGTTGGTCATGTGTAACTGGGACTTATTTTAGCTCTGTAACTCAAAAAAATAAACTTTTCTTCGTCCAACAGATGAAGAAGGAGTACGTTATGTACCAGTCAGGCCCCGCCCTCCTGTCACTCTTCTTCGACACTACAGGAACCCCTGGAAAGCCGCTTACCATCACTTCCAGAGATACAGTGACATCCGGGTGAAAGGTCAGTAGTCTGTGGAATAAAGGAGACAACACAGGAGTCCAGTCTTCACTTGCTTCTTGTAGAATTTAGGTTATGCATTTTAAGGTCCTCCTCATTCTGGCACTAAACCCTTTAGAAGTTAATTTGCTCACATCCCTGTCAAGAGTTTGCCTTAAAGAGCACCGATTGCAGCTGATTTTGGTGAATCACCGAAAATGTTAACAGAGCAAATCACATTTGAAACGATGATACATCAAACAGCAATAACAGTAGAAAACAAAGCTTGGATACAGAAGAAAGGCTGTGTTATATATAACTCAAAAAGATCAGAGAATGATCTCTTAGCTTGTAACTGGCTGTGCGATTTGCTCCTTTTTTTATTTTGCACTCACATCTTCAATACATGGTTTTAAATTTTGCATCTTATTAAACGGGTTGCCGTTTTTTCTTCCTATTATGGTACTGTTTCGTTATCTCTGTGTTTAAATTATTTTCATGTGGAGCTTTTCTTAGATATTTTTTAACCCAACAGCAGTCTAATCAGCATTTTTTTTTAATCAGCAAGACTTTGCTTTCCCCAAATTCAAGAAGAATGTATTTGTCGCTTTTATGCAGCTAATATGAACGAATGATTGTGGCTTTTCTGTCTTCTAACCATCCTTCGCTTTTCCACCACAGAGGAGAAGAAGGGCACCTTGCAGGATGTGGCCAATCAGAGAGGAGTGGCCTGCAGAGCACAGGGCTGGAAAATCCACCTGTGTGCAGCACAGCTCCGGCAGCTAGTGAGTGCTGACCACTGACCATGTCGTATTATTTACCTGAATAACTTCTCCAGTGTTCCGTGACCTAGATAACAGTCGAGTTTGGTTTGTGCTTCAAGGAGTAGAGAAGCTCTTCCTTGAGCTCAGCACACACACACACACACACACACACACACACACACACGCACACACACACACACACACACACACACACACACACACACACACACGCACACTGCTTGAAATAAAAATATCAAACTGTTATGACCCCAATAATCAACCAAAACAAGGTGACACATGAATACATACATGAATACAATTGTAACTTAATGAAGACTGGAATCTAAAATCACATTTAATTCTACCTTTCAGTCATGTGCTTGGGGGGAAACCCTCCTGTGCCAGTCCCCTTTTGTTCTTTTACTGACTCTGCTTCATTGTGTCTGTTACTTGAACCTGCAGTCAAGCTTGGAGCACGATGTGTACAGCCGCCTCTCTACCCTACAAGAGGGTCTGATTCCCAAAAAGAGAGCCGGAGCCGATGATGACCTTCACCGAATCAACGAGCTTATACAGGTAAGGTTTTTTACCATCTTAACAATCTGAATATCTGTGCTTTTTAAGTATGATTCAAGTGGAAGTGGTGATAAAAATGAGACCTTTTGACAAGGGGTTAATTCTAGATAGTTCTTATTAAAAACAAATGTTCTGGGCCCATTTGTCCAGTAGTTTTTATATATATAGGATAGAGATACGCATTGCTAATAGTTTTTGCGTTGTTTGTGTTCTTGTTATGCTGTGTGTGTCCACAGGGTAACATGCAGCGCTGTAAATTGGTGATGGACCAGGTGACTGAGGCCAGAGACACCATGATGAAAGTGCTCGACCACAAAGACAAAGTGTTGAAGCTGCTCAACAAGAACGGTGCCGTCAAAAAATCCTCCAAACTGAAGCGTAAAGAGCGAGCATAAACGCCTTCTCTGTAAACGAACATGGCCGCTGTCTCCTCTCTGAAGGGGTGAAGGAGCTGCTCAGAATTTGGTGCTATGATTTGCTATAAACAATCGCAAGCACCCTCCCTGTCCGCCTGAGAGCGGGCAGAGAGAAGTGACAGGGAGGGCCTTAAGACGCAGGAAAGCTCATCAGGAACAGGTTCTCATTCAAGGCCCTCGCACATTTAGTGCTTGGAGCATCACAGGTTGCATTTGAGTGGCTAAGTGGACAGCTCTGTTACTGTTTCCCTTTTTTTTGTTATTTTTGGAAGAGACCATTTTTACTAACTTCAGTTCTGCTTCTTTTCAAAAAAATTTCAATCTAGCCCCATTGTGTATATTTGATTTTTGGCACTAAATGTGGGTGCAGTAAATCGCTGTTGGCGATGAAAGTATTTCAGTTAAATATCAAAGGACTAGAGAGTATTTGAAAGAGGAAAAGATCCTTACAGAGGTTCTGTAGTAAGCTGTGTAACTAATATCAAGTGTCCTCTTTCATTAATCTGTGCCTTCATTTTGTTGGTGTGAAAACGGACAGGGATGTGTGAAAGCTGTTCCACATGCTGTTCTTAAAATAACTCAAGAAAAGTTTCAGGTCAACTGCTTCCCTTTCTCCCTCTATGCCCGGGTTTTCTATTAGTTCATTTTTTGTATTAGTATGGTCAAAAAATGACCTTCTATTAGCCACAAGTATGTGTCTGTCAAAGACAGTGCTTTGAGAAAAAATAAGCACCCTGAATGTTGGGAATTCAATTGATTTAACGCGCAAAAAAGCTCTTAAAGGATCCTAGTCGTCCTTCGATTGTTAACTGAAAATGGGAACGTACTGCATATGCATAATGCCAAGAGAACTTCACATTAAAACTGCTGTGAATCGTCTACTCAATCGAAAAGCAAACTGATTTCATGGTAGTAAAAACATTTTAATTTGGTTGCAGACAGTAGAGAGTTTGAAATACAGAGTGAAATACTTAGTGTGATAATAAAACTGAAGAAGGACTGAATTCATGTAAATCACTGTAAATGTGCTTTTGTTTTTATTTTTATTTTTTCCATTGATCTGGTTTCTTTTCAAGTTTTGTACTCAATGAAACATTTTTGTGCAGTGTGATGTGAGCCGCTTCATTTTGCAGAGTGTAATGGTAATGACATTATAAGATGAAGTGAGCCTGAAAAGATCCAGCTATTGTACATTGTTTTTGTCTGTGTAATTATAGTAAAGATACTTAAACAATACCAGACGGGCTGTGAAGTTCCTTCTATTTGTTTTTTTATTTTATTTATCTGTTGAGCTGTGTTGAATTTTAACACTTGAATTTGATAGGACATCTCTGAGAGAGACACACAATGTGGGGTTAGTCCTGGGATGACATGTTCAGACCAGCATCCGGCACCACTGTTTCTACAGAAGCACAAACTAGTGACATACAGGTATTTGTTTTTAGTAAGTGGTTTTAGACGCGCCATTTAGAGGATGCAAAGAACTTTTCACAAAACTTTTGCTCAAACTCTCTTGACCTAAGATCTACAATTGAACTCAACAAATCAACGTAACTTGAACATCCTCTTAGGAACTTTTGACTAGGTTTAAAAAAATCTCCTGTTTCTGCTGATGTCTCCCTGTCACCTGCAACAGTGAATGAGCCCGTCAGTATGAGAATTGAAAACCTGGTATCTTCTTCGCAAGCAACTGTACCTCCTTGACCAGTGACATGAGCAGGATTCTGTACTGTTATCCTCCTGTTTGGGTGTGCTGTCAGCTCATCGGTCACACAGCTGGGAATAAGTTAACCTTTAGTGTATATAAAAAGCGCCCTAATATTCACTAACCCCACTGATATTTTGCAGATTATTTTTGATTGTCATGATAATACAGGACATGGTGTGTCCCTTTTCAACACAATATGGGACGCGTACTTTTTCTAATTATGGGATGCGTCCATTTTTCAAGGGACGGTTGGCAACCCTAACTATTACTTTTGTCCATAGTGGCCGCCAAAGTCAACAGAAAATGAAAACTCCTCCCAGCTGCTTTAAATTCAGCATAAAGAAATACTTTGACGAGAATTAATACAAATTCACCCCTAAAGACTTTTTTTGTTTCAGTGCAGGGATCTTAAGATCAGCTGACTGTTATTAGCAGCTGATGAAAAGTTTCTATGTTTTCAGTGAGTTAAGTGCTTTGCTACTGATGCTTTCTGAAATACAGCTAAGTAGCAACAAAACTTTGAACAGAAAGTTACTTATGCAGAAAAAGCTATTAAATTTAAATAATGTGAGTGAATATCATTTAAATTCCACCTTTCCACCCTGGACCCTATCATATGGAAACATACTGATACCTGGTTTTAACTTTTAAAGGTTTGATCAAAGGTTGTGTATTTAATTGAGGAATTATACGACCTAGTAAATAACACTGAATGACCTAGTTCTTCTCTTCGTTTTACATCATGCTAAAAGTTTATATTTGGGCCCTTTCAGAGTTACACTTCCTGAGGTTTCTGCGTATTTATGGCTCAGTCTGATATGTTAACGTTGTCACTAACTGTGTGTAGATGATATAAACTGATTTATCTCGTCAGCTCTCAGGGTGTGCAGTCATTCCTCTTTACTATCTCCTGTTTATGACATAATTAACCTGCAGGTACAGCTCAGTGCATTGGCTGTGTTTGACCTGTGATGACTGTTTACGGATCAAGAAAGTTGATGCATATTTGGGTGAGCCACTTTCCCCTTACTGATTCAGCCACCTAAGAATGCTGCTTTGACTAAGACAGACCATAATTTCATACTTGAGAAGACAAAACTTCAAAACAAAAACGTAGGAAAGGTTACAGTGTCTTATTAATAAAGAATTATTCCATGGGAACTAGAAAATGACAACACAATCAGCTCAAACTGCAGAGTTGACTCAAAACTTCTGAATGCCTCGGGTCTTTGTTGTTTGATATAAGGGCTAATGTTTGCATAGTTAACCGTTGGAAGAAGCACTGCTTTTTGCCAACCATTTTTAAACCAAATTGACACCATTTATGTGAAATCATGCCAGATCAGCACCAGCCACCGAGACAGAGGGGTTTATTATGACAAGAGCAGGGGCCTACTGCTCTGATATGATATAAAATGTATGAATATGTGCCTTCAGCCCAGCATTAGGTGACTCTTGGGTGGCTCTACCTTTGCAGGAGCAAAGTCAAAGAGCCATAAACGTGTGTTTGCGGGGAAGAACTCCCAGCTTCCTGCTTCATCATCACTCAAGGCAAAGTCCCCTCTGCCGCAGCAGCCGGAGCACGAAGAGGGGCTTCCTCTACAGAGACCAGGGCTGTCAGGTAAGATTAGCAATGACTGACACATAATAGGGTATCCAACTTGTATCGGATGAGGTATCTTGTGGTTTTGAATGTGCTGATTTTTCCATGGTCATTTTTTACTTTGATTTGGTTTCAGATAGTTCTTAGGAGTGTCCTTAAATCGAGTCACTGATATCAGGCAAACAAGGCTCATGTTACAAAAATGGCTTTATGTCACATTCTTTTCATTTGAATTGCACTCTGAACTCTTAATGAAACATAATATCGTGATGAAGTTGGTTTAATCACTGAAATGAGTTCTTGTTGAGATGGCCTTATGTCTTACCTACATTGTGTTTCTTCAAATTTAACAATATGTAAGCTTATTATATCATCTTTCTGACAATAATGTTGGTTTGTTAAACATTTAAGGACTTTTTTTTTTTGCCAGGGTTCAGCTAAAATCAAATTCAGATTTTCATCTTCTCTTCAGGTTTACAAAGGTTTCTGCCATGCTGCATTTGAGTAAGGTAAGAATGAGCAAGACAATGACAGTTCAGGGTGCTCAGATGGTCAAATTAAGAAATTTAGGACTTTTTTATTACCATGTCTTGTTTCCAAAACTAGGGGGATTTTGTATGGGTGGACTCCGGTGGTGGAGTGCCAATCGGGGCAGAGGTCAAGGTGACGGACACAGGCCAGCTTCAACTGGTGGATGATGAAGGAAAGGTATATATATATATAAAAAAAGAATCTACTTTAGTTCAAACCAGGAAAACCTTTGTTGCATAAAAGTTGATGAAAATTCTTTCATGTCACACAAACAGACACACAAGATCAGCAAGAAGACAGAGGGCACCATCCGGCCCATGCACCCCACCTCTGTGACGGGTGTGGAGGACATGATAAGACTGGGTGATCTAAATGAGGCCGGACTCCTCAGGAACCTCCTGGTGCGACACAAAGAAGGCCTCATCTATGTGAGTTTCCATTTCTAGATTTCACTTTGAAACGCCTAGTTTTTATGACGTTCATAACCTGCCGTGGAAATGCTTACTCGTCTGAGTCTCCCCTCGCTCTGAATGGCTTGCTATCTCAGACTTTGCCCTTTCTTTTATTACTGTGTTATTTGTCTCCATAGAGACCAACGACTTTCTGTTTTCAGAGAACATCCCAGTGTTTCTGTGTGGGTGTGTCTGCATCACAGCTCAGCAGTGTTTACTCACTTATCAATAAGGACCTATTCCTGCCTAAAAACACTTGTGCTCAATCCTGCAGCTGATCTTCCTTTGTCTCTCATGTTTACACCATCTATGACTGTTTGAATCCAGTGACCTCCAGGACATAATATCTCATGCATTGCAGCCAAGACCAGTCTGGGGTTCACTGAGGTCACTGGCCTGATGATGTGCTTCACCATAATAGTCAGTTTCTGTCCACATCTGTCCTCTGTGCTGCTGTGCGTGATAGTAAACATCCCTCTCTGTTTACAGACGTACACAGGCTCCATTCTGGTGGCAGTAAACCCTTACCAGCTGCTGCCCATCTACACCACTGAGCACATTCACATGTACACAGACCGACGCCTGGGTGAGCTGCCTCCGCACGTCTTTGCCATCGCAGACAGCTGCTTCTTCAACATGCGCCGCAACAAGAAGAACCAGTGCTGTGTGATCAGGTCTGCTTTGTTTATTTACATCAGACTGAGGCTGCTTACAGATAGTTAATGCAACAGTGGCAACATTGGACTGTCTGTTTAAAACATCAGAAAAAGGGTTAAACCTTCACACACTATCCAACTTGTAAAAAGTACATTTATGGGCAACATGTCAGTCCTAGACCTTCATCAGGCAAACAGTGTGTGAGGACAGGAAGAATAAGGTGTGGCCACAGGCCTGCAGTGAATTACCACCACAGAAAATAATAAAACTTCCTGACTAAGAGGAAACATAACATGAAGCATAATTAGCATTTTCATTTCCTTCCCAAAAGGATGAATAAAGTTGTATCTAATCTAAGTTATCTAGCAATTAAATGATAAAACACAAATTGGGAAAAAATCCAAATTAAATGAACATGATTTAAATGTTGAATGTTCTTTTAATCGTGATTTTTCATGTTGTAAGTTCTCCATGTTGTTCTGTTTTTTTGGGGTGTTTCAGTGGAGAGTCAGGAGCAGGAAAGACTGAGAGCACCAAGCTCATGCTGCAGTTTCTGGCTGCAGTGAGCGGGCAGCACTCCTGGATTGAGCAGCAGATTCTGGAAGCAAACCCCATTTTAGAAGGTACAAGAAAAGCATCTCTGAAACCTGATGAGACAGCTCTCATAAACCAATAAACTGTCTGTTTTGTCAGGATCTGATTTTGTACACTCGTGTTTTTTTCCCCCACAGCTTTTGGGAATGCCAAAACTGTTCGTAATGACAACTCTAGCCGTTTTGGAAAGTATATAGACATCAACTTCACCAAAGGAGGGGCTATTGAGGGGGCCCGGATTGAGCAGTACCTGCTGGAGAAGTCCAGAGTGTGTCGCCAGGTGATAAGATCTGTTTCCTTTATATTCTAAAAGCAGCTTTTCAGCATGGACCATCAACAGGACTCAATTTGATGACAACTGGAATAATGATCCTGCATTCTTGTTATTACTTTGGGGAAGCTATTTGGGGATCTGCTGTACCTCCAATGCACAGCTAAGAAAGGGGGTCAGGGTGTGAGATCAGGAATGGGCTGAGAGTGCTGGAAAAGGTGGGGTTGAAGTGTGATTATGCTCCTAAAACTTTGCTGTATGGCAGCACTCTCATAATGAAAATGTAAAGAGCTTGTCTTTTCATTTGAAGGCACCTGAGGAGAGAAACTACCACATCTTTTACTACATGCTGATGGGCATGTCAGCCGACCAGAAAAAGATGCTGTCCCTTGGGAGCGCTGCAGAGTACAGCTACCTAACCATGGTACTAAATAAATCTTGAAGTGTCAAAATTTGAGTGTTTTTAATGACAGATTTGACAGATACATGTGTGAATCACAGATGACTAGAGCTCAGGAGTTCATGTTACACATTAGCTTGTGTAATACCGTCCACAGGGTAACTGCACCAGCTGTGAGGGCCGTGATGATGTGAAGGAGTACGCTCACTTCCGGTCAGCTCTGAAGATCCTTATGTTCACAGAAAATGACTCCTGGGAGATCTACAGACTACTCGCTGCTATCCTCCACCTGGGCAATGTCAAATTTGAGAGTGAGAAAACAGGCACAAGAAGTAACTGGAGAGATTGCATTTTTTTGAGACAATAATGATCTTTTTCTTGCATTATTCCAGGCACAATAGTGAATAACCTTGAGGGCTGTGACATCCGCAAATCATCCCATTTTAACATGGCCAGCCAACTTTTGGAGGTATGGCAGGTTTTGCCAAGTCGAAAACTGAAATATTAAGAGATGAGACATGCTGCTCTGACTGACTTTGACCTATCTCTTTAGGTGTCTCCCAAAGAGCTGGAGAAGAGTCTGATTGTGCGATCCTTCATGACAGCCAGAGAGAGCGTGACCAAACCTTTGACCCCTGACCAGGCTTTGGACGGCAGGGACGCCTTTGTCAAAGTAACATCAGTCAACAGCTGTTAAAATACTCATGTCAGACACACATGCAGCTCATTGAAACGATAATAGATATATGTATGGAATGTGACATTTAGGTGCCTTGTACATGTCTTAGAGAGTAGAGTGCTGATAATTGATAATCTCGTCCTCATGTCATGTTTTTCAGGCCATATATGGAAGACTCTTCATCTGGGTTGTGGACAAAATCAACTCTGCCATTTACAAAGCGCCTGAAGATAAAAAAGAGGTCCATCAGTCCATCGGCTTGCTCGACATCTTTGGTTTTGAGAACTTCAACAAAAACAGGTTCAAAAATAGCTTCAATGATACTGAAGTGTTGTTGCTTTGAGATGAATGTAATTTTGATTTCTTTGCTTTTACACTGTCTGATTCATTGCAGCTTTGAGCAGCTGTGCATCAACTTTGCCAATGAGCAGTTGCAGCAGTTCTTTGTCAGACATGTTTTCAAGCTGGAGCAGGACGAGTATGCCAGAGAAAACATTGTTTGGAAGCACATTGACTACAAGGACAACCAGCGCACTCTGGATGTACTGGCCAGCAAACCTATGAATATGCTGGCACTGATTGATGAGGAGAGCAGCTTCCCTAAGGTTTGTATCATCCTCATTCCACGTACAGTGAGACAAAATGATAGCAAAAAAAGGTTTAACTTTCAGTTTTTGTCTATTTCCAGGGCACAGATACCACCATGCTGCAAAAGATGAATCAGGTCCATGGGAAGGGCGGCATCTATATTCCCCCCAAGAACAACTATGAGACACAGTTTGGAGTTCAGCATTTTGCTGGCGTGGTCTACTATGACTCAAGAGGTATTTCTAAGGAGACAATACAAAGCATTCCTGTTCCCTGTGCTCAAACTTGAAGTTCTCATCTTCGTTATTTTGTTTTGAGGTTTCCTTGAGAAGAACCGTGATGCCCTCAGCTCAGATCTGATTCAGCTGATGGAGACCTCCACCAATAAACTTCTCAAGCAGCTGTTTCAGAATGAGCTGTTGACCAATACTGTCAAGAGTGTTACTCCCAAGATGATCACCATCACTACGGCCAGCAACAGCCTTCGGGTCAGTGCAGCTTTTACTTTCAGCGACTTTACAGCAAAACAATGAAAAACTCCTTTTTACTGCAGGTATTGAATTATACTCTGTGGTTTATTGTGTATGACAGCAAACACCTGATACCAAAAAGCGTGTGCCGACTCTGACCGGACAGTTCCGTCAGTCTCTGGACTCCCTGATGAAAACCCTGACTGTGTGCCAGCCCTATTTCATCCGCTGCATCAAACCCAATGACTTCAAGAAGCCAATGGTGGGGACAGGAAAGTGCACTCACTTAATCAAATACATTTTAAGAATTTGGTAAAGGTTAACCCTCTGTGTTTCAGCTGTTTGACAGAGAGCTGTGCATGCGTCAGCTCCGTTACTCTGGTATGATGGAGACCATCAGGATCCGCAAAGCTGGATACCCTGTACGCTACACGTTCCAAGAGTTTCTTGGTCGCTACCGAGTCCTTTTGAAAAGTTCAATCTGTGATCCCAAAAAAGTAAGTTGGATGTTTAAATGTGATCATTTGTATTCTGACATTAACCTCCACTCTTCCTCCTCTTTTCACGAGTTGTTATCTTGTTTATTTCGCTCTTTCAGGAAAGCAAAGAGAAATGCTGTGAGAGCATTTGTGAAACAGTGCTGGCTGGGGAGGGAGACTGGAAGACTGGCAAGACAAAGATTTTCCTCAAGGTGCTGCTTTACATTCAAATGGATATGTTCTGGGGCAAAATGATTAGAAGCTATGAATCTTGTAACTGAACCACTGCAGTTATGTCAAGCTGAAAATCATGGATTTAAATTTCGTGGTAAAAATTTCCAACAAGTTATTTAAATGGAAACTTTTAGGGTCTATAAATTCAAACCCATGTCTATTAAAGCTCAAATTGCTAGATTCTTACAGTTGATCAAACGGATCAAACTCAAGCATCTATAACTTTTAAATGAGGACTGCTAGATGATTAAACTGATACATATAGATAGCAGTTAATCACATAATTCTTATTGGTAATGTATGTATGCTAATTTGAAAACAGTTTCTAAATCTAGGTTAACTTGGTAAAAAAAAAAAAAAAAAGATCTTGGTGACAGTGGTGATTTTCACGTGGAGTTGTTGTAAATTATCTCCTCAAAGACATTATTAGCACATGCCTGCAGACCTGGAGGCTGTAAACACATGCTACTCATATGAGGACCATAGATGTAAAACCCTTGTTGTTTTAAGGGTCACCTCCTTGCGCACTTGATCACCAGGGACCATATTTTAAAAGTCTGACCCTAGACCCAACCTAAACCAGGACTGTCTTAACAACACACGGCTCCTAAAGATGTGGTCCTAGTCTCAAAACTGCAGCCTCCGGCTTAGCAAACACATAATACTGACCATTAAGCTGTTAGAAAATCTATTTCTTGTGTCATCAAGGCCACAGTGACCCCCTTTTCATGAGGAGGAGCGGGGCTCTCTGCAACGACACAGTCATCACAGTAAATACAAAGAACTTTAGTCTTGTTGAGAGAATTATTCAGCAAGGCTTAATTTATTATAAACATGTTAACTTGAGAGCCCTATTTCTTATGTTAGCTTTAAATTATACTTTTTATATAAATATTTTTATTTAATATTTTATTATTTATCTAAAGTTCTATTTTATCTTTATTTTTTATACATATTGTTCATTTGACCATTACTTTTTTGAACATTCTGATGATGCTAGAATTTTCATTTCTTTGGAAAATCTTTCCAGAAGGATCAGTAATAAAGTTGTATCTAATCTAATCTAATTTAATCTAATCTGATCTGATCTGACCTGACCTGACCTAACCTAATCTCGTCTCATCTCATCTAATCTAATTTGACCTGACCTGACCAAATCTAATCTAATCAAATCTCATCTCATTTTATCTCATCTCATCTTATTTTACCTCACCTCATCCAATCTAACGTCCTTTATTCCAAAAAAGATTGTATTTGTGACACTTAATGAAATGTTTATGATAAACAGGGTTTATTAAGTTGAAGTTCAGACATCATGATTGCTTTTATTGGTCAACTTTCCTTTAATAAATCATTGTGTTGCTTTAAAATCTGATCTGAAAATTAAAAAAGACAATAATTCCACTGTTTATTTTCCAGGACCACCATGACACCATGCTTGAACTGGAGCGAATGAAAGAACTGAATGAGAAAGCTCTTCTGATCCAGAAAGTCCTGAGAGGCTACAAATACAGGTACGAGACAAAAGTAAAAAAGAAAACTCTTGAATAGTATGTCCTTTTTTGTAATTGTATTTTACTCATGTAACTTTTGACAAGTTTTATATTCAGATGCCCAGAACTATGTGGTATACTTGAACATCTAACTAAACAAATATGGAACAAAGCATAAATAACTTTCCTCCTTCCTGTATTCAGAGATCATTTGAAACTAAAACAAAGACAGGTATAAACTTCTTTAACGTCACAAACTTCATATGTTTATGATTAATTCCCTCTAAAGGAGACAGTTCCTGAGGAAGAAAGCAGCAGCCCTTGTCATTCAGAAATACTGGAGAGGACACAAAGGAAGAAAGCTTTACAAAGTGGTGAGTCCCTATTTGATGTATCGTCAGCAGTGAAAATTTAGAGCTGACTTAAAGCTAACTCTAACATTTCTAATCTAATTCCAGGTCCAGCTGGGCTTTGCCAGACTGCAGGCTCAGGTCCGCTCGCGCCAGCTTCACTCCCAGTATAAGAGGAAACGTGAGGCGGCCATGTTACTGCAGACTCAGATCAGAGGATACCTGGTCAGGAAGGAGTGGAAGCGCAAGAGAGACGCTGTGATCCTTCTGCAGGCCTACACCAGGGGAGTGCTGGCCAGAAAGGCAGTCAAAAAAAAGAAAAGAGATGTAAGTCCAAGTTATACCATGATGATGATGAACTCTCTTTGTAGCTGTCTTAAAAATTGTTTGAAGATCCTGTTTTCACAGGGTGCAGGAGTGGTTAGTTACCAACAACTCCCCACTATTCATCCACCAATTTTGTTCATTACTTTAACTATTCACTCTATGTTATCAGCTTATTCAATTCCTTGCTGTTATTGTTACTATAAACCATTAAATTCAACAATATATTACACACCAAGACAAACAAACTTCAAATCTGAGAAAGTAAAGCATTCAAGAAGGTATCTAATAAATGTAAAAATAAAAAAAAGTTGATCCTCTATGAGAAAATTATTTCATTTACCTATCACTTTTACTTTTGGCAAACTGGTTAAACTCCTTTACCTTTGTACCCAAACTGTTGTGCAGTGATCAATGTGATGTTGAGGATTCACAGTTAACTCAAGTCAGAGGAAAGAGTGGCCACCAGACCAACTCAGCTCAGTAAAAGGGTCTGGAAAAGTTCCATTCGTTCCTTGGTTGTACAGAGGCATTTGCAAATGTTGTAAAACCACCTTGAGAAGTGAAAGTACAAATTTGCAAACAATAACATTTACACAGTAGTGTACAGCCACAGAAATATAAACAAACAGCATCATGCAAAGAGAAGAAACAAACCCGTCTTTCTAGTGAGTGCTGCAAGAGAAAATGTTGGATTTGTTTTTTCTGATGAGAAGACATTATTCATTTTTTTCCCAAATGGCCAGAATAGTTGGTTAAATGCAACCATCAGCTCCAGAAACTGCCATGGTTGTGTTTGAACACACTAACTTGTATGCAGCACTACTGTGTTGTCTTCTTCCAGTGCCTTCCCTATCTTTACTAAAGGACTGTGATTGGTTCAGTTTATCTGACATTAAAGTCCAACGCCAATCTTCCTCTCTATTTCTCACAGTCTGGCCTGCGTATCAGGGTTCAGGGGGCGGAGCTTGGATTTATGATGTAGGAAATCTCCCTGTGTCTGGACCTGCCGTTCGGGTCTGCCAGAGGTTCACAGTGATTTGAATGCAGAAATACTCAAAAATGCTATTTTGCACTTACTTTTCTCATGATATGTCCTGTAGCACCAGAAAATTGCCATATGATCATTTAGACCACAAGAAAAACATAATTTTCATCAGAGTGGGTCTTTAAGGAGGAAATATTTCGGATATCAGCAATTCAACATCCTCCTGCCAGCAAAAATGAATCTGATCTGGCTGTTGTAACACCATCTGGTAACACCAGGCTGAGGAACCATCAGAAATGTACTGAATGATACTGTGATGTCACACAGATTAAAATACACTAATATTTGTGTGTAGCTCTTTTCCAGAGCTGTTTGTAGTTTTTTCTTCTGTAGCTTGAGTTACTTTGCTTTTTTTATTCTGTGGGTGTAGTACTTGGTACTGTGTCATTACTCCATGGTCTATTACTTCTCAAAGTGCGCATAACCAAGTAATCTCAGTTTACTCTGCATCACCACAATGTCATCAGCAGCAGAAAATTTCTGACATTACAGCTTCAGCAAGATTATGTATTTGACATTTGACTTCTTTACCTCCAAGCCACTGCTGTAAAAGATAACAAGTTATTCTTCAGTTGTTTTTTTTTTGTTGTTTTTTTTTTTTATCTGCAAAGGTTGTAAAAGACATGCATAAGGTAGGGCTGATCCTCTTTGATGTGTCTTCTTTCAGCTTTACCTGTCGGCCAAAGACAAAGCAGCAGAAGAAAAGGCTGCCAGGGAGAGGCAGAAACAATACGAGGAATTACTGAGACAGAAGAAAGAGAGAGAGGCCAGAGCTCAGGCTGAGGCCATCACTGACACAGAGATGGTTGAACGCATGTTTGAATTCCTGCCTGAAACTGGGCAGGAGGGCCAAGCACCTGTGGGATATGAGGTCCGGGAACTAAAACCTTCACCCATTTCGTCCTTCTTTCACCGTTATGTAGAGTCTCTCAATTAATGTTTATTTCTGGCATTAGAAATTTGAGAAGATGGTCACAGAAGAGATCGACATCGATGAACTCCCCATGGAGGATGATCTTCCTCAAGAAGACTACGATGACCTGGATGAGTACTCCTTCTCCAAGTTTGCTTCCATGTACTTCCAGGGTGCAGCCACCCCCACCCACATCCGCCAGAGGCTCAGACAGCCCCTGCTCTACCACGAAGATGAAGGAGATGTTCTGGTGCGTCACTCAACTTCTGTTATTCATTAAAAACACCGCTCTCAAATGTACTGAAGGTTTGTTTGTCTCATCATGGTGTTGTTGGTTTTTTTTTTTTGTTTTCTTCTCTTCTTTCTTCCCAGGCTTCTCTGACAGTGTGGTGGATCATCCTGAGGTTTATGGGAGACCTCCCAGAGCCAAAGAAGCAGGTCAGAGCCCCAGGAGCTCCAGCACAGGAACGTTTTATGCCACAAGACTTGCTCTCCAGGAATGACAGACGTCTTAGCCACATGGTGGGCCTGGATCAGGTGAGTGTCTTCACAGAGCAAGGTCTTAATATTATTCTTTACTTAAAATTCTGTTTGGGATTTGAAAGCATCATTTGTGACTGTTTCAGAGGGTGCTGAGGAATAAAAAAGAGAGAAAGCCTTCAACAGTACCTGAGGAACCAGCTCCAGTCAAAAGAGGCTCCATTTTCACAGACCTTCTGACAAGAAACAGAAAAGTATCTGCAGCGCCAAACCTCACAGCTCCAAACCCAAAGGCGTACACGGTGCCAGAGGAGAGCCCTCGAGCAAGGAAAGGATCCACATTTACAGACCTGATGTTCAGGAACAGGAAAGCCTCCACAGCTCAAGAAAATGGGATCCCAAGATCTGCTCCAGCTGCCAGAAAACCCTCAATCATCATGGAGGAGGTGAGCCTGAAACCTATTTTTGTCTTCGTGTTCCTGTAAAAAAATAGTCTGATATTCTAGTGTACTGATGGACTTTTCATTGTTTCTTTTAGTCAGAGGATCAGACTGAGGTGTCCAAGCCTCCCACCCTGCAGACTGTGCAGGAGGACAGTGACGTCATGATTGGAGAGGGACTGACCCTGGACCGGCCACTCACCAGTTTAGAAAAACTCCACATCATTGTGGGATACGCTATCATCAGACGTGACCTCAGGTAATGAAAACAGTTCAATACTCACACCCAAGAATCACTTTTATGTTCTTCCCTAACACAATATTTTGTCCAGGGATGAGATTTACTGTCAGATCTGCAAGCAGCTTCAGGAAAACAACAATCGCAACAACTGTTTCCGGGGTTGGATCCTGCTGTCTCTCTGTCTGGGTATTTTCCCTCCAAGTGAGCGCTTCACAAGAGTGAGTGTGTCACCTACATGTCTTCAGACTGCAGCTGCAGCGATATCACAGATGCATAAAAAATTTACTTAAGCAGATTTACTTTGATTTACTATCCACCACTGGTAGCTTCACCTCCAGGATACAGAGAATCAGAGATTACTGTAAATTAAGAGCTAATGCCTCAGCTCATTTGCCGACCTCTGCTGCCAATTATTTAATGCTGACAAGTACAAAAGCACAAACATGGCTTTAAGGAAGTGTGCAGGGCTTCTCTTTTATATGCTGGTAGTTTTTATCTGCCCTTCACCTGTTTCATGTGCTCATGCCCTCCCTCCTTCATTGAGAGAAACATGACTAATCAAATTACATTCATCTTTTCTCTTGTTACTTGTCTTGACAGTACCTGCAAAGTTTCATCCGTTCTGCTCCTGGAGATTATGCCTCCTACTGTGCAGAGAGGCTGCGACGCACAAGACTGAACGGGATGAGAGGAGAGCCTCCATCGTGGCTGGAGCTACAGGTAATAAGGCTAACACATGAGACTACTGCTAAGATTTCAAACCAATTGATCGCTTTGATAAATTTCATGTATTTTTTAGCTGCCTTAAAACTCAAGGCCTAGACTTTGAGATATCTGTCTCTTGAGTTTTTGTGCTGAGGTGGCAGCAGAAATCCCACTGAGACATCATTTAGGACCTCTGTGAGAAGTTAAAGATGTTTTATGTAAATCGAACAAACATGCCCTGCCGTTGTCTCGTCTGCGACAGGCGACCAGGACAAAGCAGCGGATGATTGTGACGGTGAAGCTGATGGATGGACGCTCTGTCAATCTGCCTGTTGACTCAGCATCCACCTCCAGAGAGATCTGCATGGCCCTCTCTAATAAAATCAAGCTCAAGGACAACTTTGGCTTCTCTCTTTATGTGGCCCTGTATGAAAAGGTATGAACACATCTGCTTTTGAATATGCTCTTTTTTTTTTTTTGATACTGATGAATCCAACTTTTATCTGGCTTTGAGAGAGGAACATTGCCCACGAAAAAATTAAGTATGTACCAAAAAACCAAAGAAGAAGCATTATTTTATACAAGGATGATTTTTTTAACCTCTTTATCTAAGTCCTTCACAACTCCTGTCGTACTAAACAAACTCAATTAAACCTTCAATAACTGAAACAAAGCCAGGATGTACAAAAGCATTTAGACTGATACTGCAAGAGGATTTAACAGCCAGCTAAATTCACAAAATTGGGTGCCTGAACAAGGGTGGCCTGTACCCCCTTTGAATCTGATTAGCACCCCAGCTGACACCTCCAAACCCTCAGCTATGAACTATTAAGGAGATACCTCAAAATCCAACTGGAAGCTCTTTTTTAGTCCCATTGAAGAAGCAAACATGACCAGAAAGATTTATTCAATGGTTTGGATTTTAGGCACTTAAAGATACTCTGGTCTTTAAAGCTTCTGTAAGTTTGTGTCAAATCAGCCTTTTCCCTTTTGTCCTCCACGTGCTTAAAGCTCCTGTGAGGAGTTTTTTCAATGTTTATGAAACAGACTGAAATTCACACGGATGCTTCTCTATGATATCTAAACCAAAGAAGACCATCAGTGACAAGATTTATGATTTTTTTATGTTATTTTTAATGCCTAAATCTGGTGTGAGGGGGCAGGTGTCAGCCAGACAGCTGAATACGTAGACACTTTTTTACATATTTCATTTAAAATGTTCACTATGGATTATACATTTGACTGTCTGATTCTGGAAAGTCTTCTAAGCTGATAAAAGCATGATTGAACTAGTAAATTGATGTGCTTCTCCAGATTGAGGTTGTTATCATATGACATAATATGAATGCTAATCAAAGCCAAAAACTCCTCACAGGACCTTTAAAGAACATGATTTCAGTCGTTCTTGGTATTTGTATGAGCCTTTCAGTTTTGCAGACGTTACGCTCACTCTGACCCGCTCATGATGCTTCTCAGCTGAGCTGATCCAGCTGCTTAAAGGTTATAAGATGTTTCATCTGAGCCAAGCGGTGACTTGGATTGCCACATACAGTTAGTATTTTTTTTTCCCCAAGTGAGTTTTCAGAGAAAAAAAAGACATAAATCAACTGTGTGGGCTCTTAAAGTACCAGTGTCCTTCTTCTCATAGGCCCCTTTCATCCATTCACACTTTAAACAATGAATCTCTGTATCCATCTTTGTTTGCACTCTGTTTTGTACCTTTTGAAGTTAAGAATGATACACAGCAATATCACATCTTCCAGGCACTCAAATGTTAGTTTGCAGGCTAGAAATGTTTGGTGCAGATGTAAAAGGATTCATTTTCTTCAACTGATAATTTGCCAAAGTATGACAATGAAGTTCTCAGTCAGTCAAATCTGAATATAGTGCCGGGTTTGTCAGACACTGTCATGTTTTTGGAAACTAAATGTCTATAAGCTGTATTAAATTGTTCTGACTCCTGCTTTGGCGACGTTTTTTAACTATAACCTTAGATGTTGACTTGTTCTCCAGGTGTGGGCTCTGGGCAGCGGCCGGGAACATGTGATGGATGCCATCTCTCAGTGCGAGCAGGAAGTAAAAAGGAGAGGAGGCCAAGAGCAGCACGCTCCATGGCGTCTCTTCTTCCGTAAGGAGATCTTCACTCCATGGCACGACTGCAAAGAGGACAAGATTAGCACAGACCTCATCTACAAACAGTTCATCCACGGTCTGCAGTATGAAGAGTACCGCTGCGAAAAGGTAAGCTCATGATTACACGTTTATCTCTTGTGAAACCCTCTGTTTTCTCTGACATTTGTCTGACAGACGTTTTCTACCTTTCACAGGAGGATGACTTAATTCAGCTCGCTGCCAAACATTTATATGTCTCGCACGGCTCAGACAGCAGCCCAGAACACGTGAAAGAGGCTGTTCAGGACTGCGTCAACAATTCTCTGCTGGAGGCAAAGTCAGAGGCCAAGTGGGTGCAGATGGTCAGCACTGCTCATGCTCAGGTCAGCACCAGGAAGCTCCACAGAGAAAGGCTTTACATGGGCTTACAGAAGATCTAATCCTGACCTCTGCTTTTCTTGAACCACTCCAGGGTTCCTATTTGAGTTCAAGACAGAAGACCGACTCAGTGAAGGCAGAGATGGTCGACTATGCCCGAGAGAAATGGCCCATGTTCTTCTCAAGGTTCTTTGAGGTTGTCAAAGTGTCAGGTGAGCATTTGTTAGTAAGTTCAGATAAACACAAGACACTCGCACCCTGGAGAAAAAAAAGAAGCAGTCAGTGAAGAAACCTCTCCTGTTGTGCAGTGGCCACAAAAACCCTGGCCTGCTTATTTTAACTTACATGTTGATAACACAGATGCTATCTACCTACAGACCTGAGGCTTTTGAATACTTTATTAAGGCACTTTTCTGGTGTCGATATTAGACTCAAGGAAAAAAAAGTACAAAAGAAAAAAATCCTCTTGTTTTGATCTCCAGCAGACATCATTTCTCTCCATCTGTGTATAAAACATGTTTCTGGCATATCTGATGTTTTTACTTCTTTAAGGGTATTTTGCCGTAAGTGATAGAGTATCTGAAGAGAGACAGGAAATGTGGGGAGCAGAAAGAGAGGAAAGACATGCAGCATATCTGATCTGATCCTATAATTCCTTGACTTTAAAAAGAGAAACTGTTTGGGATGAAAGTAAAAGCTAAAATAGGATGACTCCTTATTAAATAACACCACCAAAAAAACAGAAAAAAAAGACTAAAATAGCAATTTTGTATACAGACTAACCTTTAATTTAAAATAATGCAGTTTATGGACCAAGACGCTACGCTTGTTGCCTCCACTTTGATGATAGCTGTGGCTGAAGGCCTCATTATCTACGTGACCGTCTGTCTGTCTGTGAATTCGTCACACTGATGTGTGAGCGCGAGAACGTCTGGAGGGAATATCTCCAAATCTGGCACAAAGTCCACTTGTCTTCAAAGATGAGCTGATGAGATTTTGGTGGTGAAACAACCACCAAAGGTTAAAGGTCATTCTGACCTCACGTTTGTCACATTAACTTCAGAGCATGGTATCTCAGCAAAGCCAGGAGGAAAATTCATACATGTGATTTATTCCTCCCATGAAGACAGAACTCTATCTGAGATCAGGGGCCTGTTCTACGAAGCAGGATTACTGCTTAGCGAGGTAACTTCGAGGATAAGTTCGGGGTTTCCTGTTCTACGACGCGGGTTCACTTCTTAGCGAGGCGAGTCTCCATAGCAATATACGCTGAACGGCTAACCTGCTCCGGGGCAGGTTAAGTTCCAGATTGAACTCACCGAGCATAAAAACCCCACCCACTGACCAATGAGCTCTCTCGAAAAACGGCTTGTCCGTTCTTGGAGGATCCTATAGACCTCGGTGCTCGCATTGTCCGAGGAGCACTCCGACTCGCGAGAGTTTTCAGGGAGAGTTTTCTCCGGATGACCACCTCTATCAAAGGCTCATATGGCCGACATATTACACAAAACATGTAAACACGATAGGAATGAACAAATGAATGATTCATCTTGGGAATGAATGGGCATGAGCTGCAGGGGCTGCGCGATCACAGTCAACATCTCGGTACTATTTAGTAGCAGCGCACGCCCCTTATAATAACCCCCGTAAATACTGTTGTTCAGGACTGTTACTTGTGCTTCCTACCCACTGTAACAACCGTTGTTCTAGCCCACATGCAACATTTTTGTTCTCATTCATGAAACGCTTAAATCAGGGACATTTTCGGGGACAGCTTTAGCCGGGGACAGATCATCCAATTCGGGGACTGTCACCTTAGTTAAAAGCTCATGTTGAACAGTGCTATTTCAGGGTGATAATGGCATCAACGATTACTTTTCTGCCAGCATTCCCTCCGTGCTTTTGCAGCGGCGACAGTGTTGCTTTTGAGGTTTGTGATAGCTTTCAATTCTTCATACTTTCTCATGATCGTCTCCTGCTCCTTGTTTGTAAAGTCTGCGGTCCTTCACTCTTCAGCCTGCTCTGACGCTCCAGACTGATCCATGTTCGCGATTGGTCAGATGCGGCGGGCTCCGCCTTATATGTGTGCACGCGCTCATAGCAGAGCTGGATCCACTTATGAGGTTGATAACCAGCGTCGTAAAACCGCTTAGCGAGACCGCTGGCTACCACGCTAAGTTGAGCGAGGTAGCTCCAAGGCAGTGGCGATTGCTCTAAGACTGCAAGGGAAGCTTGGCTTCCCTTAAAATGTCACCCCCCCAAAAAAAGAAAAAGTGGTGAAATACGTACGGCTGTGTGTACATTTCATTAACTAAATACGCACTAGAAAGCCTTCAACTTTTGTTCAGACACTGTGATAAGAAGCTGATAATCACAGGTAACCGGCATAACTTCGTTCTCATTCATCCTCGCAGTGCCTCAGCGCTTTAAACAGCCGGACGCTGGGCTTCTGCTGACTTCAATGTGGAAGCTTAAAGTGGGTTGTTCCAGCAGCGAAACTAGACGCTCATTGGATAAATGCTGGGCTTTGTCCCGCCCAATGGAAGCTAAGCTTCACTGGAGTTCTATGGCGAGAGGGCGGTCCCTCTTTCTCCCGGACTCCAAGCTTCTGCATTCATGATTGGATGAGCTGTCTGAGGCGAAATCCTTTTTTGATTGACAGCTAAACAAGCGAATCAGCGATCTTGAAGAATAAAACATCTACCAGAGCATTTTCCAAGTTATTCATTCCGTTGTTCTTAACTGCTCCAGAGACTTTACCGATCCTCAGCAACTTTTGTCTTTGTTAAAAACGACTGCCGTTGTGTTTGGCGACTCTGTTCTGTTTCATACTAATAAACAAATACAATTATGATGTAGGCCAGAAAAATGAGCTTCCCCTCCTTGAAAGACCAGCAGCCGCCACTGCTCCAAGGATACCTCGCTAGGTTGAACCTGCTTCGTAGAACAGGCCCCTGTTGATGAAAAAATCTACCGTCTCTCTCACCCTGCTTCTGCCTGTTTGTTTTATTGTTGCAAGAATAGACTGACAAACACATGCAACATTTGGTGTCTGTGTCAAAAACTGGGATATACAGAGCTATTTATAGAAACACTGTACGGCCGAGATTAAGACTCAAACACTGAAGAATAAAAGTGAATAAGCGGACCAGAAACAACATTTCTTGCTTCCTTGGAACAGTCCAAAAACTACAATTTAGGTTTGAAACACTCTCTTTAAAAAGAGGAGCTCTGACACAGAGACAATGTGTTGCATCTCTACGATGTAAAAAGGCAATCACCACCATCAATGCCAGCATTGGCGATTTCTGTATTATACTTTCCAATGCCTATAACTGCTGTCAGGGGGTGGGCACGCTGAAAAAAAAGCCTTTACTTGAAGTATGCCACAGAAAATACTCTCATCGATTGAATAGAAGAGAACAGCAAGAAGAGATTTGTCTGTTTTTCTGGAGACATAGACCGCTGTGTATTGCTATCATGTGGTCATTGCTGAATTTGGTGTAGCTAGAGAAGCAAGCGGTTGGCAACGTTCATCTCTCAAGGGGGTGTCTAACTCAGTGTTACGGTGTCTTTGACCCAAACTTTGTCCACAGAGGGTGCCAAAGTCAACACAGACACAAAGTTCCTAACAGGAGCTTTAACTTCGCATGTAAACATACCGACCACTCAGGGGAAGTACTTTTTGAGGCTCCAGAAATTTGGGGGGCAGGAGCTAAAGAGATTCACATTTACATAAAGAAAGAGCAGGTCATTAGTTTACATATTTAAGAATAATAAATACAGCTTATCCACTGTCAACATGATTTGTGACAACTTTTTTTTTTAATTTAAAGGTTCAGCAAAGGCTTAGATTAAGAGCTGTGCAGGTGACTTCATCAAACACCTGTGCTGGATGTCTGGCTTTAGTTGAATAATCTGTCAGGAACTTGGGGTTCAGGCCACAGGAACCATTAGCAAAGAGTCCCTGGTACTTCTTGTCAAAAAAGACTTCAAGTGTTGTCATAAATTATTGCTTATTGTTCCTTTAATCTGGGATTGTTTCAGGTCCTGCACTACCAAAGAACAAATTCATCGTGGCCATAAACTGGACAGGAATCACTTTCCTGGACGAGAGAGAGAAGCGTCTGCTGGAGCTCTCCTTCCCTGAGGTCACTGGAGTCAACACCATCAGGTACAGATAAAATCAGAGGCCGTAGATGTAGAATAAGAAAATTATTTAACTTTTAAACAGTGTGCCATTACTGGATTCTACTTTGATGCCCACGCAGGGAAGGCCAAGCGTCTGGACAAGCAGTGAGCCTGCTGACCCTGAAAGGAGACTTTAACCTCAGTGGAAGCTCGGCCGGGGACATGGCAGAGCTGATCACGATGTTCCTCAGTGGACTGACAGAGAGATCTCAGTATGCTGTGACACTACGGGAGGCTACACCAGGTGAGACGACTCTATTTTCCCCTATTCTCAGGTTTTTACAGCTACAGTTTCTCCTAGTGAGTATCTTTAATAACCAGTGCCTCTTTTTTCTTCGTCATCCCTTTACAGATGATCCTGCACTGCTCAGCTTTAAGAAAGGAGAGCTCATTGTGATTCTGAAAGACGAAGATTTTCCTCTGCAGCAGGGCTGGATAAAGGGCAGAAATGAGAGCACCAAAAAGACAGGTGCTGTCCCCACTGATGCCATCTTAATCCTGCCCACGCTCAAGAAACCCACCAATGAGCTCATGGTGAGTAGAAACAAAAGCACACCGCTCTCATTAAAGAAACTGTTCCTGAAATTGTAGAGTATAAAACAGTACATCTATCCCCAATCAGAGCCTCCTCAGCTTGTCCCCTAACCAGAGGAAGACCATGATTCAGTCAAATATGAAGGAAACAGGAACAGTGGAGAGGATGGCTCTTTATACGCTGAAGGAGTTCTCCCTCGAGTACTTCAGGTATTTAAGAAATGCACTCCATACAAGTAACGGGAAACCTTCACTGGAGCAGCAGCGGCAGAAAAATCTGTCCCTTTTCTCTGATCCTACAGACAGCCCACCAAGGACGTGAACCGTCAGGTGATGTCCAGAAACGCTGCTCCTGAGAAGCTGTGGGCAAACTCCAGGGAGCCAATCAGACAGCCTCTCCTCAAGAAGCTGGTGGGCAACCCTGAACTCAGCCACAAAGCTTGCCTGGCCTTCACTGATATCCTCAACACAGTACACAAGATTTACCACCAGGACATGCTTTTGCCCCTTAGGAAGACTTTTCTCTTTTCTTTTTCAATACACCTGAATAAACTTGTGAAAATTATTCCTCCTTAATTGCTGTGAACCCATCCTGAAATATATGGGAGATTACCCCTCCAAGCAGATGCAGAGTCCTCTGGAGCTCACTGACCAGATCTTCGGCCCTGCCACCTCACACGAGGTGCTCAGAGATGAGATCTACTGTCAGATCATGAAGCAGATAACCAGCAACAACAACAGGTGCCCCAATGTTGTTTCACATTACCATGTTATTTCACATGTACAGCAGAGAGAGGAGATTTACAGCTACCTTTTTTTTAAACTCATAAACAAGCAAATCCCTTTTTTCTTGTTGCTTTATTAAATTGCTTTCCTGGCTTCAACATTGATCCGTGTAAACTAGGATGGCAAAAGTACAAAAGAGGATAAGGGCCACAAGAAGAGAAAAAAATAATTACAGGAGGGAGATGTTTTTTAATTTCCATTTCGAGATTAAAGTCAAAATTCAAGATTAAAGTCAAAATTTAAAAAGTCCTCGCAGATTGATTGTTTATTTCGTATGAATGACAAAACATATACATACGAAAAGGATAGGTAAGAAGCCAAGGCTTATAAGGAACCTACCCACTTGCCACTGTGACGCTTACAAATGAAAAAATCAAAGTTTTAAGATTAGAGTCGAAATTTCAAGATGAAAAAAATCAGAATTACGTGAATAAAGTTGAAATTCTGACTTTAATCTTACAATTTTTCTATGTAATTTCAAAATTTCTACTTTAATCTCAAAATTTTAAATTATAATCTCTAAATTTCAACTTTATTGACATAATTTTGATTTTTTTAATCTCGAAATCTCGACTTTAACCTTGAAATTTCCACTTACATCTCCTTACTGTAATTATTTTTTTTCTTTTCATATGGCCTTAATCCTCTTTTATATACAAAAGAGAGCAGAGACAAGCATTTCCAAAAAGATGTATGATCTTGTGTCAAATTGTTTTTAACTCAGATGTTGTGGAATTTAGTCAAAGCCAAAGTCACTATAACCGTTTAGTTTCTTTATGAAGAAAGTGTGAAAAATTAACAGTAAAAAGTGATCACAAAAATGATTCTACTCTGATGTTTTGAATTTATATGCAAACAGAGACCGTTTAGTCTCACGGCTTTGTCTGAAGTGTTTTCTTCTGTAATCTTGTTCCCCCTTCAGGTTCAGCATCGAGCAGGGCTGGCAGCTGATGTGGCTCTGCTGTGGGCTGTTTCCTCCCAGCCAGTCTCTTCTCAGACACACTCAGCGATTTTTGGAGTCCCGTCGCAGAGAGCCCCTCGCCTCTGACTGTCTGCAGCGTCTGCAGAGCTCACTGAGGTTAACCCAACACACAGTTTCATACATCTCCAGCAAGTTTTCTCAAGTTTCAAACCAGGGTGAAATGGAAAGTGAGACAACATTCATTTGAAGTCAGATTAAGTACACATTGCACATACACATAACAAGTTGTGAGGACTGTTTATGCAGAGATTCAGTTCTTTATTTTGCCAAGACAGTCACAAGTTGTCAGTGGCAAAAACAAGAACTTTTATTGGATATATTTGATTTAGCATTTTTGCTTCCAGGTATTTCTTTATCACCTGGTTTTGCAGCTCCAAACTTTTATGTAACTTAAAGTCATATACACCAAAAAATGCAAAAAATGTAGGGAAAGTTTAACAACTCTGGGATGACCTGTACCAGTCTGATCGTACCTGCAGCGGTGCTCTTTCTGTCAGCAGAACTCTATACAAATATGCTGCACCACCTGAACAGTGACTCGACTACACTTTGCATTAGCATGGCCTTCTCTGTGAATAGATTTTGTTAAAATTTAGATGAACACAGTGATAGGGGGCATTATTTATATCTTTACTGGTTCTGAAATACTCTCACTCTTATGTTTCTACCTCATACATGTTACCTTCGGTGCTCTTGCTGTAGATGTGACAAAATTAACACTGCACCTCTCAACTAACTCAGTCTGTTACAGGAAATATTTTACCTGTATTTTAAGAGACAAAGTAGTGAGGAAATACGTTGGATTTTACAGTTTCGTCTTGTTATCGTCTTGTTAATGAAAACTTCACCTGTATTTGCCTGAGGCTTTGTGTTCAGTGATGTATTCCAGCTCGTCATCATCTCATTAACATTGAAATTACCTCTACTAAGGACTAAAGAGTCATACTCTGTGCATATTTACACCAATTTGAAATTTACTGAGACACAGGTTGTGATGGGCAACATTAAACCACTACGTATAGACACTTTTTGTAAGATAACTAACGCCAACAAACCAGAGTTCAAAAGTTTTGTCATGGCAACATTTCAGCTTATAATTTTAGCAACACATTAGCAACACATTAGCACATAACTCTGCATCCTTCAGGAAGTTGTTTTGAGCCAAGAAAAGCTGTATTAGAAAAGATGTGTATTTGCTTTCACAACAAATGCACACGTTGACAAGAGTCACATCTTCATGCTCATGGGAAATTCAGTCTTCATCATGAAAAACATGATTGATTTCACTTAAAGGGGTCGTCAGAGTCAACATGAAAATTTCCCACAGTGCCTTCGTGTTACTTTCTGACCTTCATTAGATGAGGATTTTGGTCTTACCAGCACTAAATATTTGACTTATGTCAAAATAAATGATGTATTTTCTCTCCATGTGTAGGCTGGAGCCAAGGAAGCTGCCACCACATCAAGTGGAGGTAGACGCCATCCAACAGAACAGCACCAAGATCTTCCACAAAATCCACTTCCCCAATGACTCAGATGAGGTATGAACACTGAGAACTTTTCTTTCAAGTTATTCAAACCATCTTCACATTGTTCTATTTACCTTATGATTCCTCCACACTCTCAGATTTTTGAGGTCGCAACAAGCACCAGGATCAGGGATCTTATCCAAAACATCAGCAAACAGCTTGGGCTGGCCTCAGCAGACGGATTCAGCATTTTTGTCAAAACACATGACACGGTTTGTATTGTTGATGTAATTTTCAAGATGTTTTTAGGCGCATATCTTTTATCATACTTGAGCTGTAGCCTATCTGTTATCAGAACCAAATTACAAAATTACAACATGAAAAACACACACAAGAAAAATAACAAACACACTCTCAGATTCATGTTTTCAGTTGTCTTTCATGCCCTCGTCTGACTTTGTTGTCTGTGTTTCTGCTTATTTCAGATTCTCAGCTTGAACGACACAGACTACTTCTTCGACAGTCTCAGACATATCACAGACTGGTCTAAAAAATCCAAGAGGATCAAAGACGGTAAAATCAACCTCCATCTGAAGCGCTTATCTTTTCACTGATGTGTCTGTATTTTATGAAAACCCTGCTCACAGTGTGTGTTTTTGCTTTGTGTAGGCGGGCCTGTCAACATACCCTACCTTGTGTTCTTCATGAGGAAGTTGTGGTTCAATGTGGTTCCTGGCAGAGATGTGGAGGCCGATCTTATCTTCCATTTCCCTCAGGTGAATTTGAATGATGCAGCCTGGCTACCTTCACAAGTTAATGCTAAGAGGTTTTTCCTCATAATCGGACTGTACACAGTACACATACAGTAACATGAGACATAAGCAGTTTAATAAACAGCAGGTAGTAGTGCATTTATTTTTGTTTTCAGTCCGTTTGTAGAGCTTAATTTGAATTTGCTTTCTCTATGTTTCTAACTGGACTGTGAACAGTAAAGCTCACAGACCTTGAGCCAAGTTTAGGGTTGGCTGTGATATTGTAAATTTAAATAATGAATGCTGATAACAAAGACAATACTAGGTTTATGCATGGTGAACAGGTAAGGCTAATCAAAAGAAAAAAACAACAGGGAGAGAGGGGAACAACAGGCAAACAAAGGGAATTCACAGACTGAGGGGGGTAAATGATCCAGGGGGGCCATAGTCCAAAACCTGGTTTAAAAGGCAACATCAGAAATGCTGAGTCTCCTTATGCAAGGGGTGACAGTTCCTTGAGACAACTTGAAAAGAAAGATTTCTCTACCAAAGTCCAGGATGGAGGCTGTTTACTGCTTACAACTGCACATATAAAGAAGTTAACCATATTTTCCAGAGGCATATGTTGTCATAAGATAATTCTTTGTGGATCCAGAGATAAGTTTTACATGAGTGGCAATCTCTGGTCTCAAGTGTTAAAAATTGAAGTTCTTAGAGTGTCCACTGGAGGCTGGCTGCAAAAGCCCCAGGAGTCATATATACACCCATTCTTTTGCAGTGTTGACTTAAAGTTAGGTTGAGTCAACATTTCTATTTTGGGGGCCTAGCTTCAAAACTTTGGATAATAAACAAACAATTACAAAAAGGCACCAGTGATACCAATCAATGAGTTGCATCACAGACTACCTCCATGTTTTATACACCCCATGGTTTCACTCCAATGTTTACACTTTTATTAAGACTGGCAGAAGGATTACAGATAAAGAGGTTTTCCCTCTGATGCACAGTTCAGTTGGTGGTGAATTAAAGGTTAAACTTGCACCTTGGTTTTCTGTCTGAAAATATTTCTCTGTCTTTTAGGAGCTGCCTAAGTACCTGAGAGGATACCATGTGAGCACCAGAGAGGAAATCGTCAACATTGCAGCTCTGCTCTTCAGAATAAAAGCCAACAACGACAAAACTCAGTTGGTCACAATTCCAAAGATGCTGAAAGAGCTGGTGCCTGCTGACCAGCTGAAGGCCATGTCTGAGAATGAGTGGAAGAAGGTATGAGGGTTATTTTATCTCATTTATACAGTTTTTCATTTGAAAGGTAAGGTTAGCATGAAACTTCTGTCTTACTGTCAGCATGTCTCATAAAAAGACATGAACTAGAATCATTATTGACTCCTCATTCATTACTTTCCAATGTCTTCATCCTTAATTTTATCTCTGTATTCATGAGAACTCCTGCTGTCAGTGTTTTGAAGGGGGTGTTTGCATGTCCAATATTGTAGGTGCGTAGGATGTGAAACTGTAAAAGAGAAGAATCTTGCACTCTGCCCTTGCACAGAATCAGCACTTATGAAAAATAACACAACCTTTGGGTCTCTCTGGACTTTTTTCAAGTGTGCTTTGAAGTATTACAACATCCTTGAAAAAGGTCCAGAGGGACCCAACAGTGCATATTTTTTCTAATGAAGAGCGATGTTCAGTGAGAGCAGGGAGCAAGACTTTCTCTCCTGTAGTCATAAACCTTTACAGATTTGTCAGTGACATACTATTTAGCCCATATTATTTACAGAATTCTAACATTTGCAAGCTAACACAGTAATAATGTTAGTAAAAGGTTTTAAATTGATGCAGGTATCTTCAAAACGGCTGTGGTAGTGTTTAGCAACATGAACCAAACTGGAGTGAAACCTCCGCTTGTTGTGACTATTTTCTGCTGTGGATTGATACATAGATGATGCTCACATGAGTATAAATGGCAGCAGGTTGTTGTAAGAGGAATTTACTCAAAATAAACCAGTGAAAAGGAAACAAAACAATGCTGCACAGTCCAACAGTCTGGCTCATTGGTGTGGTTTTGGATAACAGTGGAGCTCTGTGGCATATGGAGTCATCAGGATTTTTGTGTTTGTTTTGATCTTTCGATGAGCGTCCTGACAATAATAAACATAAAGAAGAAGAGTCAGCCTTATCCTTTACATCTTCAGATGAACAAAGCCACCATTGTACCTCTGTGATCTCCATCTCTGATCCCTGAGACTGTTGCCTGAAGGCTGTGGGGGTGTTGAAAATCATTAACCTCATTAGGCAGTGCAAATTCTCCCGTAAGACTTTTGCATCATCCTTTGATGTATATGTTTTTTTTTCATTTCAGACCATTGTCGCTGCTCATAACAAACAACCCGGTATGACTGTGGATGAAGCAAAGGTGGCCTTTTTGAAGACGGTGTGCCGCTGGCCGACGTTTGGCTGTGCATTCTTTGAAGTGAAGGTAAGAGCTGCAGCAAATACAACTACAACAGTGCTTTAGCTCCCTATCTGAAGTCCATATTGTTAGTCTGGAGGCTAATTTATCTTATTTGTCTGATGCCCTTCCCTTATGACTTAGACCTTCCTACCTCTCTGTACAAAGCTGCATTAAATGCTTTTTATAGAAATCAACAATTTGCTTTATATCTTTCTTTTCAGCAAACATCTGAAGAAAATTTCCCAGATATTGTTAGGATAGCCATCAGCAAGCAGGGACTCACCATCATCAACCCTAAAACCAAGGTGAAGAAATCTGAAATCTTTATTTTATGGGAATTCCTGTACCTTAAAACAGGACGATATATTATTTTGATGTCATTGGGGAGTTTCTGTTGTGTATTGCATCAAAGTGGGCTGATAATGCTGCACCTTTAGTGTCAACTCATGAAACCTGATGTGGTTATAGTTCACATTTAATTTTTCAGACACTGGGGTCTCTTTCTGCTCCCTGCTGCTGCTTTGATAGAAAATTACAAAACCGAAAATGCACATTTCTGTGAAACGGAATTGAAATATCTCCAAAGTACCTTTAGGGTGAGCAGCTGCCTAATCAGACTGATGTCAGCTGCAACACAGGAGCTAGCAATGCCATTTTGTGGTGTGCAAGTCACCAAAGATGAAACTAAATGAAAAATTTGCTGGCTGAATAGTTGATGACCGACTTCAGGCCAGTCAAGCATGGTGCTGCATGTCTGTAAATTTGCCTCCATTCAAAACAACTCTCTAGCTTCTCCAGTCTCACTCATGTTCTGTGAGGTAATACTTTTCTGGTGGCTTTTTGTTTCTTAGTCTTAAACCTCTTTAACGATCCTTCCTGTTAAATTAGCTGCTTGCTTGTTGCAAGTCTGCAGTAATACCGTGATGAAGCTTGTCTATCATGGCTTTGTTCTTACACATTCACTGCACAAAGGTATAATGTCAAAGTCCCAATGCAATCTGAACCTGTCAGAGGAAAAAAACTTGAGCCTTTAGTGGACATATGTTGATCTGACAAGGCTTATGTTGCAGCCATTAGAGCCCTTATGTGATGGGATCAGGAGGTGCAGTCTCAAAAGTTTTTGTATCTTTATTTAAACAATGTAGCCAGAGTAAAAAGATACCAAACTGACCCGAAATAGTATCTCCTTTAACAATTTTTTTTATTTTTCTACCATTCACAATGACTTTCTCCTGTGAAGGATGTGCTGGCAAATCACCCTTTCAACCGCATTGCCAACTGGTGCAGCGGAAGCACCTACTTCCACATGACTGTGGGCAATTTAGTCAAGGGGGGCAAATTCCTGTGTGAAACCTCACTGGTAAGATCCACTTATAGGTCTATGTACCTTGAAAGATAAATCATCACTTAATTATAGTCTTGGATTTCTAGTCTTCACCTATGTGTTTTTCTTTTCTACAGGGTTACAAGATGGACGATCTCATAACCTCCTATGTCAACCTGTACAACAGAGAGAGGAGGGCCGTACGAGCCAGGAACCAGCGCTTCGACTACTAATCTGTAGAGCCAGGAGTGTGACATAACTTCTGCTTATTACTGCCAATTTAAACAGACACACTCAGATGAATATTTGTGTTTTTGAAAGTGCATTCTACATTATTTTAGATCTCTGAAAAAAACAAGGTTGATTTATTGAATTAAATTCAGCTGTAGATTTCTCTCATTTTATTTAAAGCAACTGTTGTCTTGGTTAAACCGATACTGCAAACACATTTTCTGCAGCCTTTAATTCATGAACAGAACTTAAGTCTTAAATAAGGGTTTGCGATATTTAAAAAAATCATTTGTTTGCAGATATTAATTGCCAACTGTGAAATTATGTTTTACTTCAATGCTTCTTACTTTAAAATAAAAGCAATGTTCAATCTGTGTGCAGTGTTGCTTTATCTTATAGGTCTGATATAAGGAGGAAATAAACCAAGCTCTCTGGTCTTGCATATTTCATTCATATCTATTTCCATTAAAAAAAAACAAAAAAAAACTTTTTTTCCATTTTATGATGTGGCAACCAGCAGAAAAGACTATGGACTCTATTTTCATGCCTCGCCGGTGGTGTGGCGTAGGCGTGGCGTAAGCCAGGTCCGCTGCGGTTACAAGGCAGGCCCAAGCACATTTTGGTATTTTGGATTTGGTGTGTGTAATGTTGGACCCACTGATAAGACAAACACCCTTTTCCACAAATAAATACACTCACATAAAGTTGCATATATTCAAACCTCATGTGACAAAGGTGGGTTGTGTGCAGAGATCACAACATAAATTCCAATAATGGCATTAAAATCGGAACCATCTGTGCATAAAGAATGCATCGCGCTCCGTGGCCTGGCTCTTTCTTTCATAGATGTTGGCATATGAAATAAATTTTTGGCTCACAAAACTGAATATTATGATATTTGTATGTAGGCTTAAAGTTAATAACTCATCTGATCACTAAAATAAATCATCTGTTCAGCCACCGCAGCAGCAGCTGCAGCAGGACGGGGACAGGGAGACATGTCCAGGTCGAGCTGTGCGACAAATAAGAGAAGGAGGAAGATAGAAATAGGGGGGAGACGAATTACTTATCTTGTTAACTTCATCATGTGTGTCTATTTACTAGATATTTGATCTAATTTAATGCGGTTTTAGCTGTGTTGATTCGGTCAAGTTGAGTGTCCAAATGTGCTCATCAGATCAGATATAGATCAGAATATATCGATATAAATCTAAATGTATGTGCTGACTGAGAATATTGGTTGTTGTTGATTATTTATTGCACTGAAATGTGCCTGACACTGTGGAAACCTGCCGGTGAGGCATCGGTGACGTATGTGCACTATGCTGCCGGTCTACCAAAATACCACTAGACCAGCTGTACTTCGCCTGCGCTGAAAGCTGACCAGGTTTGAATCAGCGAGCTTTCAGCACACTTTCTGCGCCACCAGTGGGCACAAAACTGTCACTACGCCAGCTGATTCTGTCAACACCTCCCCCTGCCGCACCACCACGCCCAGCTTGGCGGACCTCAGTGCGCCTCAGTCTACGAAAATACCAAACTGGCTGTATGCCGGGCTCCGCCAGACAAAAATACCACTGCGCGGGGTCCCCCACCGTCGCTGGCGGGCATGAAAATAGAGTCCTCCTTTTATGAACTTAAGGTGTTAGCACTGTATGCTTAATTTGAACATGATATCATTGTTTCTTCAAGTAAAAGGACAGGTACCATAAACGTAAAACATAAACACGTAATACACACCCTTTTAAAAAAGCCCATCTTTAAAGCAGAAATAAACATTTTTACAGGCTGGTGCAAAAAATGTAACATCCGACAGCAGGGAGGCTACAGTTACAAGTCAACTGTACATCTTTGTGTCATGGAAGTTTGATTGAAAGTTTGATTGAATCAGCATTTCCAACATGGTTGCCATTAATGGGCTTCAAACCTGCCAAAACCAGTGGGTGACATGACATTGAAGACGCTAGGCCCATGTCTAAACAGTCCATGGTATGAACCTGGATGGGACTACCTCAAATCCTTATTAGGAAAAATACATCATAGCTAATAGGGCTGTTGCAATATACCAGTATTGGCAATAAGTGTCTTTAAAAATATACATATATATTTCTATTGTGATAAAATTAAACAAACAGTAATACCATGAGTCCATAGAGAGACAGCTCTCTGAAGGATAATTGGAAACTTTAAAAACTGTGAAAACAAACACAACGCTGCAGCTTGTGCGTTTTTAGGTCACTAATCAATTGAACATTTGTAATTTCTAACCAACTGTTTTCATTCAGTTCTGTAATTTACAATCTACCTGAAGCAGTAAACTTCAAATTAAAAGCATAGTTTGACAATGCAGCATCAACCTACAAACGAGCCAGACCAAACATCTAAATAAAAGCATGACATGCAGTCTTTTAATGAAGTGATGTCTTCACTGAAGAAGTTTCAGTTACAGGGCTGATGATATATATATGAAGTTGAATACGATTAGACATAGATGATGTGAAGTGAGTGTGTTTATCTGTGACGTTTATGAAGCCACTTGAATTGTGAGGTGAATATCTGATGTAGTGACAGCTCTAATGCCCGTATCTGTCTGTTATTGCCTCCAACTGTTGGATGAGTGAAAGCAAAAATAGTGTGTAAAGTGCGTCACACTAAATGCTTTTGTTGAAACAGTCCAAATATCGATCCTCACTAACCAATCTCTGTTAAGTCACTGAGAGCTCACAGCGATCACACCCATGAAGAAACATTTGTTGTTGATAAATTATGCTCATTTATCCAGTTGGAGCGTGTTGTTGAGTTAAACTGCTGCCTCCTTTAAAACTCTTCCAGCTGCTGTGAGCTTCTCCTTCACAGCAGTTAGTCAGAGGAATGATATATTTATGATGGCACACTTTTACACAGAGCAATGTTTTTGCTTCAGGGTAACAAGACACACCACAGACAGAGTTGAGATGCTGAACAAAAGCAGAGGGGCTGTCCCAATTAGCTGTTGGCAGTAGATTAACAGGGTGGTGATCTCAAAGCTTCTTCTCCACAGCCCCGCACAGATAGTGGTTTTATTCAAGTCTACAGAATAGCATTTGCATGTGGATGAAACTGAGAAGAGAAAGAGCCGATGTGTCCGACACACAGCTGTGATCTCTGTCGATGAAAGAAATATTATCCCTCCAAAGCCAGTGGGACCTCTCTCTCCACATCTGTCCGATGGCTATGTGACTGATTATTTTGAGCATTCCAATTCAGGATGCCCCCAGGAGGCAAACGACCAACAAGGGCCTCTGTTTGCTCCGAGTGCCCCCCTCCTCCTTCAGCTCCCCCTGCTCTTGTTTTTCACTCCTCTTCTACAGGGGATGGGGCCCTCTATGGAACTTAAGAGCATTTACAAAAGATCATCTCTGAGACTTTAGTCATAAACGTCTCCATCAACAACACAGTCCATCTTCTATCTATCAGTAGGGGGGGCGGGAGTTCATGGTGAAGGCACTCAATGAACCACCGCCGGGCCCCGTTTCCATGGAGTCATACCCGAGGACTCATTGCGACTGAGGCATGCCATTCTTCTCCCTGCGGCTTAAATGTGCAGCTTATTCTGACTCAGGCTATTGTGAAGTGCACAAGTGGCTCTCTGAGGAGCAGGGGATGGAGGGAGAAAGGGTGGGGTCAAGGTTCAAACGAAACGCTCCCATCAGGACTCCCTTTCTGTTATCAAATTTGTTGAGACACAAAAAGAGCAACAGTCTCACTCCCAAGAACATCTTGAGGAGGAGAAAGAGGTTAGAGGACAGCATTCTTGGAGTCCAGGCTTCAGTCCCTCTGCAGCCCAGCGGTCGACCTCCTCGGTCCTCACTCGGCTTCACTCCGCTGCTGCTGTGCTGATTGTCTCTGAAGTGCTCCTTCAGCATTTTTCTCCTGAAGACCAGCCTCTGAAAAGCTCCGAAGCTTGTGTAAGTCCTTTTTATTTCACCTCAGATTTATTGAGTTCATTATTATTTCCTTACTTCACTTTTTATCCTGCCAACACTAACCATGCAAGAACTACCAACTCATGTTTCCAGAGGCTCCTACTCTGCAAAAACCTGAAACTGAGAAAGCTATCTTGTCTAATTTCTAAAAACACTGTCTTACTCAATATGAGCTGCACTCACTTAACAGGTCCAGAGAAGCATCTTTTGTCAAGATCTTACAACGACAAAAATTTTAGTGATTTAAAAATCTGTCCGTAAGGAAGGAAAAATATACTTGTCAGGTTTATTGAAATAAGAGTTGTGTTTTTTTCATTAATGAGTAAATTTGAGAAAAACTTTGCAGATGACATTGACCTTTTTTCTTTTCTTTTATACCAACTTAAAGCTTTCAAGGTCATGTTGTTGGACTGTAATATATTAACACAGGATATATATTGGGACTTGTCAGGATAATGTGGTTCATAATAAGTCTAATAACACATTTTTAAAGAAGACAAAAGAAATGTGAGTCTTTTCTAATGTTACTTTAACCTTACTTTATCCTAAAATCATTATAAACTACACTTACTTTTCATATTTTGTGGATTAACTCAGACTGTTTGTCATTATCAATTTATTACTTTTCATGTTTAATGCATAACAACAAACAAAAAAAAGCAGAATGTCAGGAATCTGAAACTTAAAGAAAAGTGACAAATTGTATTTTTAGGTGATATCAGGAATTTTGTGAGATTTTTGCAACAAAACACCTGAAGACTGTGTAACAGTCTATAATTTAAAATGCAGAGAGAATGTCTCATTTCCACCTATTTATGTGATTGGAATCAAAAATGTACAGATAATAAATGTTGTATCCAACACAAGGGAGAGCTTTTATTTTAAGAGATAGAAGAGAAAGTAAGAAATCTGAAGGAAATTACTGACTGCAATAGTGAAGAGGCGAACTTTGTCAGATACATCAGGTATCACATGAATGAATGGTTTACTTTTACACTTTGTCAGTTTAAACAATGCCTGGATTTCACTTGCCTATGGGGCTGGTTTCTGTACCTCCAAAAATAACTAGATACCAACACACCTCCTTCCCTCTTGCTTAAATAGATGGAGGCGAGTCAGCTGTAAATACATTTGTGCCTTTAAAATTGGTAGGAGTCCCTGGTAGGAGCTACTGCTCAATGCAAGGTCTGGCAGTAATGAGGTACTGGGGCAATATGTGGTTTACTGGTGTTTTGAGTCTCTTGTGCGGTACTTAAAAATATATACCTTGGCAAACACAAACACCATAGAGCTGCCTATGCCAACCTTGTCACAGACTATGGGGTCTATGCTCACACCAGCCAATAGAAAAGAGTTCAAAGGTGTGGCTTGTTAACAGTAAATTCTTATACTCACAACAGAAGTGACACATGGTTGCGGTAAAATGGTATATCCACCAATCGATACATTAATCATACTACAGGCAGGGCACTGGGTGAGAGGTGGTGCAAACCCTGAACAGGTCACAACTGTTTAGCCTGTATACTGTACCACATCCACTGTAGGAGGGTAGTGAGCTGTAATGTGCCTCTTTTGTTATGTAAATCTCAGAGCAGCTCAGCATGAAGGCAATCTGCTTTCAAGATCAGAAAGATTAGGAGCACTTGCATCTAATTTCACACGTACCCTGTCCTGGTTTTACTGTGAGGAGCTGTAACAATGACAGATTGGACACATTACAGCTGTCACAGTTTTGTCCAAACAAATTGTTACCGGCTAATCTCTGTGAAGGACCAAGGCCAGGTTGCTCTGCCAACACTCCTCAAACGCCTGCACTGATCTGCTTACACTGATCACTGAGATGAAGGCATATTTCAGATCCCCTCCTTTTAGGATTAGTCCTCAGGGATCTGTATTTATGGGGGCTTTTCCATTCAGCTGTGCTGTACTCGGTTTGTTATCCCTGCTGGGACTGCAACCCTTTTTCTTTGAGGGACTTGTTCTCCTGAATTCACTCAGCCTGAGCCTTGGCTGAGAAATAGAGTCTGTTGTAGGTCTCACAGCCTTAGACACTGCGGCTACATCTGGCTGCTTCCTAATGGGCCGAAAGTCTGAACAAGAAGCTGGTGAAATGGAGATTCAGTTCTGTTTAATTAAAAAAAAAAAAAAAAGTTCCTTTCCTTTTTTGCAATGATGCAACATAAACATGTTTCACTGTTTGTTGAACTATCTGCCATGTACATGAGAGAGCCTCTCTTCAGCTTTGGGAACATCTATAGGAAGACGGGTTCCTCCTTGCTACATGTTTCTGTTTTTCTTAAATCTTCCACAAAAACAAACTGCTCTGAGGTTAGTTGGGGCTGTAGACTTCCCAGCAATGTTTTTGTAGAGCAGTAAAGGAGGAATTAATAACAAACATGAAGGAGTGGACTGTTGGAGCTTGCCAAAGATGCTGTAGGGATGCATGAGTGGGTAGTGAAGTCTGAGGTGTGTCTGCATATTTCTGATACAAATGTTCAGTCCAGTGAGGAATGTAAGAAATCTGGACTTTAGTTTGAAACTTTAATAAGTAACAAAGGATGGGCCTTAAATGAAAAGTAAACAGAAGTTTGCATGAAAAGTAAGAGTCATTTTTACCTGTGCATTTAAAAAGCGTATTTTTTATGTCTTTCTCTTGAGGAGAAGCTTGGCATTTTTGGCAAAATAAAGAGGGTAAAACCAAGACTCTAAAAAATGAGCGAGAGCTGACATTTGATTAGCTGAATGGATGTTTTTAAACTCTCACACGCTAATAAAAATGGTTCATCATTTTCATAAATGCTAAGTATACCAGGATAAAATAAAAGACTGCTTTGCCTCTGTCTGTACCACCTAAAGCTGAAGCTACAAAATGTTTCTCTTACCTTATTTTAGCTTAGCTTAGTACAAAAATGGGAAACAGCTAACCGAGCTCAGTCTAAAGTTAAAAAGGTTGGGACACAGGTTGGGATTTTTGCACAAACTGTTGTAAATGGACAATGTGACAAAGTATATGCATTGTATATTAGGCAGTCTGGTTAATATCAAGCAACTCTGCATAATCTTGTTGTTTTAACCAACTGTTTTCTATGATTAAGCTAACGAAATGTAATGTATCATGTATTTTCAGATGTAGTTGGTAGGTTTGTATCCTATTTGTCCCTGCATGCCCTAAGGAGTTTGCCATTCAGTCCAGATGAAAGAACTCTTGCTGATAAATCACGTCACAGCGCTGTAAAAAGCAGAGTAATGCTGTATCAACTAAGACTTCCTGGACTTTAGACCGTGCAGAGGAAGTCTACAACTTGTCATGTTCAGGATGAGGTAATTATCTGCTCAGGGGGCATGTACACATTAGCCAGGGACACTGATGTCTATTGTTACCTAGTAAGACTGGCACTGTGACAGACACTCCCTACCTATTGTCAGTCTGAGAGTGTAAGAGCTGAGAGGAGGTTCGGCAGGAATGGGCCGGTGAGGTTTCCTGTCACTGTGGTAGTTTGCTGTCTGAATACTAATAATGCACAAAAGAAGCCAAGACTGAAACATGTTTAAATACAGTTTATCAGAACAGCTGATAGGTTACTGTCATTGGATGATTGAGAAATAAATTTAAACTAACGCCAGTGCAGGATGCCTCTCAGCTGCATTTTATCTCATGCCCAGCAGGGAGCGACACTGCTGGTTTCAAAAAGGGTGATTATATAAAAAATCCATTAGAAAATGAATTTATTTCTCACCTAATACATTCCCAATATAAACATTTTTAGAGTTGGTTCATACCTTGAATTGCTGGTTTTAAGTCAACTTAACCAGAGCATGATGTTTATTTTGAAAACTATGTTCAGATGAACCCTTTCATAAATGAATCATTAAATGACAGAGTCATACTTTCATTAAATGTTTTATGATCACTCGTAAAGTGAGGTTCAATTCATGTTGTTTTGAAGATCATAATCCTGACCAAGTAACAGAAGTGTGCACTAGAGACCAAGTCATACAATGTTTTAATGCAACAGATAATTAATTAAGTCTTAATGCAGAAACAAAATGACCTTTTTGAAACAAAACAAAACAAAACAAAACAAACAAACAAAAATAGTCATTTTCCACATATCTACCAGGGTGGGATCTACAGTTCTTGAATTTGAGTTTTGAAGATTTCATCTTAAAGTTTTTCTGTCTTACACAGAAAAAGCTCAAAGTGATTAAACTACGACAACATCTTTCCCCTGACTGCATCAAGGACAGCGTCAGCAGATATGTATTTGAAATCATTCTTGAGTTTTGCCTCATGTAATGACTTGCAAGTATAACTTCTACTGAGAAAATCTGCAAGTAGTTGTTAATAACATAAACCAACTGACTTACAGAAAAAGGTTATTAAACATCAGTTAAACAATCTATAAATATATATATATACTGATTGATCATAATAACCTCCCAACCCCAAAACAATATCTTAGAAGTTGAACGGTTACACTGCTGTTCGAGTGTTACTCACGATGTCTAGATTTAAAGGATTTAGAAGTTACACCTGAACCTTAATTGTACCTCTGATTTCTTTTTCTTGCTTTCTTGCTTTTAGTACATTTTTGGTAGGATTACCATGGCTGGTACCTGATGGTGGCAATGCTAGGGCTGAGCAACTACGACCTCATCATCCATGGACAATGCATCCATGCATAAATCTCATGAGAAAAACATTGATGCAATGAGTACATGAGTGGATGAGTATGAGTAGACTATCATGGCAGAGGACAATAAACTCTTGAGGATAAGAACAGAGATTTAATGTCTTCACTCTTGACTCCAAAAATTTAAAATTCTTGCCAAAATGCAAAAAACAAAGTCCCCAAACCAAAGAGCAACATGAAGGTTACTTTGCTCTCTGCATGTACTGTATAGTCTGGTTATAACCGTTTTCTGTCTCCTCAGCTAACAAGATGGAGTCAGTGACTACAGAGCTGCCCTCCCTGATGTTGAATCAGTCCTCAGAGAGCTGTGGACCAGTGGACTCCACAGCTGAGAACACCCTGTTTGGATGCTTCTACATCGTGGTTTTCTTTCTGGCTCTGAATGGGAACAGTCTGGCTCTCTGGATCTTCTCCCATCAGCGAGGCTCTTCCTCTCCAGCTAACATCTTCTTAATCCACCTGGCTGTGGCAGACTTATCCTACGTGATCATCCTCCCTCTGAGGGCCACATACCACCTCACAGGAGGCCACTGGCCCTTTGGTGAGGTGCCCTGCAGAGTGGCAGGCTTTTTGTTTTATGTTAACATGTACGCCAGTCTGTACTTCCTGGCTTGTGTGGCGGGGGATCGCTACCTGGCTGTGGTTCACGCCGTGAGGTCACTGAAGGTCCGTCGGGCTCGTTACGCTCATATCATCAGCTTCTCCCTGTGGGCTCTGGTAACCATCTCCATGGCACCGCTGCTGATAACCCACCAGACGGCAGAGGTGGATGGCGTGACAGTGTGTTTGCAGCTGTATAGAGAGAAGGCCTCACGCAATGCCCTCATCTCACTGGCCGTGGCCTTCACACCACCTTTCTTCGCCACCTTGTCCTGTTACCTGCTTATCATTCACAGCCTTCGCCGAGGCTCCAGGCTCGAGCCAGCTCTGAAAATGAGGGCCTTGCGCACCATCGGTCTGGTCATGCTCATCTACGTGGTCTGTTTCCTGCCTTACCATGTAAGCAGAGCCACGTTCATCCTGGGCTACAACCACCCTGACGTGTCCTGCCAGACACGTAGAGGTCTGAGTTTGGCCAACCGCCTCACCTCCTCTCTCACTTGCCTGAACGGTGCCATGGACCCACTGGTCTACCTGTTTGGGGCTGAGAAGTTCCGCGGCACTCTGATGCGGTTGTTCTGCAAAGACAGGGCAGGGGTTTCAGGAGCCACAAGCGGAGAGTTAAAGGGAACACACGAGAGCTCTGTGAGCGCCAAGTCAGAGTTTTGAAAAAGAGAAACTGGAACTGGATTTGAAGCCCTGTTTGATTCTGTTAATGTACCACTGTAGTCCCCTTTGATTCAAATCACACTCCAAGCTCCAGTGCCCACCTTTTACTGCATTCACTGGACCCCACAGGAAGCTACTGACATCACCTGCCCTTCATTCAAGAGGGGCCCATTAGGCCTTCAGCTGGGCTGAGGGCCAAATGGCCTCAGAGTGGGGTTGGCTTGGCTTGTGTTGGCCCACATTTACAAACAAAAAGGATATACTGGTCAAGAAATGAGATCGCCATTTAGAAAGTAAATACGAGTACTGACTGGGTAAAGAGTGGGAATTTTACACTTTTATACCTCACAAACCCTGAGAAAAACAACAAGATAACAGTTCTCTTTCCACCACGGGGTCTGGTTTGGTTCGGTACAGTGCAGAACTTATCTTAAAGATAAGATGAGACAGACAAGACAGACTTTGGGAAATGGGAAACTGGGAAATTTGTCTTGGACTTGACAGAGCTCCAATATGGTAACAAAACATACGACAACACATTTACATGTCATTACATGGAATTACATATTTTACAATAACATTTAACATATGAGGCAATAGCCATTTATTTTCATGGTGCATTTATTTTGAAGTTGTGACCAGAACAGGGTTGTTGTTTCTTTAAGAAAGTGAACTATTGTTTGATACAAAAAAAAAAAAAAAGAAGTTGTCAGTAGTGACCGTAGCTACAGGTAAGCCATGTTAAATAAGAAATAGCATCAGGTTACCTGAGATATTTCATCTTTTGCAGTCTCTCCTTTTCTTTGCAGCAATCTCTGTGCTCCTCTCACTGCTCAGCTGATGTCTGTGTGTATATTAAGTTCCTGTGTTTGAACTAGACAGCTGTATTACACTAAATAAGCTGTAAATCCTTTTCTGATAAGAGTGAAAACACCGTTAATGCGTGGATCAAATAAAATCAGGCGAGTAGAGATATAGCACGGTGCAACTTCTTCCCTGTCTTAATTATTGGGCACCAAAAAGTAGGTCAACTTGGGTACATTTCCCAATTTTTAACACTGAAAATGCTGATGATTGTGTGCTGTACTGAAACCAGTCCCCTTGGTTAAAAATGCGTCATAATTTTAGTCACCAGTTGGGTAATGCTTAAGCAACAATCAGCCCCAACTTGGACCAAATGGCCCATGTGATCAAAGAACAAACGTTTCCAGGAGAAGGATGTTATGTGTCAAGTGTCAATTGCCATACCATGGGAATAATTAAGAGAATGCAAAAGTGATGCATTTTTGTTCTTGGTCAAATTTCAGGTATTACAATTGTAGTTTTGGAATATGGCTGCAGTGCTTTTTCTGTGGGTTCTACCACCTGTATTGATGCTTTTAATTTTTTCATCTGCACAAGTAAATATCCAAATCAAATATGCAAGCGCCTTTTAGTTTACCAACATTTTCTATCATCCTGTGCAGACTGGAGGCTGCATCTTCCAATGACCTCAACAAGACATAAATCCTCATAATCTTCCTGTAGATATTCAACAGAAATTTCCGTCAAAGCTGAAACTATATCAATATATCGAGTAAACGTCTTGGTTTAGCAGTGAGGACAACAGTGAATTGACCAGGCATTAAGTCTTTATCGTGGACACCAGGGGGTGACTTAATTGAGTTCAATTAGAAGTCAGATTCGAATACAACCAAGAAAAAAGCCAACTTTGCACTTAATTGAATCCAATTTGAACTCCAATTTGGCAGAAAAAAAAAAAGATTCAGAAGTAAAGTTTACAGGATGTCACTGCCTGTGTACGTTCTGTAAGCAAGGATAGAGGTATAGCTTATTCACCTCTTCATCAGGATACGATCACCTCTGGCTCAAAAACCAAGACTGCAAACAGTTAAAATGCAGCTTTAAGACATCTTAACCGGAGGCCACAAACTAATGGATGATCTCACTGTGGGTGTATTCTCGTCTTGAAAAGACTGCAGACTATTTGAAAACACTACACAGTGTGGGTGGATGAACAATGCTGCATGAGCCCCCCCCCCCCCCCCCACACACACACACACACACACACACACACACACACACACACACACACACACACACGATAAGCCCAGGCTGTGCTTGCCTTTAAGAAAGGTAAAGTGTGAGGTATATGGTGTCCTTACACAAAACAGACTTGGTGGAAATGGAATATAATAAAAGTTTGTTTAAAATAGTATAACATCACCTAAAATAACCTAAGTATAAACATCTTTAACTTAAAATGAGTCTTTTATTTACAGTAAAAGCACATTTGCATGTTTTGTGGCCAAAGTCAACACTATTCCCGAGGAACATCATCAATTATGCATTCTTGCTGTGGTCATTTGAGCATTCTTGTATCACTTTTTGAGTCCTGCTTTCTAATGAGAATCACTTTATAAAATGGTTTTCATACATGTATGTATTTTTTCTTGGCTCAAACTCTTCTATGCATTTTATAATCCTTTTTTATTGATACTGCACAATTGCATGATAAATTATGAATCATTTTTGTACTATTATTCATTATGTCTGAGCATATTCTGCAGAAGCACTGATGCTGTAATCATTAGATCAAAACTGATGCATGAAATGTTTTTGTGATATGTAACTTGGTGTAAATATTAAACTTTCCAAAATAAATGTTTAGTCTGAGAAGACAAAAACTCTGTAATTTTGATGAGTGCTTTAATGTCTCTACTTCAGTGCTCTTTCATGGAGATGCAGCAGTTGTTCTCACATTTAACCAAAAGTATGATATAATGTTTGTTGAGTATGAGATAATGTCTTGTCTGCACGTCAGACTTTTCTGTGAAAGTGGGAAAGGGCTGCAGAGGCTTGACGCTGTGTAGTTCTCTTTTTGGGTCATGTGACCTCTGCTGTGGTTTGTGAGCAGCTTTTTTTTCATCCTCTTATTTCTGCAAGACTTCCTGTCCATCACATGAACACGGCAAGCCCATTCTAAACTTGTATTTCCTGGATATATACATCAGAAAAAATACAGACCCCTCTTGATTTAACTAGAATTCAGACTCAAAGGGTCTTATTCGTGTATATGAGAGCTTCTTTTACTGCAAATTGAAAGACAAAGCTATATTTAAAAATGCAAATGGGAATCAAATTTTAAACAAGCAAGCTTATCACAACTTGTTCACTGCACCAAGTAAGAGTTTGTGTTTTGTCCCTTCGTCATTACTTCCCCTTTTTACTGTCAAATTACTTTTTAACAAATTGCTTCACTATTAATGGCACAGAGGTGTACAGCAGCCAAAAGAGACTTTAGTTAATCATTACAGTGAAGTGATAAAGATTTCTACTCAGCTGGTAAAAGTCTGTGTGTGTCACCTTTAGCTCTGTGGATCAGTCATTGAACAGGCAGAGCCGAGGCACCAGGGCCCTCCTCTCTAAACTAAAATGAGGAAGTTCAGAGCCGAGTTAGTCGCAGCTTCCTTTTACAGCATTCACAGGCTGATGATGAACAAGTGAAAGAAAGGACTTGAAAGTACGCAACATGACAAGATGAAAATTGCCTGAAAGAAAGCGAGTAGAGTCTACTTTGGTTTGAATCTAGCTGGGTGCAGATGCAAAACTTTTGAGCTCAGACTCTTTGGTAAGAAACAGGATGCCAAGTTATCAACCTTGGTGCCATGGTAATATCACTCGATCCAGAGCCGAGGATCTACTTTCCAAAGCAGCAAGAGATGGAAGCTTCCTTATCCGGGACAGTGAGTCCATACAGGGAGCATATGCCCTCTGTGTTTTGTAAGTACATAACACTTGTTTTCTAACTTCTAACCTTACTGTTTTTTGATGCAGTTTCACACGATGAATAAATTCCTAGTTCCTTGTTTGGATATTTCTCTAATCTCTGTAACGTGCATTTAGAATTATGTGAGGGCCGAAATAATCTGTTAAACGTTGCTGAATACAAGTTTTTGGAATCAACTTTAAGGGAAAATACTAATGTGTTGTCATAACACATTTCTTAAAGGTTAAAATGTACCTCCTTTGTAATGTCATGCAGCTTTTCTTTCTTTATTTCTTTCCCTTTTTGCAAATATGCAGTGCAACACAAGTTTAGTTCCCCTTTATTTGCATGCAGTTCTGCCACAAAGCAACACCTCTTGCTCTCTGCAGCACATTTCAGTTTCCATTGGTTAAAACATATTTAAAGGCACTGTGAGGAGTGTGATTTGGTGATTTTCTGCAAATAAAAAAAAACCCTGAGTTGACATTCAGCACCTGGGCCCTAAGAACTGGTGAAGCATGACTCTTGTCAAAAGAACAAATTAGCCATAAACATGACCTAATGCTGAGCTTTCCAGCCTTTCTGTCCAAGAGTCCTCTTTCTTGTATTGTAGAAAAGCATACTTCTTAAGGCCCTTAGAGAACAAGTGGTGAATTATTGTCCAAATATACCTCAGTTTAAATGTTCTCACCAAACATTTCTGAGTTCCTCACTCAGATTTCAGCAGGTAGAACTATCAAAAACAACAAGCAAGTGCATAATAAGAATTTTATTGAGAATGTGTTAATTTCATTTTAACAACCCCAGAGCAGACAGAGTCTGGTACTTCCCTCAGATCTTTGGAGCCCTTCTGGCCTTCCATGTTTGATACCAGCGATCGAGTGACCTGTGTCTACATTGTAGTGGCCTACTCAGTTTTGTGCACTACAAACATGCACTCTGGAGGGTCTGCATCGCCATACAATACTCAATACCCAAAAACAAGTTGGCAGTGTGATTTCTAATCATGTTTCCAGTTCACAGTTACTGTTATGTTTGCTACTGGTTTGTGCACAATAAACCACAGTGACCAAAACCAAACATATTATGTTGGACTTGAGGTTGATGAATGTCATGCAGCAGTCGATCACATGGCAATTATCACAAATACAGAAAAAAAGAAGACTTCGAAGGAAATAAGTTGATACCCAATCACAAGGCTTGTGGTCTGTGTTTTGAGTTATATTTTTGTAGAGATGCATGTCAGGCTACCTACATATGGGGTATGATGTGACATATCCCAATGAAGCAGGGTTTATAGGGTTAAGTTGTGGTTAACGTACAGTTCATAATTTTGCATTGCCATGATTTGATATGCCATCTCTCTCAATTCTGCAAAATGGTGTTTCTAGGAAACAACAGTAGTGTTAAAAGACAATTTTATTCATGTGCTTCAACAACAACTCCACACTTTGATGAGATCCACATCTACGTATATGACAGTGAGTCATGGTGCTCATGGGGAATGCAGTCTCCATCTTGGAAAAAACACTCCTGGTTTAATCTAACTCAATTTTTTGGCCTAACTCAGATCTATATGATATGAAAACTCCTTGCAGTGCCTTTAAAGTGCTTCCAATAAAAGCCTGTTTTCTCTGCCTGTAACCCCAGTGTAGCATGCAACATGTCAGTGACAGAAATTTGCATGTTATTATTCCAAACAGATACCAGAACTGTGTGTACACATACAGAATCCTGCCCAATGAAGACAAGAAGCTCTCTGTCCAGGTGGGTTAATAGTTTGCCAAAGTTTTGATTCTAAGCTGTAGTACTTGTCAGGGTAGAAATTTAAGTATTTACGTCATATGTGCAAATAAATTGCTACCTATTTCTTACATAGAGTTAAATAGTGCTAATAGCTGTTTTTAAGGAAGTCTTTCCTCTAATGCACCTTATGATGTGCTGCATATTTGGACATGTTAGTGGTACTGTCAGTTTGTTGTTAATTAACTGGCTGAGAAGGAAGTCCAACACTTTGGTCCAGACTAAAAAAATCCTCCTCAGTAACTTTTACAAGAACTGTTATGTGGAATGATGGTTATCCCACTGAGCAAATTTTAGACAAGAAGTCTAATAGACGTCTAAATGTAGCCTAGACGACTGGTCTAAAATCAGGCTACCACAGGACTAAAAATGAACGTTTTTTTAGACATCTAAATTTAGACCAAGTCTGACCAATCTAAATCTGGGCTATATCTTTACTACACTGTATATTGCTCAACAGCTATCATAACTATTTCGGTTAAGTACTTGGAGATCAGTGAAATAAATAGTTATCGGATAATGGGTTAAAGTGCTATGTCTAAATTCTATCTAAAAATATACAGAATCAAGATGGTTGAAATTAGGTCTGAAAAAACAAAACAAAAAATAGACGTCTAATAGCCGTCCATTGCTCAGAAGGATACAAGCAACATTTAACTGCAGGGCTCTTGAAAAACTAGGCAAACCTGCCCACTTACTTCAAAACTTCAGTCGTCACAACGTTTTGATGCAGTGGTCCTTGCTAAAAGTATCTGCAAATGAAACTCTTCTAATTCCCAGACTTCTGAAAGAAAAGTATGGATCCATATATTCTTACTTTAAACATCATGGCTTCATTATCCCCACTGATTTCGTATTGCAATCTTTAAACCTCTACACAAAAATCACCCCTATATCAAATCTCCAAGACCCCTATCAGGATTATAATTTGCACAAGTACTTCATCAGGTGATTGTTTGCAATGTTTGCAATAAACTGAAGATGACCATTGTGTCCAAAAATTCTGATTATTGGCATTTTGTTGCATTAAGAGAACACACAAAGTTTTAGTTTAGTATCATTATCAAATCTAAATTTGATTTTACTGCAGTGTATTAGACTCTGGGTTGACATCTTTGGTTCAACTATTAAATGGCTCAAGTCTTATGACACTAGGAGGTCTTTTAGTGTTGCTACTGGAAACTCACAGTCATCCTGTATTACTTAGCCCTGCGGGGTACCTCAGGGGTTGGTTCTGGTGCCACTCCTGTTTTCTAATTATATTGGGATATGTGGGCTGTTGACACAGAATTGGCAAGGAGGTTGATCAACACCATCACCTGATGATGAACACTGTTTCACAATATTATATTTATTGGATTTTATAACATTGAAGGTACAATTTTTAGTTAAATTCCATAAACAATCTTAATTAATAATCTTAATTTATCTTAATGTAAATCTTAATTTCTTTTATTTAGATTGAACTGAAGTAATTTTACAAAAAGCCTCAGTAATCCTTTGTGTGTTGCACGATCAAGGTTACTTTTGCACCAAACTTGACGTATACCTGCTTAGCATCAATATATTAGACGTCAATATTGTTGGTGTTGTGTACATATTATCATTCTGGTATTGACTCCTTTATCTAGTTGAATATTTTAAATGAGACCACTGGGTTTGTAGAAATACGTATATCATTTTTTGCACGATGATTCAGTCATTTAGTTGGACATTAGAAAAGATTAGTATCAGCTTGATCAGCATTTATTGTCTGCAACTGATGAGCCAGCACACATCAGCACAATCTGACTTACAAATTGAACTTTTAAGATTCTATAGACTCCATCAGAATGTTACATAGATGCCCGTTAAATGTCACACAAGATATTGCAAAATACTACATAAAAATGCTTGGCAAAACCTAAATGCAGCTTTTCTGATTGTAGACTTTCTTTTACTCATTGCAACTCTACCAGGGCTTTTCTGAATCTATGCCTCAATGAGTTTTGCATTAGATTAAACTAATGGTTAAGCAAAGCTGGTAGCTCAGTGTCACTTTAGCCTTACTTAAAAGGTCATTTGAGACTGCTTGATAGTGACTATGAACTGAAAAAAATGAGGTCAACCTTTGGCTGAAGGAGAATCTGTGAGCAATGTAGTCATTTGTAGGGGGCAATGGCCAAAAGAATGATTCTATTCTGCACATTAGGTGAGGCTTTGTGTATGTATGTTGTCACTGTTGGCAAAATTCAAAGTTATAACTTGTGTGGAAAAATTCCTCATGCACATGGAGGAACTGATACTGCACAGTATTGTTGGGTTTAATAGGAAAATGAAACTTTCAGTCTACAAATATTACAAATTTACATGTAATTTCACCGACTGAGAGGGCATTTATTTTTGGTTAGTAAGTTACTCATGTTGTTTTTTTTTATTTGAGTATTAGTTGTATTTCTGAGCAGTTTTCCCAAGAATGGAAGAACTCAAGGTATTCACTATTAAAGCTTCTGTACGGAATTTCTTTAGCAGGTTACAAAACAGGCTGAACTTAATTTTGAGGGTTGAAGAACTACAAAAGTAAACTAGACCGTTAGTCACATGATTGGCTGTTGCTATGCACTTATTTTTGATATCTGAAACCACTGCAGCAGGGGAGGTGTCAAAGTGAGAAACTGCAGGCAGCCAAGATAGCCTTTGTTTTCAATTTTGCACAACAAAGATCTTCTACAAGTCATACCTTTTGTTGTTCAAAGAAAGACACAACAGGATTAGATTCCTCTGTTAAGTCCATCACTTAGATATATAGAAGATGAAATCAGCTAAAAGACATGAGATACTGCTTTGTCAGAAGTGGAGGCCCAAAACTGACACGGACTGAAAGTTTTTAGTATAATGTCACGGGTCTGTTAGAGAAATGCACCAGGGCTGAGGCTCGAAGGACATAGGTTTAAGTACATGTGATAAATGAAAACAACCTTACAAGGTTTGGATTGAGCCCCTGAAGTGCACCATGCTTCGCCACCCCCTAGAATAGTCTGTGCTCCAGTTTGACCACCCGTGTCAAAAAAAGTCTGGCTCTACTCCAGCAACTCGTACAAAATTTTAGACTTAGAGGCAAAGCTGCTGTTTTCTGTTTGAGCCTTTGTAAACTAAGATCCAGAAATAAGAACTTTTTGTTAGAGCATCTTTTTCTGCAGTCTGTGAGTTGACATGTTTGAGATAAAGCTCTACTGGAGTGATAAAAATGAAAGAACTTAACTGTAATGACCCGGTGTTGTGAGTACAATGACCGCAGTGAGAAAACTTACAAAGAAGTGAAGGAAATGATGACATGAATGTAGTTGTAGTCTGCGGAAAGAAGCCACAGACAGTGGAAGTAGACATATCTGGCATCATATAGGAAGTAAAAGTTAAAATAGTGTCACATGATTTTGTAACAGAGAAAAGAAAGCTCTTCTAGACTGCAGCCTAGTTTGACATTTTAACTCTGCAGAGGTCAAAGAGAGAAATGTTTCTGCTCTGATCTGATTTTCAGGCATCTGAGGGAGTTCCTATCAGGTTCTTCTCCATGCTGCCTGAGCTGGTGGAGGCTTATTACAGTCCCAACATGGGTCTAGTCACACACCTGCAGTACCCTGTCCCGAGGGAGGAGGACGGGGAGGAGGAGCCAGGTCAAATAACTCTCATCTATTCGAAAAGTAGCTTTAAAAGAGTGATAGCCTCTAGTCCACATTTTTTAAAATCCTTAATGTCCGATGTGTTTTTGTCCTACAGAGTCAAACAATCTTCCCCCACAGCTTCCACCCAGGAACTTCACAGCCAACGATTTAAAAGACACTGACCTCAAGCCTTCAGAGCAGGCCTGCAAGTCCTTATCAGAAACCTACCTGACGAGACTGCAGCACATGGACCTGTCCTCGTATGCTCACTTTCACATCATCTTTCACGATAAAGCACAAGAGTTTCACAATCTATGCAACACATTGCTTTGTGTATTTCATTTGTTAAGTGCTGTGTTTCTGGTATCTGCCTTTGTTGGACAGGGCAGATAAAGATAGACGGTAAATATGAGGAAGAAGAGGTTGTATGGACAGAAACAGAAAGGTCAAAGACCAAAGTCACAGTCAGAGAGCATGCAGATGAGACAGAGACTCTCTACATGGGAAGTTCATATAGCAAACTTAGCCACCACACTGCAAATTAACAAAATACTGGATGGGAAGATTAGTGCCATATTAAGATTAATGAAATAATAAACATTTTGATTACAATGTCAGTATATTGTGGGAATATAGTCATTATAGTAAAAAGTTCTAAATGAGAATAAAGCTAAAGTAGAAGACAAAAAGTTTTAATTAACAGGAAAAAAATAAATTCATAATACATTCATAAAATAACAAGATTTAAGTCTTAGAGTTATGAGAATAATGTCACTTGATATTTATGTATTCAGAAAGGAACAGTGCATATTAATGAACATACGAATGATAATACAAATGTAAATATGCCAGCGTTAGCAAAGTTCCTAATTTACACCCGTAGTCCCCTGGCAGGCAATAAAGACACATATGAAAAAGACAATACATTAATATATACAATGTGCACATACGTTATGACAGGGTCAATGTAAATTTTGTTGAGCACAATGCAGTATTTAAAGTGCGTGTTTTTATGTAAGGAGAAAATTTCCACACATGTGCAAACTGCAAACACAAGTCAGTCACCTCAAGATATTTAAAAGGGGGATAGTATGACCATAATAGCAGATGTAGATATATATATATATATATACATTTTAAATGGAAGAGGAAAGACATCCTACCTGACTCTGTCCACTCCTGCTGTCTGGAGTAGACAGAGACAGTATGAGACATGGACATGTGTATGCCCCCACATGCCTACAACAGTAATATTATACATACAAACCAAATTTGTATTTATTTATAATCTATTTATAATTCAACTTCCCCTCAGGGATAAATAAACTTATCTTATCAAATTATCACAAGTGCACAAAACAGCATTAAAATACAAAGCAGACTGGTGCAATGTACACAATGAACACAATGAAAATAAGTCATATATATATATATATATATATATATATATATATATATATATATATATATATATATATATATATATATATATATATATAATGTGCAGGTAAAATTACTTTCAGGGGGGAAAGACAGCTGCACAAAAATGAGGAACCTGGATCATTTTGTAAAGTTAAACTCAACAGCTGAGGACAAATAGCAGCTGCAGACGCGTGCACAGGCTGCATGTTAGTCTGCTTTCTGCAGAATTGACTCAGTTTCCTCCTCAATTTATTTAGAATCCTGATACTTACGACAATGTGGTGCTGATAGATTTATTATTCATTACTGAAACCAATGCAAAAATATAACCTTACAAGGGTCATCAAGTTTCTCATTTTAGTGCAGACAGTAGGCAGCTGATTGTTAAATAACAAGTTGAGTCATATTTATTTATAGAGCATATTTAGGACCAACTCAAGTTTACCAAAGTACTGAATAACCAAGGAGACAATAAATTTGATCCCAGCAAAAAGACCACACACTTACAGTATAATATACTGTACAGAAGAAATCTCAAAATATGAGAATACCAGTATTACAATAAAGACCTGCTGAACAATATAAGAAAATTAATATATAAAAGAGACACTGAATTTATAGGCCACCGAGAAGAGATATTTAGGAGAGCTGTTAGCCGTGCAGTCTAAACAACCTAGGCACAAAGACTTAAGTCTTCACCACAGCAGCCACTGGTTCAATTCCTGGTAACCCCCCTTTGCAGCATGATCAGCCCCCACTCTACTCCCCACATACCTCAGTTATCTAATAAAGGCATAAAAGCCTTAACCTATAAGTTTTTAAAAGAGAGGTGGGTCTTCAGCAGTAACTCAAAAATATCAGGGGACTCTGTAAGTCTTACATGGATAGGTGGACTGTTGTATAATCTAGGTGCAGCAGCTGCAAAAGCTCTATCCTCTCTGTTTTTGAGTCTCAGTCTTGGGATTTTTAAAGCGACTGGGTCATTGATCTCAGAGGTCTAACAAGAGTGTGACAGAGCAGGAGGCCAGCCAGATGAGAGAAAAAAAACAGACATTTCTCCATTAAACTGATGAAACTATTAACTGAATTGTGTACATTAAAAGCAAGTCATTGTTTCAATAAGCAACCAAATTTGGCAACACAGCCAAACACCATGAAACAAGTCAGCATTAATACGTGATTCAGCTGGTATTCAAAGCATAATTTGCAGCAGTCCAGAGTCCTCATTCACAGACTTTTCAATAAATAGATGAATTCCTGTATCGCACTGTAAAATCACAGACAGAAATATATTTATAAGCCAAGAAAGTATGACCGTGTTTTAGGCTGTCAATTAAACACTGGAAAAGAAAAATCTGACTAATGTAACATTCTAATACACTACCAAATTTCACTTAGCAACCCAAGTTTATAACATATTTAACTTTGCAACACAGCACCACTGTACTCAAAACAAATACTGCAACTCTAGTCTTTCGTGCGCTTGCATATTTTATCTTCCAAAGTTCAATGATGGAGTATCAAGCTGTGAGGGCTACCTATCACAGGTATACGACATGACAACAGCAGTATTAAATGTGTACAGTGCAATCATTCCTATGATACTGCACAGTGTATTCTCGGAGTGATGACTTAAACTAATATGTGCTAAGAGGAAAACAGTGTTTACAATTCTCCTGTACTGTGTATTTGCAGAATGCCAGAAGAGCACCAGATAGCCATCCAAGAATACTTCAGGACCTCAATCTGCTCTGATGCTGAACAAGTACAGAGCGGTTACCCGACCCTACCTGGGCTTAAGAAGCTAACAATGACAATCTGCAAGAGCTTAAACAGGTACAGCTCCAGTAATCAAGAAAACTGCAGAAACTCTTAGCAACTGTTTCACTCTCTTATTTTAAGTAAAAATGTCTCATTAGGAATCATCTAAGCCATATTTTAAAAAAAAGAAATAGTCAAAAAAGTGCTTTTTTATACTAGAAATAAGACCTGTAAGAACCTTGTAATGAGTAAGACAGACATTTTCTCAGATCTGATTTTTGCTGCATAATATCGTGAAATAGGCCTTCTCACGATTTGTCAGGTGTATGTGGCTTAACTTAAACCTCTGCTAAGATTTCAGCTTTTGCAGCAAAAAAAATAAATAAATATATATATATAAATGAGATAGTTAAGTCCAGATTTGATGACACATTTCCCTTCACTGAGACAGTGAAATTACCCGCATCCTGCCAGCTCTGGAGGCCTTCCACAGGGCGTTGGACCAACAGCTCTCCCCTGGGATCGGGCATTTTCCAAAACAGGTGGGTGTCAAACTTGATCAATCATCCATCATCCCTAAAAAGTCACAATCATAATATATTATTTCTTTATTTCTAGATGTCTGCTGATTCAGGTCAGTTTGTATCCTTCAGACTTGAGCAACTGACAAAACTGCTCTACTCAATAGAAGATAAGGTGAGGTACCATAATGTTATTTGACCAATTAGAAACGTCTTGAATCAGCATACCAACAAATTATAGTGGTGACTAATAACAAAGAAATTCCCATTTTTTTTATTCAGGCTAAAAGTTCCATTTTTGAGTCGGTTGGATTCGATGCAGGACACAGGAAATCTCTAATTCCACCTGTTACATTTGAGGTACTCTAACTTGTTTATTCTTTCAAGCTGCTAGAAAATGAAATGATTTAAGTTGTCCGGAGGTTATCTGAGCAGTTTCCCAATTCACTGGCAGGTCAAGCAAGATTCACTGGGTATTTCCACAAAGATGTTCCTGAAAGTGGATGTTGAAAGTGGGAAGCTGTACTTCAAGAAGTCCAAAGACGGGCCTGAAGACAAATACTTTGTGCACAACAAAAGTATGAAATCCTGCCACTCTGTCAAACTTTTTTCCTTGTTTGTTTTGGTCAGGCTAAATGTGTCACTCCAGTGATGGTCCGATGTGTGTAACTCTGCCTTAATAGGAATTTTAAAAGATTTTAAATAGAGAGAGGGAAGATTTTTTTCAATAAGCTCTGTGAGAAAAAAAAAAAAAAAGGAAATCAAGAAACAAGTCAACAGTTTCTATGCTGCAATGTCATACTTCTCAGTGCTTTTATGACACACTAGGGTGATGATAATTGTCGAGTTAAATTTCCCCTTTTTCCAGCATCATTGCCTGCCCGAACTCGCTCAAGGCCTGGAGATCAACAGAGGACACTGTGGACAACTCAGCTTGCTTTGATTTCCTTTGACTGTAGATGGTAACCAATAGCAGAAGCAGGTTGATAACCTCAAAGGAAATAAACGAATTGAGGCTGTTATTAAGTAGGCACAAATAAATTAACTCATCAGTACTAATTTCAAAAAAGGGTTATGAAATGTAAGAATTAAACACATTAAATGCATGGGTAAACTATCATTTTTTTATGTTTTAAAACATTCCAATTCATTCCAAAATCAATTTGGCTTTTAAACAGTTTTAAATTATTTCAAATTATGCTAAATGCTTAATATTAAATTCATTTGAACTCAAACTTAATATTTAATGTTAGGGTCGATTTAAATCAAATCTATCACTCTATGACGGCTTGCATAAATTTAAACAACAAAGGAAACAACTATATTAGTTTTAACATTATATTTTAAGTGCACAGGGCTTAGATTGCAATAAACTCAAATATTTCAACCTCTTAATCACTAAATTTGATTTGATTTTTGATTTGAATATAGATTTTCTCACCACTGGCGTCTCTGAGGTCTCCTGCAGCGATGCCACCAAACACTCTCTCTGTAACAAAGGATGCTTTTAATGGATGCACATGAAACAGAGGGGAAGTGTGTTTCTAGGCTTTGTTCTTCCATCTACTCATGTGAAAGGGCAGAGAAGAGAGTTCACAGAATAAAGCTGTACCTCCAAATGAACCTCAATGCACATTTTAAAAAAATCGTTTTCACCTACATGGTCCTGAGTTGATTTTTGTTGCATTCTTTCTGACTTTTTTTGTTGGTCTGTTTTTTTTTTTTTTTTTTACTTAACCTTTTATTTCTGGCTTGTCTTGCTCAAGGTCAAAATACCCAAACTTGATGATTTCAAACAAGACAGGTCCTGTTGAACTGAGTTATCCATTGGAAAATACAGCATTGTAATGAACCATTTTGTTTTTTTCAGTACTGCAGTTGGTGAAATCTCAGGAAAAGCATGCCAAACTTATCATCGCAGTGGAGACAGAGAAAGAGAAGATTCTGCGTAAGGAGTTCTTGTTTGAAAACACAAAGGTAACAAACATTGAAACGGCTTTTCCTCTGAGTTTGCTCATATTCTTGTCTTGTTTGAGTGTTGAGCTGGTATTTAGCATGTTTGAAGCTGCATTTTTAATATGTCTCACTAGAAAAGGGAAGGATTTTGCCAACTTCTTCAACAAATGAAGAACAAACACTCTGAAAAGCCTGAGCCTGACATGATCACAGTGTTTATAGGCACCTGGAACATGGGTAACATTTCAGCATCATACATATTTGAACTCATTTACTAACAGCGGTGACAATGATGTGATGCAATTAACACTCCACCATCAATGTGCAGGTAATGCTGGTCCTCCCCACAACATCAACTCCTGGTTTCATTGTAAGGGCCAAGGGAAGACACAAGACGACACAGCCGATCACATCCCCCATGACTTTTATGTCATTGGGACTCAGGAGGATCCACTGGGTGAGAGGGAGTGGTCAGATATAGTGAAAGGTGTCCTCAGGAACATCACTAACATCAGCTTTAAACAGGTGGGTGACTGGCAAAAAAAATAAACAGCTATTCTGTCCAGCAGATATGTATTATATTATCCTCTGAAATCCAGGTGGCGATCCACACTCTGTGGAACATTCGGATCATGGTACTGGCTAAGCCTGAGCACGAAAACAGGATCTCTCATGTTTTTTCAGACAGTGTGAAGACGGGGATTGCCAACACTCTGGGTAAGCTATTTCAACTCTCCACAAACTGCTCAATGAACTTTCATCAACGTTAAACAATTACTCTGTCTTGCTCACCCTGAGATTTGTTTGGTAGGAAATAAGGGAGCGGTGGGAGTGTCCTTCATGTTCAACGGGACATCATTCGGTTTTGTCAACAGTCACCTCACTTCAGGAAGTGAAAAGAAGCTCAGGTGAGAAACAGAAAACACATTTAGAGCCAAGGGTAAAATTGTGCTTTGAGGAAACAATTTTATTTTTTCCCAATTTGTCTGATAAGAATGAGCACAGACTCTTCATTTTCCTCACACATGTACATCTTTTAAATGGTAAGGACTGTAAACATAAAGTACATTTAAAATACAGAAAATGTTTCAAAGATTGAATCCTGCTGCTCTTGAACGTGTGGAATACAGCCTCAGTTGCATGAGCTAACCATGGTTTTCATCAGCTAGCTTGTGAGCATTAGCTTGCTGGCTAAAGAGCATTAGAAGGAGCTATGTTAAGCGTTCCTGTTTATGTGCTATGGCTTATTGCAAGGCATAATATTTGACTATGTTGCTTGCAATGTACAGTAGCTCTGCAAAGGCAGTTGCTGAACAGCTTGTTGCTCTGAGTATTTTTACATTTTAACCTTTAGCCAAGCTAGCAAGTTAGCTAACAAAGACTTTTAGGCACTTTGCAACTACTTTCAAATTAGAGGAAGAGTTTAAAGCACATGTGATCCAAAACTGACACTGCCATTATTTGCGTTTGCCCTGTGGCCTTTATGAGGATTTTGATTTAGAGTCAGATTTGGGGTGATTCTGACAAAACGATAGCTCCTATCAGAAAAAAAAGCAGACTGTGGTCATATAAAGACTGCTGTAAAATCGTTACAATGTGCCTTGGGGCACAATATAGATGCTATTATTGGTGCGATAATGTTTTTCTATTGTAAACAAATTTTTTGCAATGAAAAGGTCCTTACACACCGGGACCGACACAAATATCCAAGGCGAAATTACGAAATATTTGGAGGCGAATTTTGACACGCCTGACTATACACATCAAGCCTGACACGATTTTGCGACTTTCTTGGGGGGGGGGGGGGGGGGGTGCGTCCCAACAACACCAGACTGAGTGTTTTTCAGTTCTGATTAGACACTAGTGTTGAGATGGCTGTCTGTAATGATAGCATGTACTGAGTCGGGGCCAGTACCAGATAAACACATTAAACTATAATCCATGAACGTAAGGTAACAAACGAGATCTAATGGTGCTGTGACAGCAACGCTGTGATTGAGTTTGAGACAGTGAAAATACATATGGTATGTTGTATCTGAACCATAGACTGTATATAAGATGGACACCGTGGTTCCGCCTTCCGCCTGTATACGCATTTGAAGCCAAAAAGCTCTCGGTAATTCCGGGTTTTTCTCCACTTCCTTGAAACCAGAGCTGCGCCGTAGCGATGCGCGCATTCGGCCGCGCAGTCGTCGAGAGTCCCTGTGATGATGCTTGGCTCAAACAGCGTATCCCCCCGGGAGAGCTATGCAATCCCTGAACGCCCATAGGCTGTACCAGGTGTCAATCATAGAAAACATGAACCCCCTAATAACTTTGAATAACGGAGCTGTACAGAAAAAAAAGGACTTGGGCACAAACCAGTCTTACAATAACTACATGTCAACATCACAAGCAGGGGGGAGAAAAAATTATGTTCTGTGTAATAAATTTCTAAAGTTTGTCCACAGACTTTGTCCATTTTATATACAGTCTATGATCTGAACAAGTTAGCTTACGAACTACCAAGTGCTAAGTAAGCTACAAGTTACTTAGCACAGATGAAAGTTAAAACAAAGACGTTTAGCAAACTGTTAAAGCACACAAAATATCCTTCAGGTCGTTATCTTTGTAATGTTTATGTCTTTTATCAAAAAGCACTCTGTTCTCCGACACGCAAACAATCAGCCAGTCGGCCATGTTGGATATACCAGTGAATCTGACGTCATAACAACACACAATTTAATTGGTCAGAAGTGGAGACACAGTATGTAAAACTTTAGAAAAATCGACAGGGATCCGAAAAAATAAATGCTGCAATACGGCAGGATGGGAAAATGTCGCTGATGTGAACGCTTGTATTGACAGGATACGGGTTCGAAAAAGAATAAAAACTTCCGAAATAATCGCACGATAAAAACAGTCCCGCTGTGAAAGGAACTTAAGCCATGAAAAACTGCGGGAAATTTTGCATTGAAGTCAATGGGACAAGCCAGAGAAAAAAAGAGCAATTATTGGAGTTTTTCAAATGTCTACTGCTCTGGTTCAGTGTTTTTTCTTTTGTACAAATAAATACTTGAAAAGGGGAATGTTTGTTGTAGGTGTGCTCCTTCTGTGTAATATCACAAAGCTACTGGTATTAATTATTTAAAATCTCTGAAGAATCGTATCATAATGTCCACACCCTGGCAATAGCCCCGTGGACCTTTCAAAATTTCCAAGAGGGATTGTCTAGGTTATTTTACTGTGTTTGCAGACGTAACCAGAACTACATCAACATCCTTCGATTCCTCAATCTGGGAGACAAGAAACTGAATCCTTTTGACATCACTCATCGTTTCACACACCTCTTCTGGTTGGGTGATTTGAATTACCGGGTTGACTTCCCATCCACGGTAAGTTTCCAAAAAGCAGTTCAATCCATCAGAGTAAGATATAAACAAAAATGATAAAAATTTAATTTGTGTAAAATACTTGCTGTTGATTGAAAAAAAAAAAATGTCATAAATAAACTTAGTAATAGAATTCAGAAAAACCTGATCAGTTTCAGCAGCATTTTGTGAGGTTGTTCTTGTCATGACATCGAGCTTTGAAGTTAGAGATCTGACAGTGTAAGGTATGAGTGGCACATCAAAGGGCTGGTTTTCAGGTGCCTAAGCGCTTATAGTTTCACACTTGCAGGCAGGAAAGTCACCTCTTTGCACTGTTTCCCTTCACAGGAAGCAGAGTACATCGTGACAAAGATCAAACAGCAGCAGTACCAGGAGCTGCTCAGCAGAGACCAGCTCAGTATGGAGAGAAATGATGGGAAGGTCTTCTTACATTTCGGTAAACCCTGAGGAGATACAGAAAAAAAAAAAACCTGTTCAAGTTTGGATGTTTCTGTTATTCTAAAGCTGCATCATCACTTAACAAAATACTCCAAAACTAAAAAAAATAAATCTGACATGATTAACTGTAATTTTGAATGTTTTGATGTAGATGAGGAGGAGATCACGTTCGCTCCCACATATCGCTTCGAAAGAGACACACGTGAGAAGTACGCTTACACAAAGGCCAAAGCCACGGGGGTGAGCTCTATTTTAGTCACCTGACTATTCTCTCTGGTGTTTTTGGGCATCTGCTTTAAAGCAGAAACAGTTATAGCAACTGTAAGATTCAACAGACATATCATTTGATAAAGAGCATGCTTTATGTTGACAGTCACAATGTTCACTTGAGGACCTTTGTTACTCCAAGCTCTGTATATTAGATCTCAGAAACACTGTTTTTCACCTCTAACAGAGATCATTTTACCTCTGTAGACAAAATACAATTTGCCCTCCTGGTGTGATCGTGTCCTGAGGAAGTCGTACCCTCTTGTCCATGTGGTCTGCCAAGCTTATGGTGAGTCAATCATCAGATACTGACTCACTACATTCATCACGCTAAACTCAACATTTCCACAAAGGGTGAAGTATAACAAAGTGAACAGGAACCAATGAATCAGTTTAAGTTTTTCTGCTTTGTCACTGAGAGTCTGAGGGCACATTCATACCAGGACTATTTGGTTCATTCTAAAAAGATCATGATCCCCTTACTCCTTTAGTCCAGGTGGTATGAACGCACAAGTGGACCGTGGTCTGGATCAAACATACGGACCATGGTCCTGTTGAAAATGCCAGACTCGGTCCCCTTCCACATGAACCATAGTCCGATCCGTAGCGGGTGTGAACACAGCGCTGATGCAGCTGGACTTTTTATATGTCAATATAAACCAAAAACACGTTTACACTGTAATACAGCCGGGAAATCATGTCTGGTTGTACCAGACGGAGAACAGCCAGTTAAAACACCAGATTGTGCATAAAACTGGACGAATGGCAGAGAGTTTGTGTTCTAATACAATAGTCAGGTGATATTAAATACCTGGATTTTCTTCTGTTCAACAAACACGCTGATAATGTGTTATAGGCATTCTTTTGCATTGTATCGGTGTCTCCTTGCACAACGTCTCCACCACCTCTGGTGAATTGTGTGAAGCAAGATGCCAGTTGTTCTCTCCAGTCGGCTACTTTTTGTGTGTTGTGGGACAATGAAGATTGTGCCCCAAATGAGCAGGTGACAGACAGTGATTTTCCCTTGTAATTTTTCCTCTTTTTTAACCATTTGGTTCGCTTAGCAAAAGTCCCATGTGAACGCTAACCAGACCAAATGCAAAATGCAACAATGTAAACACTTGGTCCTTGAACCCGACCTTCTTAGTGGACTTTGGGTGAGAAAGGCCCCTGAGACATTTTTTATTTTCCACATCACTTCTTACATTTGGTTCAGTCAATGTTGACTTTCTTCGCCATCTTTAGTTCTGCAAATTGTGTTTTTCTCTTGACATTTCTCCTCTGTTTCTATCTTTTTTCTTGCTTTTACCGCCTAAACTAACCAGACCTCTTTTGGCGCACTAATATAACTGCAGTCAGTCTTCCAGAGTTGGTGTTAGAGCTGTATGCATAGCAACATTAGACTTATTAGAATCAAATGCTTTACTGTGATGTGTAATAACTATACTGTATGTAAATATTTGTAGGGTTGTCAAAAATAATCAGTTTTGTCAACCATGATTTGTTGCAGAAATTAAGGATTTAATCATGATTAACAATATTTTAATGGCATTTTAAAAAACAAAAAAATATTTTTCATTTTAAAACTCTTGTGAAACAGCTGGAAATTCATCCAAAATAAGACAAGACCATCAGCAACAAGATTAATGGTTTCCTGAAATAGACAGTTTTTACAAAATACAATAAAAACTTCTGGGAATAATGTTGTGATGTATTTGGAAGACACAGCACACAGCAGTCTGAAGCATATAACACTGAACAACAAACAAAGTGACATTTGTCAGGTTTTCACAGAAATACTCCTCAGAATTGACTCATCAAGATGATGTTATTTATCTCATGTTTTACCAGTGACAGTGACTTAGTATTCCTGGCAGCTTTATAGGGAAATGTCTAAACACGCAAAGTCTACCACAAATAAGTAAATGAGTCATTTCACAACATATGGCTCAATAGTTTTGGCAGAAAACGAAAGCTCAGTATGTTGAGTCAAGCAGCTTTAACAAGACAGCACAGGTCAAGATGTCGAGGTCTGGACAATTGGACCTGTCTTTGTTGAACGTATCTCTCATGAATAGAAGGTAATATGAGATGTAATGTGAATATATCCTTTAAATTATTTTTATTATTTCCATAGACTCATTATGCAAACTCTTAAACCCTAGGGTGCACTAATGACATCATGACAAGTGACCACTCTCCAGTTTTTGCCTCCTTTGAAGTTGGAGTGGCCTCTCAGTTTGTCTCCAAGCAAGGTATGATTTACACATACAGATTACTGGCTATTACTTTACTATAATAAGTGTATAATATTGTCATTTACTCTGTCTTTTCAGATCTTAACAGCACACCTAATGGTGGAATACAGATCATGAACTGTGTGGCCATCTTGTTTACAAAGTCAAAGACCAAGTTCCTCATTGAGTTTCACTCCAGCTGCTTAGAAAGTACACTTTTTCTCTTTGTTTGAGCACTCTAGCATTGTTTTCAGCTTCAGCTTCATGATTATTAAAAAAGAAATCAAATATCTCACCTAAATCTTGCAGAAACTGTGAAGACCTTAGAGGGAGAGAACATGGAGCACATTGAGGGGTCAATCAAAGTTTGGTTTGGAAACCAGGTTCAGGTAGAGTTTGGAAGGACTCTTATTTTGAAGGGTAGCAATTTGTGGCAGGCAATCATCCTTTGTTTTGATCTTTTCTAGCTCACACCAATCATCTCTGACCCTGAGTATCTTTTGGACCAGCACATCCTGATCTGTGTGAAGTCAACAGACAGTGATGAGTCATATGGTAATGAACCTGTAAACACGTGATTCAGATGGACTAAATGGAGAAGTACTCAAAGTTTGCTGATCTTTTCTTCCCATCAGGAGAGGGCTGTATAGCACTGAGAGCTGCTCAGTCCTGCTACACAGAGTTTCATATCACCCTGACTCATCACGGAGAGAAGACGGGGACTTTGACGGGCGGCATCCAGCTACACACCTCTGAGGGCAAACTCACTGAGAAGTTATACGGTGAGCCTAGGAAGAAAAACCTGAAGCTAGGCCTCATTATGAAGAGTGTTACCCACAACTAATTAATGCTAACTAATGCAGTAAATAACAGTGGTACCTGGTAGAGGGTAAAAAGCTCTTTCTCCTCACCACGCATGTCATATGACTGAAGACTTGACCCTGTACCGGTTGCTTTGTTTTCTTTAGTTTGATTGATGTCTCTTTCACTCAGCTACTTGTCTCTTCAAACATCCCCCTCCCATTTCCATCTTCTTGTCTTCATTCTGAACCACTGACCGCAAATCTTAAAGTTTTCTGCTCCAAATTAACAGTCACATGAAAAGTAGCCTTAGTATTGTTCACAGATGCTCAAGGAAACTAATGTTTTTTGCCATATTGTCAACAGGAGAAGTGAATTCATATTCTTTATAAATGAGCTGGACTCCATTTCACAGATTGATTTGACATGACAAGTATGATCAGTTTATTCCAGGCGTCACTTGTGCCAGTCAGAATTGATCACCATTATATTGGAGTTTTGACCAATCAGAATTAAGTATTAAACACAGCTGGTGTTAAGTAAGCAAATTAGATCATGAAGTTATAAGAAAGGAATCAAGCAAAACAGAAATCCTGACCCAAACTATATTTTATACTGAGCCTTCTCTGTGTTTGTACCCGCCTCAAAGTTAGTAAATGTTGTCATGAGACTCTGCAGTGGTCAACTCCTTTTGGAGGCAGCCCCAAGTGGCCATTTTGAGAAGTGCAGTATGTTGCACCTCTGTATTTGTGTCATTTTCCAGACCTTAATGTTGTCACTTTGTTTCACCTGCATTTTGGAGAGCTAACTCCTGTGTTTCCTCTGCTTTTAGATTTCATCAAAGTTGAAAAGGATGACACCCCAAAAGGCAAAGGCGGTGACTCAAACAAGTGAGATCTTTTCTTTATGTCACACCAAATGATCTCAAATATACCTTCTGCTTCATCATTTTCCATTTCTTTTTTACAGGTCTTCAGTCACCCAGGCACATGATATTTCTAACCCCAATTACATGGGAGTGTCCTTCCAAAGGGGTAATGTAATCGACAAAGGTTGGAGCTACAGCATGCCCCCCAAAAATACCGCTGGTCAAGGGAGTAAAGATCTGAAGAAGGGGGATGTGGGCTCACGCAGTCCAACAACAAAATCTTTAAATCCTATGTAAGGGAAAATTTTATGAGGCAACATTTGTGAACTATCTCAGGAAAAAATACTGTTCATACCTGTCATAGAACCTGAACCACACCTGAGTGACTGATCTATGTTTTTTTTAGGGGTGAGGGGGAGCAGCCGTCAGAGATGTTTGACAATCCGTTATATGGTGCAATGGGAAAATCACACCATCGAGGGAAAGACCAAGACCACCAGCTGAAAGACCAACTCCTACCTCCTGATATGTTCTGCACGAGCTCCAAACAAGCAGATGCTGACCCTGATCGCCCCCCTGTGCCCACCCCCCGCATTCGCTCCTTCACCTGTTCTGAGACCAAACCTCAGCTGCCGACCCCACTCACCTTGCAAGTGCACAAGAAACCAGTGGTGCCTTCACGCTCAGAGGGTGGGATGGGAGCAAACCGACCTCCTTTACCTTCCAAGTCTCGACCAGGTGTGCCAGAGCCCCAGATCACAAAACCCAGAGACTACAGAGAGAGCTCTGAACTCCCCAGCAAACACAGACCGCCAGCAAGACCAGCCCAGCCGCAGCCTCCCAAAGACAGTAAGAGAAAATCTGTCCCTCTGATGGCAAGATTCATAAAATATCCCCACAAATGTTGTTGGTATAATGATGAAAATGTTGTCTGCTTTCAGTGTACGCTGAAGTTCCCAAGATGGGCCGTTCTGTGAAGTGAATCCAGGCTGTAGCACACTCTACAGCTTCCTGCTTTGCTTTTATGGAAACATATAATACACAACGGAGTGAGCTTTAGCCAGTCACAATCGTCCTCATACGTACCACATGCAAGTCAAAATACATGAGTAAAAACTGAACTATCCTACATGTGGTAAAAATTTGCTTCTGCAGTGGTTGATTTGTCACAAACTTAGAGAAGAAGAGAGATACCATGGTCATATCTGTACGCTACATGAAGCCACAGCTTGCTGGTTTAGCTTAGCTAACAGATGGAAAACAGGGGAAATTTTCCTTAATGTGCAAGTAAGTCAACAACCTGGACCTCTGAGAAAAAAAAAAAACCTTTGGGACCAATCAAACAGCTTCTTTTTCTAATGTAAGAGACAAGCTTTTCCAACCCTCCCGAAACGCTAAAGCTTCACTTATCTAAAAAACAATGATCTTCATTCAACATAGGGCTGTCGCAATATCTGTATCGATTAAAACTGTCATTTTGAAAAGATAATGCTGATATTCTTCTAAAAATAAGCATATGGGAACAACTGGTACAAAGTAGAAGATCATTTAATTTTGAGTGGTTTTATTGTGAATCCAAAAACTATTTAAGAGCTTGTGCCTCTTCAAGGGGTGCCAGGACATGTGATCTTACCATGCTTTTAGACCATTTCTTACAGTTCTGCAACTTAAAATCTTCAAATAATGGTATGAACTTAATTTCAGGATAAAAGTATATTTTGACAGTGCAGGAACTATAAAAACTTTAGTGCAAGACAGCAAAGATGTCAAAATAATAATAATCTAATAAGGCAATCCTCTCTATTTATTGATAAAGTTTAGGAATTTTATGTGTCACTCCACCCTTGACTTTCCTTCCTTTATTTGACAGAGTTTGTTGTTTTGTTTCCAACATTTTTTAAATATAAAAATGAAGAAAAAAACTTTGTTTTTATCGGAAACTTTGAAATTCAAAGATGTTTTTTTGGCCACTGTAACGGTGGGGTGAAACTGTGATTGCATGACAGTAAATTTAAATTAATATTCAATTTGAAGTCTTCTCTCACAGTAAATTGAAAACATCAGTGTCATCCTGTAGGTCCTTTTAACAGATTCAGAAAATAACAGAAGTACTTCTAGGAGGTATGTTGGCATTTTCTCCTCACTCAACCTGTCCTGTAACACTGCCAAAGTCCTCGCCATCTTTGGTTACTCTGTGTCTGTTTTCTTCAGTTTGGTTTATGTCTTTTTCACTGTACTTGTGTGCTTAAAACTTCCATCAATAGGTTTTGAACATTCTTGTCCTCTTTTCTCTTTTTCCTCTTCCTTGTCTTCTAACATGTTTCTTTGGTGACTGGCCGCAGACCACAAATACGAAGTTTTGTGACAGCCATAATCTAACTCATGAAAATACAGAGAAAATGAAACTGGAATAGATTTATATTCATTTGTTTTAGTTTTCTCATGTCCGTTTGGAATATCATTACTGACTTAAATAATGAACTTATTACTTATTACATTTGCATCACATTTCAAATGCCAAAGCTCTCTATCCATAGATCCACAATAGATATAGAAGTAGGTTCAAGTGATTTAAAGTCTTGTATGTATGTAGTAGAAGTAAAGCCACAAATAAAAACTGTAAAAAATGAAATTAACAAAAGGAAATAAAAGAGTATCTCTTGTGGCCATCTTTCAGCCTACCTGTGAGTAACTTTGCTTTCCAATTTCCTAGAATATTTCCATGTTTTTTTACTGACCTGTACCTACCTGCTTTTCCTGCCATGTCCAGGAAGCTGTTCGTCTTTTAAACTAATGAATGCTGAATTCACAGTGACGATGCTGTTATAATAATGTGTTCTGACAGTCCCTATTTTTCTTTGAAATATCCATGTCAATGTGCCCCTGAAATTTCAGCCTGCTCCTGGAGTTTTGAAGGTGATATGTAGCTTAATGTATCATGGACTGACATGACCATGTTAATTGATATCCTCCTCTATTTTCCAGTCAAGAAAAAAAAAGTACAGTTGTGTCAGTTTTCGTGCCTAATCTTTTTTTTTTTTAAATACAACATACATCTTTGGACTGAATTTTTGTTAAGCCTGCACTTAACATGTCAGGCAAACAATTTTACATAAATATATGATTCTGTTACATTTCCTGTAGATTTAAACACTTCAAAGAAGCTCATGAATGTGTACCGCACAGTGTTATCTCCCGTACATATGTCTGCCCTCAAGATGTAGAATAAATGCTGAAATTAAGAACTACAGAACCTTGTTATTGAGTTGTTTCTTGTAATGTGTTCTGACAGTCAATTTCAATAAAACTACATATATATTAAATATATATATATATATATATATATATATATATATATATATATATATATATATAATATATATATACATACATACATATATATATATATATTGTATATATAGCTTTAATTCATTCTTGCCCCACATTTTGAGCGAGTGTACTGTGACTGTAAATAACTCCTTTATCATTTGTAGTCCACTCAGACCATCTGGTGACTGAGGGGTTATGCTGGACACATGTTAAGTAGCCCTCTTCCCAGATGGATATCTTACAGTACAGAGGGTCTCAACCTGTGGGTCAGGACCTTCCAAAGGGACAGAAGAAAAGGCTTAGTGAACATGAGACGAATGAAGACATTTCCAGTCATCCTACAATGCTTTATGACTTTAATTACAATGTTTTCAGTTTTGCGTTTTACTGCTCACTTTAATGCATCTTTTCACATCTTAAAGAAAATAATTAAAGTATGTTTTCACTGATTTGGTCCAGTAATTAAGCATTTCTTAAGATGAACATTTACTCATTTAAAGTGACAAAGGCCAAAATGTTTGCATTGACAAACTGGTCCCTCTTTTTAAAAATCGTTAACAGCTGTCTTAAAGCTCATGTGAGCAGTTTTTAACATTTATTGACTGAATTTCATATCAATGCCTTTTTATAATATTAGATAGATAAGACCATCGGGACATGGCTATTTGTATTAATGCCTGGAACAGGTGTGAGAGAGTAGGTGTCAGCCAAGTTGCTGAAGAAACAACCCTCTCCATTTGTTTTCCTCATTAAATAGTCAAAGTCGATGATAAATTTGACTGTTAAACGTCAGGAGGATGTTTTTTTTTTTTTCTTTTAAAATTTTTGTCATAGGACACTAAAGCAAAGGAAGGACAAGACAAGCAAAGACAGCTTTGTCCACAAGGGGGACCAAAATCGGCACAGACCAGAAGTCCCTCACAGGAGTTTGAAGATATACCAGTATACGGATTTGAAGCCAAAAAGCTCTCTGTAATTCCGAGTTTTTTCTCCACTTCCTGAAACCAATTTATATTTATTTATATTTATATTCTGTGTAATACATTTATAAAGTTTGTCCACAGCTCCGTAAGGATGGCTGGAGGAGGTGTGATTTATGACCTGTACAGCAGCCCGTCACCAGAGGGTGCTGTTCTCGGAGTGGCTTCACCCAGCAAGGAGGCAGACAGCGTCCATTCTATATACAGTCTATGGTTACTCCTTAAGCCTCCTCAAAATCTTTTCAGTTCTATATTGTGGCTTTAGATAAAGACAAATAGGGTATTCCATTACCTTCAAAGCTTTTTTTTTTAAGAAAGAAAGGGGGGACTTTATTCAATACAATACTGAATATTTTTCTTTTGTGTAAATAACAATTTACAGATTATGGAACTTGGCCTTAAATAGTTCATCCACTTAGAACAAATGATAAACGAAAATAATACAGAGTTTAATGGCTGTGCTGTTCAATTTACCAAGCTAGAGTATGGTCTTTTATGTTCGTCTTTCGTCCATGGTCATTAAACACCACTTTGGCGCCCTCTAGTGGGGCTCTTTGCTCATTACATGTTCACCAGTCGCTGTAATACGACGCAACGTGCTACGTCATCAACAACAGACGCGCAATCACAAGAAACCAGCAGCAATAATGGTAAGAAATCACGTTGAACGTATGACTCAAATATGCTGTAGATTTCGTATTTTCACCTTTATACAGAGGTCAAATCAGCCAAATATCAGTATATTTTGTATGTGTATACATTTGTCGACTCTTAGCTCTCTGCAGCTCGTCGTTATCGTGTTGAGTGTTTATCCCGCTGCTGCTAACTTTAGCATCATCCTGCTGTGCTGTCTTTCAGCTTTTCTACTCCTTTTTCAAATCGCTGGTGGGAAAGGATGTGGTGGTGGAGCTCAAAAACGACCTGAGGTGAGTATGTTTGCGCTTTATTTCCAAACACGACATGTATGAATGGTATTTCCATTTCTTGTTGTTCGTTATGATCAATTAGTTTACCCTGACGCAGCGATCAATAGTTTATAACTTTCACTGTGATCTTGTATTTTTGTTTTGTCTTTATCATAATCTTTATCCTGATGTTTGTTTCCTCAGCATCTGTGGAACACTTCACTCAGTGGACCAGGTTTGTAGCTGTGATTTCTCTTACTTACTTGAAGCTATGGAAGCCATGAACCCACACCACCAGAAACCAAATATTTATTTTAAACCACCCGAATTATCTTATCACAAGAAAACCAGCTTTGTTTTCCAGTGAAAGCAAAAGAAATAAAAAAGGGATATTCCATAACATCAACAATATATCACCTGATGAGGTAAAGCATGAACTGTGTGCATACAATGATGTCTCATTGTTAACAAGCATCAACAATCCATGACGTCTGTCTTTGAAAATAGGATATATTTATAATTTATAATCAAATGTTGAGTTTTTCTACATTCCTGTTTTTATAACAAGTAGACTTTCAGAAAGACAGTGACATATTAATTTATGTTAGTATGGTTATCGGATCAATTGAGTTTGGAAAATATTGGCAATTCAGTGAAGAACTCCTAATTTTCAGTGATGAATTTGACACAGATGCAGATGTAGAAAGACGTAAACAAGATTCAGTTCAGTCCACTGAGATAAAAGATTTAGGAACTGCTTTGTTGCAGCATTGGAAGTAGTTAACTGAGAAACAAAGTCAATAGAAAGCAGTGAAGTATGACTGAATAGTGTATGTTCCCTTTTTAAGAACTGGCAGATAAAAATTCAAATCTTTGAGACAAGATTCAAAATCTTATGTGTTTAGATCTGAAATCCTCACAAGAGATGACTCACTGCCACAGGAAAACAGAGCAGATAAAACATATGGATGCATGTCTGATTATATCACAAATCATAATATTTTGCATTCTCATTTTCCTGTTCGTGTCTTTCAGTATCTGAACATCAAACTCACAGACATCAGTGTCACAGATCCAGAGAAATATCCACACATGGTGAGTTTATCTGTCAAACAACAATCTTTGAGTGTTTTCAAAGCTTCAGTTCTAACTCACATCAGCAGTAAAACAGTGTAGACAGACTCAAAGTGATTAACACTGAAATGAAGCAACAGACGAATGCAGATAGTGTTTAATAACATCAAACTTTTTAGTAAATGATAAAAATACAAAATGCAAGGAGAGATTATTCTTTAAATATTATGTAAAGGATATCAGTTAAAGGGGTTATTGCACCATATTTAAAGCATCACTTCAGTATGTCTATAATCCATCTTTGTGACTGGTTTGTCCAAAAAACAATTTTGAAAGTTCAGGTTGAGGTCACCGATATAGGTTTTAAGTGAAGTATTAAAAATAGAGACGGCTGTGATGCAGGTAAGGAGTATTTAGAAACATGCAAACACTGAGCCTGTCAATCATTCAAGTAAGGAATAAAAAGGAAATTCCGTTTCAAAAGGAAAATATAAAAACATGCAACAGGAATATATAATATTTTAATGCATAGTCTAGATATAATGAAAGTGTTGTGTTTAAAAGAAAAAAACTGAATTCGTCCTTTCAACACTTTCATACAGTGGAGGAGGAAAACATGAACTGCTTCATACTTGTTTAAACATTAATGAAGTCTGTCAAAAAGTTAAACAGAGTTAGATTTAAATATGATCATTACTGCTTTCAGGGTAGGCAGATGTGATCAACAGAAACAGTCACTGAGCTGGTGTGAAAACTAAGAGCAGCTTGAATCTAGAAATGTTAATTTCTTTAATCAGTTGATTGAAAATTCTCAGTCAGATGTTGTCATACTCAAAGCTGATGAACTCCAACACTCAAATGTTGTCATCTTGTTTTTTTTCATCTGCTCCAGCTCTCTGTGAAGAACTGTTTCATCCGCGGCTCTGTGGTCCGGTATGTCCAGCTGCCTGCAGATGAAGTGGACACACAGCTGCTGCAGGACGCTGCACGGAAAGAAGCCATGCAGCAGAAGCAGTGATTGACCTGCAGGGTGGGGTTTGGTTTGTGGGGGGGAGGGAGGGAGGGATGTGGTTTCTTCTGTTTAATAATGATAAGGTCTGTGCAGCTTTTGTAAACTGGGTCATATTTGTTGTTTTCCTGAAATTTCAGAGAGAATTTAATTTCATTCCTGACACTTCCGATCAATATTTTTGCAAGATAGTAATCATCGGAAATGATCTTCAACCAACAGGCTGTGCTAGAGACTTGATTTGAGTCTGTTTTATTTTAGTCATCAAGTATATTTTTGAACACAGCTGAGTTGAAGAGCTGTGTTTCAGTTCCAAAAGCACTGCTTGTTGCTTCTCTTTAAAACAAATTATGTTGTTTTTTTATGTCACTTCAAAATAAAAACATTTTATTTATATTTTGAACTCTGAAATGTCTTTTTTGGCTCATTTTTATTGTATTTGTCTCTTAAAAGTCTTGGAAAATACAAGCTTTAAGACTTCTTAAAACTGTTATTGCAACATGATAAAATCATATTTATGAACCACTAAAATTAAGAGACATAAGAATTAAAAATCCCATAGGAAATCTGTGAAATTAAGGACAGGGTGAAAAAAACATATGTGAGTTGGCACATTGAAATGCTGTACGCCATGTGTGATTGGTCGACGCAATCAAACGAGATTTATCAATGCAAACTGAACTAATTTTTTATTTGTTTTTACAGGGGGGTTAGCTCACCTTTTATGACCTAATTATACAGTGGAGTAAGAACAGAAATATTTTAACATCATATAAAAAGAGGAACTTTTGAAAAACAATGTTAGTCTCAAGTGAGCTTTTAAATGTAAAAGTTTGTTGGTAGAGAGTATAAAAAACTGCTTCATTGTCATATCTTTAAGTTCACCATATTACAACTTTCTTTAGCATAAATTAATCAATGTATAAAAACTAACATGGGGCATTTTTCTATTAAAAATGTGCATTTTTCTGTGATCATTTTTTCATGTTGTCTTTTGCTTTGCTCTTTTGGACATTTTATTTAATCTTAAATTGTGTTGTGCACTCAGCATAGGTAGGTGTTGGACAGCATTTATTCCTCCTAAAATATCCATATTTACTTTCTTGGACATTTTTTTAACTTGTAAAAGATAATAAATGCAGCATTTACATGATTCTGACTCAGACAGGACTTTAAAGACAGATTAATGAAGACATAAAGGTTCATCCTCTTCAGAGTTTGCACTCTAAAGGAATGGCATGCAGCCTCACTCACAGGTTATCACTCAGGTGTGTTGAAGTGGCTGTTTCACTTTGTATCATGATGACCACTACACCACCCGAGGTCAGGGAACTTTAGAAAGATGTGGGCGTATGTTTCACTTTAATGGGTCAAATTTTGGACTAAAGGAGTTTTCCTCTCGTGTTTTTCTGTTGCTCTTATCTTTTAATTGCCATTTGTTGATACAGTGGACGTTGGCTTGGACAAAGCTAAGAGGCGATGCTTTATTTCTTATCTTATGAAGACAGAAAGTTTGCAGCATGATTTCGTTAATGGGCAAGGACCTCTTCCTGAGGTTATGTGGATTGTTTACACAGTCTGTGGGAGTGTGAGGGAAACCTGCTCAAGCCATATTAACCTGCAGTGTTAACATTATAAGACACTGGTCAGTTTTATTCGAAGCCCCTGAGAGGAACTTGCATGTTTTGTGAAAAAAATTGGAATAATTTCTCTCGTAGGTTATCTTGTAAATGTGTGAGCAGAGTTTTCTAACAAAAACATTGCATCCCTCCTTATGTAAAGGTACAGTGTGTCAGAAGAGGAATATTTAGTGATTCAGTATCCAGCGGTCAGATTTAAGACTTTAGAGCCCCCTTGCTCACCCATTCTGTTGGTGAACCTCCAAAGGCGACAGCGGCCTTCAAGGTCAAGGAGCACCTGTGATGCATGATAGGTATGAGCCTCCTTTTGTCAAGTTTGTCTTTAAATGGACATTTTTTTGCACACACAGAACACTGTCCTTTTCTTTGTCTTCTTCCAAATCAACAACATGCATGTTAATAGTTTGTCTGTACCACAGTGGAAACATGGCTGTAAAAGATGGCTGCACTGGATCATGTTTGTTGTTTTTCCTTAAAGACTAAAATTTCATTCCTGACATTTGTGATTATACAAAATAATAAACATCTGAAAAGACCTTTACCCCACAGGCTGTGTAGAGAAAATTTATAAATTATAATAATCTCAACCAAGATGGCACTGCAACAGGGCACCTCAGTACTTCACTCTAACGTACTCTTCGTGTTTTGTTCGGTTTTCTGCTCTCCTTCTCTGGTTACCTTCACTTGAGTGGAACTCTTATACATTGGGCAGTCCTTTGCTGTACTTTTTTTCAACAGTTTTCATGGATCCTGGAAGTTTTTCTGCGATTTTGGTCAGTGAAGCAGCTGCGCTCTATAGAATTTGCAGGAGACAACGATGTGGGAAGCAAGTTGGAGCGCTTGTGAAGGTAAGACGGTGGGGTTTACACACCGTGCTCCCAACTTGGCATTTGACACTATTGTTCCTGAGCACCTCCATCACATACTGGCCCAGCTCACTGTGCCAACCCCCACCTGTCAGTGGATCACCTACGAGAAGGGCCTCAGTCGTCTCTACTTCTTAAGGAGGCTGAGGTTCTTTAACATCTGCAGGACCATGCTGAGGATGCTCTATGGGTACATAATAGCCACTTTGATCCTGTGCTGGGGCAGCAGACTTAACAAACTCATCTGCAAGGCCGGTGAGGGTAGAGCTGTCCTCCCTGATGGTGGTGACAGAGAGGAGGATGTTGTCAAAGCTACATGGAATCTTGGACAACATCCACCACCAACTCCATAACATGCCAGTTAAACACAGGAGCACATTCAGTGATCAACTCATTCCCCCTAAATGTACCACGGAGTGTCACAGGAAGTCGTTCTTACCTGAGACCATCAAAAATCACAACTCCTCCCTCTGAGTGTCACAAACTCTGACTGTCCCTGGACTTATTCTCATGGAGTCGCTGTAAACTTCTCCACTACTGCGTATAATTACATTCAACTGTGTAATCTGTTTGTAAAATGTTAAACCTTAAAAAATCTAAGAGTGAAATACTGATAATAACATTGTTTATTAGGCTACACTGTGCAATATACTTTTTTAACTGTGCAATACTCTGTATAATATCCTAAACTACAAATTGTTTTTTGTATACACTCTTGTGCTTGTACAAAGCTTATTTCCTAAACACTCTGCCCTTTGTAAATAGCTTTATTTTTAATATTCTGCTCTTTTTACTAACCATTGCAATTTCTTATTTATCCTTATTCACTCCTGTCTCCACTCTACTTCCATTTATATTCGTATTTTCAAGAGGAAATGTAATGCTGTAATGACCAGGAACTAGCGGACACAAAGACAGTTTTGGCCCCTGGGCTGTTGGTCTGATGAACTCCTTACATTCACAGAGCTTCAGATAGACCACAGTGACTGTAAATGACTTTTATAACAGAAATCTAATATTTAATCTAATGTTAATATTGTAAAACATAATGTATATCTACCTCATGTGCACTCCTCATCATTGCACTTTTGTACCCTTGTATATAGTAGTTAAATGTCTTGTTCAAACTTGTACATACTTGTAATTTTTGTGACAATATTTTGTAACATGTTATATTTAATGTGTATACAGAGAGGGCAAAGTTCACCAGAGTCAAATTCCTTGCATGCGTACACATACTTGGTCATTAAAGCTGATTCTGATTTAAGTCTGTTGTTTGTGAAACTGAAGTGCCCCCTTGCTCACCTCCTCTATTGTTTAACTTTCAGAAGCAGCAGTGACCTTGAGGACCAGAAGCTCCTGTCATGCATGTTAGGTATGATCCTCTTTTTGTCATGTTTTCACTGTCACAAATGTCGATCACTCCTAATTCTTCAGTGCATAACAACATTTCTCTGTTTCTTTGTCATCGTCTTTCAGCTAAATACAACAATGTACTGTATGTGTAACTAGTTTGTCCTTTAACTGTTACCGTATAAACACGGTGGTGAGTGATGGTTGTAAAAGGTTAATTCTAAAGTGACAAAAACGACCTTCATAATCAGGTGACTTCACATAAGTTTAAACATGCTTACAAATATCCTACCAGATCTGTTCAGCTAAATGTTGCTAATTATAAAACACTGCTCCTTTACATGTCTCATGTTCATTTCACAGTGTGTACTTTCGGAACCTTTAATGAAAGGCTGTTCTGGCAGTGAGCCACCCTAACCTTGTCTGACACATACCCTGCGGCAGATGTGACAGACTGACAAAATAACTCAGTACAAATAACAATCCTTTACCTGATGAGCTTGTTTGCTTTTGTGGGTCATAAAAAGGAGTCAGTGGTAGTTTCAGTCTGTTTCATAGACATCGAAAAAATTCCTTACAGGTGCTTCAAGTAAGGTATATATGTATATATAATCTATGTGCCTGTCCCCCATGGGTTTTCATGACCCTGTTGATCTAAACAGCCTGTTATTAAGAGTGCATAGTGGGTTTACAACTGTCACAGCACAACTACGCTTACAGACTATCCTGCTGTGTTTTCAGGCTTTTGGAAAGAAAAAAAAAAACAAAAAACAATTAGCATGTTTAAACACACTAAACTTCGACAGCCATCTCTGCTGTCACTCATACTGCTGCCGTAGTATTTCAGGTTTTTATCTAGCAACTTTATAAATTCAAAACTCTCTGGAATAATTATGAATCACCTGATCCCAGTGATCAGTGGAAGAATACCCGATCTTAAGCGTGCCACTGAGGATCTATAGCCTCTAGACAAACAAGATATTACAGGGTCAGGGCTGAAATCTTGTTTGATTTGATCTCTACACTTCTTCTTAAAAAGACTGTTTTCAAACTATTTATCCTAAAATTTCAGGTAATTCCTCTAAATTGTCTTAAAGGAAACTTGTAGAGGACTGTGTCAAACTGCTCTGAAATCCCTACATCGACTTTCCTTTAAATTAGGACACAATCGCGTATTTATACTCAGTACATTGTACCATTACTTTAACAGCATACGTGCAGTCTTTGGTGCTTTTTACCTTGAAGCCCGTAGACCCACTGTGTACGAGGATATTTTTAAATGCAGCAATTTGACAAGAAACAGGATACATGATATGAAGTCATTAGACATCAGATGTCTGACTGTTGTATTAAAAAAGTGGAACAGTGCAGCTGTACAATAGTGCTAAGTAAATTTCTGTGATCCACAGGTCACCTGGCTGGTTGGATTAAGGTAGAAACTGTTTGGTTTCAAAAAGAGGTACCTTTAGCCTTTTCCCCCTCATATTCAGATTTAAATCACTTAAGGCTGAATTAAACTGTGAACTGTTTGGTTCCTTTTTACTGCTGTAGCTCAGAGTGGTTTTAAAAACATGCTTTTTTTATTCAGAACATATCAGTTTTCCAACATAACACACCTTGATAATACACCTGGCCTAATTTCAGCGTTTCAGGATAAAACTCGGTCTGTGTTAATACACAGAAAAACTCAGTCTGGGTTAATACATAGAAATCCAATACCTTTATTTTACATTCATACATCTATAACATTGTACAATAATTTTAATGCAGTTAAAAAAGCCCAATCCAAAAACAAGTCCTGAAGATTTACAATGATGAATTTGCATGTTTTAAGATTGGTGAGGAGCGTTTAAAAATATATACACACACTCACACATACACACACACGCACAGAGGGATGTAGGACGAGTGGTGTCCTTGAGTTGTACCTTAATACAGCCGAGCTAAAGGAGAAGATTTCAGCCGGCGTAGAGAAAGGCACATTGAATACACAGTGTATGTACAAACAAAAAAACCTGAACACTTACACAACTTTACTGTAGGAGCTAGAACAATGACCAAAAACTGTAAACCTTCACTTATGGAAAACAAATCAACAAAAACACATCTATACAAATACGTCTGAAGCAAAATATTTTCTTGGTCATAACAAAGCAGTACCTTGAAATGCATTTCAACACTTAGATTGGCTCTGCCAGCAGAGAGAATCCCACAGATATAATTACACAATATGTCACAATATTTATGCAGTTGTCCACTTCATGTGCGCTGACAACTGGTCAGAGAGTAACTCATGCATATCCTTATCAGACAGCAGCAGTCATCTGATATGTTTTACACTTAATCAGGTTACAATGTCTTTTTTTTTCCCACTCTTCACATGAAAATGGCAACTTGACATGGTGCAACATGTACATACGTCTACATAAAAATGTATAGACAACTCTATACAGCCGCAAATCTCAATATCTTAAAATATATGTACCACCCGTCGATCAAAATTTTCAATACTTTCAGAAAAGTAAGTTCTCTGATATAAAATACTGTATTTTCAAAAAGCTGATTGTTTACATTCCTTCCCTCTCGACAAAATAAAGCTTTATATACGTACTTTCAAAGCTTAGAAACACTTCCAACATACATATATATATATTTATATCTATATAGAAACAATAAAGTGACTAAGACGCCGTATGTGGCTCTACGTTCACATGTAGTGGAAACCCGTTTAGAATGGCGTACGAGCCAATTGAATTGTCTAATGAACACAGTGTGGCACTACAATTTTGGATGATTGTACAAGTTGGGGTCTTTAAATGCCAAGGTCAAGATTGCCTCCTTTAAAAAAAAAGAAAAAAACTGTTCCCTTCTTCTCGCTCAGCACGTTTTCGTCAGGTCAGTGGGCATGTCCACCGTCGACATGCGGTATTGGATCTTTGTGTTGGTGATTGCGCCGTGCTTCTGTCGCAGATGCAGCCGGAGCTGGCTCTTGTGGCGGAAGTGCAAGTTGCATTTCTCACACTGGGGAGAGAAAAAGCAAAATTGTTATTTTACTGCATTAAATTCTCAAGACAGATTTACTTCATTTACGAGAAAATAAATCTCAGCGTACATGATAGGGCTTTTCTCCTGTGTGTATGCGCAGGTGGCTCTTTAACGTCTGCAGGTGACGGAAGCGTGTCCCACAGATCTCACAGGGATACGGCTTCTCACCCGTGTGGATCAACACATGAGCACGCAGATGAGCAACCTAACACAAGAACAAAAAATGTTAAACTTCCTAATGAGCACATTTAATTTTAATGTTTTTAAAACTACCCAGTGAAACATTGTTTTTGTTTAATGACCAAATATATCCGGCGTTCATAATCCAAACGGCAAACACCATCTAAGTTCACATGTTTAACTCCTGAGGTAAACCAGGTGTGCAGTTGTAAGAGTACATTCCTTTCATTTCTCTTTTTTTTATATCATGAAATGAGCTGGCAAATCCTCGACAAACACTTTTCCGACAGCACATGCATCAGTATGTGCTGAACAAAAGCCAAAAAACCCTCAAGGATGTTCTGAACTATAATTACAGGTACTTTTGTAAAGCTGAAAATAACTGAAATAACCTATAATTGGAGTCAAGTATTAGCGCTGTTATTCCTCACACAATTCAGGGGGAAAATGTTCATATGCTAGAGTCAGAGTCGTATGTCTGTGTGTGTTTTTACCTGTACAAAACGAGCTCCACACGTCTCACATTTGTATGGCTTCTCTCCTGAGTGGATGCGAGTGTGAGTCTTGAGGTTAGCTGGTCTGTTAAACTGAGCACCACAGATATTACAGCGATACGGTTTCTCTCCTGAAAAACAACAGAAATAAATGTGAGAATTCAGCAGGAAAGAAAGGGAGATCTGACGATGAGGGACTATGACTGTCTTTTGCATACCTGTGTGGACGGTTTTGTGGCTGGCGAGGTTGCCCTTGTAGCGGAAAGCAGCCTGGCAGCGGTCACACTTGTATGGCTTATCGCTGTGAACTTGGAGCATGTGTTGTTTCAGCGCTTCGTCTTCGGCAAATTTGGAGTCGCATTCGTTACAGAAGAATGTGCCGTTTTCTGTTCAGAGAAAAAAACCAAAGTCAATCTCGAGTCTGAAAGAATGAGCAATAATTTAAAAGTACTGTTCTTAAAAACTCACCACAGCTAGAGTCAGAGTACTCAGACTGCAGCTCTGCCATGTCCTCTGCGAGTCGGGACCTGGATGTGTTGGGACAGATTTCAGAGTGTTGAGGGGACGGGGTGCCGCAGGATGAGCAATTCAGGCGGCTTAAGTAGTGTGGAGGGTGGCTGTCACTGCTCCTCAGTGATCCATCTAGTGCACTGTAGACAATAAAAAAGTCTTAATAAATACACTAGCTCGCTGAAAAACCTCAAAATTCCTCAAAGTTAAAGTTCATAAAAGGATTCTCTCAAATCAAGCGCCGCACATAGATTTAAAAGTGTGTTTCTCTTTTAAGGAATACGGCATTAAAATGATTTAAAGGTGCTGAATGGCTGCAGGGAGCGCGTTAAAATGTTCAAGAAACATTAGAAACAAACAGAAGTCCCTCCGCCCGAGCTTCCTCTTAAACCCTAAATCCACTTTGCCCTACATGCGCTTTGATTGACGTGCCCTATTACATTTAGTTCTAGCATGACATACAAGTATGTATTGGAACAAAGCCTCACCTGCTGATAATGTTGTTGAGACGGCTAGCCTGGGGCACAGGTAGGTCCTCGCTCTGATCATTGTTCTTGTTCGTGTTCTGCGGGTCGAGGTTCTCCGAGTCGCTGGGGTGGAGGTATGGTTGCATGCTGAGTCTCTGAGGTGAACGCAGCCCGGGATCCCGCAGCCCCACCTCCTCCTCTTTAGCGCTCTGATTCAGAACAATGAACTTGTACTTCTTCCAGTTGCGAGCTTTGGGGTCCTGCGTACCTTGCGGGTTTTGCACTCCTCCGGTTTGGGAGAGTGCGGCGTTCTTGCTGCTGCTGGACTCTGTTGGGGAGTTGGGCTGGCAGTCTGATTTGAGGGGGCTCTGCGGGCTGCTCATCAGACTCTTGCGCCCAGTGGAGGAGATTCCGAGAGGATAGTGCTGATGGATCAGGTCTTCCTCTGCCTGGGGAGCATGATCTTTGCCCAAGTCTTTCTGATGCTCGAGGGTCAACACAGGAAACGCACGCTTCCTAGCAAGAGTGATAGACTGGCTGACCCCCTCGTGGCTTTCCTTCCTCATCTCCTCGTCTCTTCCTACCTCCCTAGAAGCGTAGGTGGTGGAGTGAATAATGCTGGAGGTGCTGGTACCGACCGCCCTGCTGTACTCTGCCCTGATGAGGTTGGCGCTGTCATGTGGAGAACAATGCTTGTGGTGCAGAGCGCTCTTTGAGAGGTCAGCAAAAGCGTTTTTGGCGTCAGTGAGCTTGCAGAGAGGAAAAGGGAACCCTGGCATGGGAAACTGCCCGTAGAGATGGTAGTTGCTGGGGGTGCTGACCCCGCTGAACATGTTGGAACCGTAGGGCCTCCCATCCCTAAACGGAGCTACGCGGCTGTGCAAACTGTCAACAACATCATGGGGCCGGTAGGCATGGACATCCTGAGGTAACACCAACGGACTGACCAGAAACTCGTCCCTGGGCAGTTTGGTAGCCGCATCACTGTGAACACAGTTAGCCAGTTAGAAGCACAGCTGACACAGATAAAGATACGCTGTGGTACTTAAATCACTCAGTTACAAACAGGACAGATGTGGTGATGATGAATTTTACATGTTTGTGATTTAGTGTCTGTGCCAACCTGGATTTGATGAATCTGTGGCAGGTATCCACAACATGGTCCATCTGCAGGTAGATGGCTGTGTTCATGATGGCCATGATCAGACTCTCCTTTAGTGTGAGACGAGAGGTGTACATGAACTCCAGCAGGATGGCAAAACCCTCTGGGTCCACTTTTGGGTCCAGACTGATAGCATTAAGGTTGCACTTGTGGGAGTCAGTAAAGATGGTGTAAAACAGCCCACTGCGTGCAGAAGAAGAAGAGAGACAAATATCAGTCACTGCATCTCCAAACTTTAGCAGAAAAACTTGACTGAAAACCTGAACACACACCTGCAAGCCATGAGAACAGTCTTATGTGCACGAAACTGCTGCCTGTTCACCAGGATGGTGACATCTGTGAGGATATCTCGGCTCCGCAGTCGGTTCAGGTTGAGCAGGACATCACTTGCATGGCGTGTGAACTGTATGCAGCTGTCTGCTGCGCAAGCCATTTTGTCAAGTTCTGCAACCAAAAGAAACCCTTCAGATTACATAAACAAAGACTTTTTTCAGATTGTACTTCACTTCCAAGTTATTCATCATTTACCTCTGTTATTATAACTGTAGGACAGGTCATCTTTAGGTAATTTAACTGGACTGATATTATTTATGATCCCCAATGTGGCAGACTGGGAAACAAATGCAGCTGTTTCTCCAGAAGGAGGCGCCATTTATTAAACAAACACTGTCTAGACATTTTAATTTCTTTCTCCGGAATAATGTCTCTCCCACTCACTTTTTTTCTCTTCATAAACCACCAGCGACAAGATAATAAAAGTAAAGAAGAAGGGGGAAAACGGGAAAATACATTCACAGGGACGAGTCAGACGTATTTATGATGCATTCTGTAATAACGCTCTTATTATTGATATGCTTTTAAAAGATTTTTTTTTTCAAAACAGCAAAAATAAATACCCCACGAAACCCTGACTGGTAAAGTGAATGATAGACGCACAGTTGAATCACAAACACCAATATGAGTCTTGTGCAGGTTTTTTAATCGACTTGCGCTTCTTTCAATCATATGAGTGAAAGCTAACGGAAAAAAGTTTGGTCAGCTTCTCTCTCAACCTCGGCTCTGTCGGATTTATACTCTGAACAAACAGAGAGCTTACAGTTTTATCAAGCCGCTTGCTTGACGATGAAAACTTTTTGCGCAAATTTATAACAGAGCCAAGAATTTAATCTCAACCATAAATTGCCTTCGCCATAATTTCATCATGATAACAACCCGGTGCAACTGGCAGAGGTACAGAGGAGCAGTTTTCAATAATAAAAGCTCAGACAGCGGCTTGTTTTGCAGCCCAGTAGCGTCCTGGATTCACTTTTTTTCCACAATATGTCACACAGTGCACTCCAGGTCAGCTGCTTTCTACTTTTTAATGTCGCCTTCTCCGGACTGACTGACTGAGTGGCTTCATAACACGCAACGCGGATCTCTGACTGAATCTTGAACTCAATGTCAAGACTGAAGTGTGTAACTGAACACGTCCGAAAATAGAAGCAGAACAGAATGCAGCCTATGTAGACACATAACCTTTGATCAAAACGGATTTATGAGCACCAGTCGGTGACAAACAAACGGAGATGTAAACACAATATACTACGATTTGGGAAAAAAACGAGCAGGACTGCAACTTTACTACATCAATTAATTTGCGCTGAAGTGCATTAAAACGACAGGACATGTATTTAACTCCCAAAGGCTCCTACATTGCTCATTTTATTTTCATTTTGAATCACAGTCTAGCGGTTCACATGCATAATTTCTTTGAGGGGAGTTCGTTACAGAAATGAGGCGACACTTCGCGGGAATAACAAGTGAGCGCATTTCTGTAAAAGCCTTCAACTTGGTGCGTGAGCTCCTCGTGCAGCGCGGGTTCACAGTGGAAACAGAAGAAACAACTTGTCTCCTGCGAGGACGTGTCGTTTAGTCTGCACCGTGGAAACAACACACACATACACACCCATCAACACTTATGTTTCCGCTACAATGTTACGGTAACAGAAGAGCCTGTTCGGTGCAGCTCTTTGCGCTCCATTAGAGCAAATTACCACCGGAGCGAGTGTGAAGTGAAACCCCTGAACCTAAGGCTGCCATGCTGTCAGAAAACTTCATCTGACAGCTCTGACACTTTGACGTCAAATCAGAGCGCATTTAACGCCGCCAACTACGCTCACCCGGGGACTACCGAGCGCATTTCAGCCTTTCCGCCGCTGAAAAAAATCTCATCCTCCAAAGTGTAGTTCTCAAACCCGAGCTTTTAGACAGCTTTCCTCCATGACTCTGTGTCAGAGCGGCACGGGAGCGGAGAGAGGCTGCTGTCAGTCCCCCCCTCCGCTTCCCAGCCGACCAGCGCTGCGCCGAGCCGAGCCACGCGAGCTGTCAGGAGAGGAGCGCGCGCTGCCTGTCACTGCACCGTGCCACTTCAGAGTTTAGACTCCGCACTCTCCAAACTGCCAGCAGCAGACACATTCAGCCACAGTCCGGCTTCACAAACATACAAACAGCACAAATTGGACAAATAGTTCTGTCTAAAACACCAGCAACACACAGCACATAACAACTTCGCGCCAAATTAGAGGAAAAAAGGAATTTAAAAAATCACCTGGTAGCGCTTTCCTAGAAACTTCTTGCATCACCACTTCTAAGAACCCCAGTTCTAAGAATCAGACGAGCACAATTCTCGGAATTTGAGCCCGAGACCGTACCACTCTACCGGGGCAGGGGAGAGATGTTTTCTCCCCTTGCGTTGGAAACAACTTCTCCACGAAGCGTCAATTCTGCAAATAATTACACACCCTGCTTCTATAAGAGAGATAACTCAGGAATAAGTGTTCAAAATAATTTAAAACTAGCTTTTATTTCGTTAAATTAGGAGAGAAACCGTGTAATAGTGGTCCGGACTCCCCCATTGATGGTTAGGTCCACAGTCACAGGACGTCGAGCCGGCGACGTCACCAGTTCCTTAAACCCAGCCCCCGAAATTCTCAGAACTAATTTATATGCTATGATTTGAGCAATGTATCGTTACGTTGCCTTCCGTCGCATTTAACGCACAGACCCTACATGTACGGCACAGACAGACATCTTAATTAGCCTCACGCGGACAGGTCGATGAGAGCCGCTCGTGCTTCTCTGATTGAGTTTTTAGCCAGATTTCCTGCAGGTACTGTACGCTGACTTCATAGACGGAGAGCGCTGCGACTCAACACCGTGGGTTTGTTGAAAAAGGAAAGATTTCATAGATTTGTTATTCACGGGTGTACTGGCAGAGCGTGGATGTGGATTTTTAGCTGTGTGGGGTTTTACTTATTGATAGAGCATGGTCGATCAAGTACGTGTTGTTCGATTTTTGGCGCTTTCATTTCCACTTGTAACAGTTTAATGCACTAGTGTGTTCAGGGTCGACTTGTCAAGGCAGTTGTGTAGCCGGACAGACGCACAGATGAAGGACTGTGATTGTTGTAAGGGCGATCCAGGGTAAAAGTAAGCTGGTCATAATGTTGAGAACTTGTTGCATGAAGGCTCCGTGCAAAAACGGAATCTTTATTTAAGTCATGTTAATATTTATACCACTGCTTTTTCTTTTCTTTCTTTTTGGTGGTTTTGTAAGTGAAGCATTAATATTTAAAATGCCTTTACACTCATTTTGACATTTCATGTTAGGCTTAAACTTGAGTGTTTTTAGCGTAAAAGTCTTGCAAGCCACCAAAATAGTCTGTCATAATTAAACAATGGTGTCTGTTTTACCTTTTTATGGAAATGAACACATTACTTGTGAAATTGTGCTTGTAAAGTGATGTGCACTTTGTACAAAAACATCGCTCATTGAAATGCAAAGTGAAACATTCCTGGAAAATTAATTGAATGCAATGCTGTGATTTTTCCCTCCTACCATTTAATTTAAGGCATGTGTACTCCCTGTTGCATCATTTCTCAGAGTTGGGCAAGAATAAACGGAGTCTTTTTTCCCCAAAAACTTTTCAGCTTACTGGTGTTGTGTTTTACTTCATGTTTCTTTTAGATGAAACCAGCCAGGCTTTAGTAGAAGTCAGCTGCATTAAATTGAAGCTAAACTATGCGGTCTCTTTTTCTACCCATGGAAAGGAGAAGTGGTGTGATTTTTACCAATTAACCGGATTTTATGTAGGGGATGTGTGTGACAGCAGTATATGAAAATGTGTGAATTTCACGAGCCGTGGGAGAGTGTTTGACATGAATGACTCACCTTGGAAACTTTGTTTGTGGTGATTCCAGAGCACGGATTCCCCGTCTTTTCTCACCCCGTTCACACCATGGCACAGGAGTAGCATTTGCTGAGCTGATTATGCATGACACAGATAAGTTAATACAATAAATGTAATGATCTATTACTTCACATTATTAACAGTGAAAGAGTCAATTGCAAAACTCTCCTTTCAAAATGTATCATCAATCTTAAGTAGTTTTGACATGACAGAAACACACAGTTGGATTTAAATGCTCTTGTTGTACTGATTTATCATTCAAATATTTGTACAGATAAAAGTGCGCAAATAAGGATTAGAGCGTGAGCCACTCCTAGGTTAATGTTATTTGAACACGCTCTCTTCAAACATGAATGAGATTTATTATATTTTTTGTGGTAAACTGACCATATCCACCTGTTATTTAATATAATCGAAGAATCTTGTAATTTTCTCATCAGAAACAGAAACGGATTTATTGCCAAGTGGGTTTTATGCACATGAGGAATTTTCTGAAGTTTTGGTGCAAAAACAATGAACACAAAAGAACAAGACACATAGAATAAAAAAATATATTGCATATAAAGTAAAGAGCAATTTGACAGCTGTTGAGATACCTTAAATGAAAAATAAACTTTTATTATTTCAAAGACAGTTTAAAGCTATTTACAATTTGAACTGAAATATACAAGATTTGCACTGGTGAGCTGTGCATATGTACAGGAAGGTACAGGGTGATTAAAGTGCAAAATCCAGCAGTATAAGTAAAAACAAGACTGTACAGACTCTGGTTGTTTTGGTGTTGTACTTTCATTTTTATGATGACAAACAGCAAAATGCAGTAAAGTAAGTAAAATAATTTCCTTTAAATGACAAGAATTTGTTGGTGAACTCAAATAAGAGAGTATCGTTACACTGCCGCTTTGCACAGTAAAGCAGTGTTGAATGAACATTTAGTCTGATTTAATAGCAGACTGTAACCTTTGCCATCAGTCTATATCCCAGTCCTATAAGCAGCCAAATGAATCAGCTGCATCTCCTTTCTTTTCTTTTTTTGTTTAACCCTTCACATGATGACACACTCCACTATAATGTAACCAGCATGTCCCTGTGGATTGCCCGCGCATCCGCCCATCTGGATCTGGCATCCCACAAAAAACACTCCAGGTGTTCTCAAACCATTTGGGAGAGAAAAAAAAGGAGTCTCCAAAATAATTAAGACGCACGCTTTTTACAGCAATCTCCGATTCAGCACTGCCAAATAAAGACTATCTTGAGCTCCAAACAAAGAGCAGCGTCAACTTTATTTCAATCCACTTGGGGGATGTTTCAGGCGCTCTAGCACAGTTATGCATAATGCACGGCCATAAACCATCCAGGAGTTAGGAGAGAGATGTGTAATTTACCGAGGCCCCATGCTGCGCCCTGCTATAGAAGGATGAGATAATTACTGCAAATCCTTGGCAAACTTTTACTCAACCATTTCCTAGCAAAAATAAATGACCCACTTAGAGAGGACAGAGGAAGAGAGCAGGGTGGTTGATCAATATCCCCCTGGTCTAAACTGATAGGAGTGACACACAGGGCACATTGTCACATTACGAACTGTGTATCGGTTAATCCTTGATCTCCATTCAGCCTGTATAATTAACTAACGGGTCAGGACGTCAGGCTCTCTTTGTTTAGGCGGCACGCTGTTCAGAAACAATCTCATCCAGAGCAGGTTGTGACACTGATTCAAGTCTGGCTGGCTGGTAACAGCTGCACATTAAAAAAAAAAAAATCTTGTACACTTCTTCTGACACAGTGTGAAACATCTCTGAGCCGTATCATTGCCTCCACTCTGTGCATGATAGGTCATTGAATAGAAATGCCCACTGACAAAAGCCTGAGGCCCGGAGGTTGCCTCACTTTTTTTTTTTCATAAACTGCACACTTTTGTCTCGTTTCACAGCAAATTTCTGCCAACTTCAGTGTTCATTGTCAGCAAAGATGTGAGTGTGGAGTTTTGTTCTGAGAGGCATGATGCAACCCAGCTGTAACACCAAACAGATAATGCTGTTAGCTACAGAGGTCTTTTTAGTTCCTTTCTTTAAAAGAATTTCTTTTTATATTGTTAAGTTTCACTTTTTTAACTCTGTGCATCCCAGAAGCATTTTTTTTTTTTGCTTTTGTCCACAACAAAGTCCTCCATTTGTCAAACACTACTCCTCTTGCAGGTCTGAATTGTTGCACAGTGTCTGTCTATACAAAAAAGATTTGCTCCTTTCGTCTTATTGTATGTATTTGTACATTTTTTTTTTGATCTTCTATTTGAGCAGATCATTTAAAACATATTGCATGCATAATTCACAACATCAGTTAAAGAACACAGCGTGCAATAAATAGACGCAGTGAAAAATTCATTGATGGCACTTCAAAAGACTCTCTGTGCAGGTAATAATGAGCGCACTTTACTTGGAAGCTTGCCTCTTGCTTTTTTAATTAACAGACAAGTCGTATTCTGACATGAAATCATGTCTGTTTGTAAAAACCTGTCTGTGCACTCACACTCCAGGTTGAAAGATGGGTTTTATCCCACATGACAAGGATGAACACAGTTGGAGATTAGCAGTAGTACAAAATAATCGAGATAAGGAGGTCACACTTGAAAAAAGGAGTCCCTTGATTATGTGAACTGCTGCTAATATGGTTGTAAAAATGAACATTTTAGAAACGCACTCTCCTCAGGTTGTTTCAAAGTGTTTTCCTTTGCCTTAATGCTTTAATGGGTGCACAAAAGTGATGCTTTTGTTGTGAAACAGCACCAACAGAACTCCAGCGGTCAATAACGAGGCTCCCTGGGCATATAAAAGCTTTGTTGAAGACTGGTTTATTCTGCTTTATCAGTTATTTCAAAAAGAAATCACACACACACACACACACACGCACACATCACAAAAAAAAAAAAACTTCGGAGAAGTTTTGTCTGTGTGCCAGTGTGTGTGAATAACCTTGAGTTCACTGGCTTGCCTGTGCAAGCTACATGCTAAGGTTATAGTCAGAGCAGAGGCGTGTTAGTGGGCTAGAATTCCAATTTAGTCAAATCAAAGCATGTAGATTCAGGACTTTCTCAAGGCCAGCGGAGAGGAGCCAGGAATGCAGCCCGCAGAGTCGAACTTGATGGAATTTTCCACGCATACCAAGAACAGTCCCCTGCCAGTGTGCCATCTTCTGGATGACGGGTCACTTACTTCCACAACACATCAAGATACACAATACAGGCTTGCAGTAATAGCAGCCATCCTTACAAATCTTCACAATCAGACTGTTTGCACTGTTTTCCTCTTTTCTCTCACATGCCCAGGGCATAAAATACAGAACTCCAAGAGCATACGAGGAGGAGGTGTCGAAATTTGGGACAACCTCTGCACAGATTAGATTCAAGGCTTCAGTATGTGTCTCAGCATGGTTCCAGTTTGTACTTGAGCAAAGGTATCGGAGCTTTTAAGAGCGAAACATTCAAATGATAAACAAGTGGGTCTAGTTTCTTTGCACCACCCTCAGTAATGATCCAATAAGAATCATCTGTTTGAATCAGCCCCTTTTTGCTGAACTGCTGTCACAACAACACCTATCAGTACAGATCAGGCTGCAGATCTTCAGTACAGACGCCACATTAAAACAAAAGAAACAGACTCTTTCCTTGAGTTACAAGTTTTGATGTTTCACCACTGACTTAAAGACCTGCCTTCTTATGCTTACAAATGGATGTACATTTTACAATAGCGACGCAACAAGATCTACCAGAGGAGGGAAAAGACTGATCTTTAGTAATTCAAAGACTGAAGGAAACAAAGGATAAGATGGCAGCTCTCCAAAAGTGAGGCAAAAACATTTAAAGTACCTCCTACTGTCTGGCTGCAGTGTATGTCATTTTACTCCTCCTTGTTAACAGATAGGAAATGGGTCAAACTCTGAAATCAAACAACACATTAAATAAGATTTTCTGAAACATGGTGTCAGTCTTTATTGTAAGTTCAGATTTATGGTAAAGAGTTTATTATTTTTTTTAGAAAATATATATGAGCTTTTTAGCTTTTTTCTGCCTGTATGGGGCACACTAGCTTGGGCTGCTGACCTAGATTTTTTATAAACTGACTAAAGTCTGCGACATGGTAAATTGTACCTGCCTGTTTGAATTGGTAGGTTAAAATGTGTTTTTTTTTTAAATTGGTGGTCAGGTTAGGGGGTTAGGGGTGGGCTTGTAATTTTGAGGTATTTAAAAGTGTTGCTTTATCATCATTCTCAATATCAGTAGATAAAAAATAACCTCTTAATGCAACAATGCTTTTAATATACAACAAATAAGCTGTAGTGATACTTAAGTAAGTAGTAAAATTATCTAAAGGGAATGTAAACATACTTAAACACACTTCAACATACTAAACATTGTATTTTTTGTCAAAATTTAAGTCAAAATGAGGACAGTTTACATGACTATCAAGGCTATTCTCCCCTGCCTTCTACCCAAATCTTGTTAAACTATTACTTACACACTTATAACTGTAATTGTATTATTGTCTGGAGCAAAGGAACCTACAGCCCAATGAAACCTTTAATGCCATTACACAAACAAGCTGTGGGAATACTGGAGTCAAAATTGGATGCTTGAAGTTTATCAACCAGAATCTTTGTGAATTTTATAAAAATCCTGGTCGTGGGTTAATCTTTCAGCTATAAATTAAAGTT